ATTTTCACGTTTCATGTAACTAAACTTTACCTTATTGCACAAAACTCTTAACTTTCGGGTATTCCTTTAAACTAGGATTAATAATTCTACTTTTAATCAGATAGAATGCACATTACGAGTGTGCCAGTGAGTATCCAGTTGAAGGCTGAAGATATAGCTGAAGATCCCGGAGAGATAGGGTAAGGAAAGGGTATATGGATCGAAGCCAGAAACCGAAGCGTGATCGCTGAGTGGCAGCGGCGACGTCATTGTCGTTGGCACGACATTTGCTTAAATTATGGCCGGCACAGCGCCCGGTGACCAAACGAGGACAGTTTGTATCTGTATCTGTATATATGTATCTGTATCTGCATCTGTATATGTATCTGTAGCTGACTTTGCCGACATTGTATCTGGCTCTATGACTGTGACTAAGGCATAGCCGTGGCTCTACTTGTGGGTCCAGATTGAAGCCGCTTCGATTGTTTCGGCCGTGCCCAGGCGCTCTGTCAATCACCAGGTGTGGGGGCGGTCGGGTATATACTGTGCCCATATACATACATGTGGCCACTGTATGTGTGTGTTTTGGGGGGCGTGGCCGACCCCAAAAAGCCATTACTACTTGCTGTTTGTTGTTGCCTTTCATTAGTCGTGATTAGTTTTGAAAAGGAGCACAAAATGCACGAAAAATTGGCAATTTGAGTCGCTTGTTTGCTTTGCCAGTAGTTACCCTTTACAGCTAATGGAAGTTCACGACTGTGTTCACAAGTTGCAGATAATGATGCCAAATAAATAATAATAATGTATTATCAAAACACAAATAATCATAAGCTTTACATTAATATTGTGTATAGGAAGACTATAATTTGAGAAATAAGGAGATATAAAATAATGTTAAATATTATTAAATAAGATATACTTTAGAAACCGTAACCAAAAACTGTCTAAAACTTCCTTTTTTTCAGGTCAGATACAGTCCTTATATATTCTTAGAATAACCTGCTTGTCGGTAGTAATAGGTATGAGGCAGTTTAGCACTCCATCCTGCTGCATTCTTGCATTTTTTGTTTTCTTAATTCGAAGTCGCGCCACGCGCCACAAACAACGACAAAAAAATAACAACGGCAACACAAACACGCCACTTGGACTTGACAAATTGCGAGCAACGTTTACAATTGAAACAATTTAATCAAACAACAAGCAAAAGTGGCAACTGAATGGGGGGGCTGCTAAGGGGAGGGGACAACGGACAACACGGTGGCAAAACAACAGAAATCGACGCTGAGTTGCACATTTCGTTGCCCCACTGTAGTAACTGCGGCAGCAGCAAAAATAAATACATAAATAAATGGGCGAAAATAAATAATCGAGAGTACAAAATGCTGACAAATTATATGGATAGTGAAATACCGATTTCACAACCATGGGAAACTTCTGCGCGGAAGGTGGCTAAGAATTTTAAAGATATGGATATGGTTAGATGGAGAAAAGGGGGCTTTATTTGATATTTCTTTATCATTTCTGCTGATTGAAAGTCCATTAAAGTGAACGAGAAAACCTTTGTTATTAATTATAAGTTAAATAAATGTTCAATTGAAAAGGTTACTTAGATTCATACACATCTTTTCTAAAATATTTTAAAGGCATGGACTTAGATTAATTTACTAAAAAGATTTGGCTCAAATAAAAAACAAACAACCAAATTATCAATGCAATTATCAATTTTAATTAAATGGGTGGTCGAAGAATAAGTAAATAATTAAAAAACAATTGTGATGGCCCAGTCAACGTAACTCACCGCAAAACAGTTAATATTCTTAAGTAGATAATTAAGCCATCAAGTGGTTTGCCCGACTTAATCGGATCGAGAGACTGAAACTAGCCACATGGCAACTGGTTCGGGCAATTCAGTTAATAGCTGAAAATGTTAATGCAACTGGCGGTTAAGGTGGATGTTTTGACCCCCCTTAACCCCTTGTTACCCCGTGTCTGTTGTTGTGTTTATTAGCATGTAAACCTGGGAGATACATGTTTCGAGAGGAGATTTGAGGGGTATTATAAATTATTAAAGTTTTAAATTGTACGCATCGAAATATTAAATCATGTATTAGTAGCCTCTTGTCTATGTAAATTATTGTAGTTTATTTTAGTTGCTGTTTAGCTCACTGTAACTAACAGTACATTTTGGGCTTTCTCCTACTGTGCATTTATAATTCCCAGTTGGTTTTAGTCAATATGTAAGACACTGAAAATCAAAGACATCGCGGAATTATTTCTTTTGTCAGACCTCACCTTTTTGTTTTTGTGTATACATAGCGAGCCAGCCCCCAATGCAAGCCCTTTAATAGTTCAACATGGCATCATGTCGCACGTCACTTGGATTGTCACGGTGTAAATGAAAATGGAGATGGAGATGGAGATAGCCACGGGGGGATATGGCGGATCGGGGGATATATCTACATATATCTGAGATGCCGATGGGCAAACACATGTCGACTGCTCCTGCCAGAAAGAGAGGGCGCAAGGGGCTGAGAAAGAGAGGGGCGAATGGGAATGATTAATGTGCATTTAATTGCCGGTTGGTCGGCTGATCGGCTGATCGGGCGAGTGCGAAGAGGTCGGCGCGATAAATTCGATAAACTAAACTGTGGGCTGCTAAATGTTCCCATTTATTAAAGATTAAATATATAACCCGGCTACAAGCCAAGCGACAGCAGAATAGATGGACAGATAAATAAATAAATAATAAATAAAGTAAACAACATCGCACCGATCGACCGCGTCGCATTTGCATATCAACTTTTCGCATTAAATTCAATTGAAAACTTTTCTCACTTTAGCATCATTTTGAAATTCAATGAGCCGCCCTCGCCCCCGCACTACTCATTTCAGACTTTGCTAATGTATTTATTGCCATTGGATGCGAGCACAAAATTTATGATGGCATTAAGCTAATGTTAAATGCAAAATAACATTTAAAGCCTAGAAATGCAAAAATTTATAGTGTTAGTTGTAATTTACACGAAGCACAACATAACCACCCCCGATGCGGCTTAACCCCTTGAATACCTTGAATGCCTGGCATTAGCATGGTTAATTGTATTCCGCTGTCAGTTTAGCTGGAACGCATTTGTTTCCCACATCCCATTTTTTATCCAGCATCGGCTAATGATAGTTGAGCGATTTCGATCTTGATGGATCGCTCTCAGGGCGGGGCATACCAGTTGTCAGCCTCTCGAGGAGCAAGGTGCATAAGTTTAAGGAAATTGTTCCCCAAGGAGGTTTTCATTTTTTCGATTTAAAGTCACACCAGCAGTCACACTACTCTGAAAACCATTGACACAAGAGATCGCACTTGTCAAATGGAAAATCAAATGATAAACAGCAAAGAATCTGCAATTTGGTAGTGTTAATACAAATGCAGTACACAATAAAACCCAAATAGCTTTACTGCATCGATTAAAAGATACATTTTGTTAGCGAAATTTGTATCATATTTTTAAAAAATCACTGAATTATAAATTAAGATCCTTAATTTCAAACGTTGGGCTACAGTTTCTTTTACACACATGTTTCTAATTAGATTTTACATTTCTCAAAAGCGCCAACTGGACAGGCACTTGTTAAACTAAATAACGTTTTCTACATAACTATATAGATGGCGCATTTCAGGAGTGGCTCCAGCTTGCGTCTGAAATTAAAGCAACATTTGCAGTTAAATTTGAAAAATATCCAACGGTATTGATAAAAGATTTCAAACATATAATTTGATATTCCTCCAAAATATTTTTCAATGCGCCTGTTATTTTTTATACTCTAATTCCATTATTCTTAATTTTAATAAAATTTTGGGTTTAAGTAGAATAATCTACTGCATTTTTTGCAAACTAATAAACTGATAATGTCAATGAAGCTATAAATTAATTTCCAATTTCCCTTGAAAAGACAAATGGGCAGCATTCCCGATTATAAGATGGCATTAAGATTCTTTATTCGACCGCAAGTTTGATTATTATTTTCGGCTTTACGAATTCTGGGTAATTCCGCGAACTATAAACCGGGAGCAACGAAGCAAGTAATTCGGAGGCACATGTTGCCATGACCACGCACACCACATGTCGAAGGTAGAGAAAGAGATGGCGAACGGTGCGATGAGCAATATCAGATACGGATACAGCTACGCACATCTCTCGGCAAACACACAGATACTCACAAACACCGCCGGGAGGTGCCGCAAACAAACGAAAGCGTGACTCGGTTTTTCACAACCGCGTAGATATATTTCGGCATGGGGTTATCCATATCACAGTTTTTTCGACCGCTTGCCACATTAACAATAATGTACCATTGGGAATATATGTTGAGTTAACCAGTAAGTGTCATTAAAATGCTCAAGGGACTATGCATTCTGGGTACTTGTGGAAGTAGAAACCAGACAACTCTCCGTACAAATGAACACGAAAACTGGGCAAAAAGAAGTAGAAATACCGAGTTGTTCCTAATCGATTATGCATCTTAAGAATTACATATGTACATACTTAGTATATGCATCTGTATACATAGGATTCATGTTTTTGTGATCAGTATGTTGTAGTCTTTCTTTCTGTACTTTTGTTGTCCTTATAATGACTGCACTTCTTTGAATTACCGTGATCATTTATTTCAATCTAAATTTATTCTTACAAAAAAAATGTCAAAATAAAAGTTTTAAAAGGGCACAACGATGACGGCCAGTTACCTTTTCTTTCGTGGCCAATACCATAACTTCTTTTATAATCACCATTTTGCGGTATTTTTATTGTGAACTTTTTTCTTACATTTTGAGAACTGCAGTCTCTCTCCGATCGCAGTGATCGTTCGCTGGAGTCACGGGCGCATCACTGGCGCAAGCAGAGACAGCTGCGAAGAGCTTAAAAGTATCTGGGGGATACTTTCGCAGCGAGAGCGCAAAGGTATTTTAGTTGTGTGTTTTTTCGAGCGGCTCTCTCTTTAGTCAGCTCGCTGTAGTCGCTCTCGCCGCGAGTTGTGTGAGTTTTCGGTTCGGATCGGATGGGATCTTTAGTTCTTGGACGGAATTCAACGTTTTCCGACGTTCGTTCTTTGCACCGAGCCCAAAACAAGCGCTCTCAATTATAAAAGAAAAAAAAAGCGAAAACGCAACAATTTGTTAAATAAATGAATTCATCGTTTTGAGGTAAAAAGTGAAGTTGCATATGATGAAATCGGTTTAATAACAGGTGGCTTTTAATTATTTTCTGTGCGTGTTTGCTAGGTTTTTATTATCTACGTTTTTTTTTTTTCGTGAATCGACCTTTGCGAACTTATCGTCGTAACCAGCAAAAACAAAAATTATAAAAAAAAACAGCAATGACAACAACAACGGTGGCTAATAATAATTAAACAGAGTGCGTTGTTGTGTGCTCACTGAACTGTCGGTGTGTGCGTGAGCCGAGTATCTGTGAGCGAGTGTGTGTGGCGAACTGGGCCAGTGTGTGTGTGTGTGTGCTGTGTTTCTGCGGAGACGTCCCATCGTCCAATCCTCCAATTGTCAACAGTTGAGACCCGCCACTTCGACAGACAGTCCTACTCCACTGCAGACCCCTTAAACTCCGCACACCCCCTCACTACCTCACTCCCCCACTCCGTCACTCCCTCACTCCATAGAGCATATAGTATTCCCCGATCATCCGATCGATGCGAATTGCATGGGCCCAACAACCGGACAACCCGAGCACAGTGAAAACGGCGAAAAAGAGGAAAAAGTGCTAACTGGGCAGTCGACGGCAACTTGATCGGGTAGGAACAGGTGAGTTAAGTATAGTATGTTAAGTGCCGTTAAGTATTTCAATTTGGGTCGATACCCGAGGCCTATACACATAAATGCTGGTTGGGAATCCTTAGCTTAATTATATCTACAGACTACAAATTAAGAATGCAGCTAGAGTACATTTGTAATGTTAAAATAAAATAGAAATACTATTGAGTAGAAGCAATAGAAAATGTATGTTAATAAACTAAAAAATTATAAAATGTGGACTTATAAGATACATATAATTAAGTGGCAAAAGTAACTTTAAAAGTAGCCACACATAGCTTTAAAAGTATATTTAAACTTCCGTAGATTTATAGGAAGAAGTAGCCAGCAAGTAATGCTGACTTTAACAAAAGAGGTTACGAAATTGTATAAATTATATACAGTAAGAAGTACATAATTGTATTGGAAAGAAATACAAGTCAATTCATTTTTTGTATATTTATTGTATGTTGAAATGTTTATCTTAAAAATCTTTGGCAAGGTGTTAATAGTGATTAATGAATGAAGGATACACTTTAAAAATGATGCCCTGCCTAAATTATCTAATAAAATAATAATAATTTAGAACTTGAGCAGCAATCAATTTTGGAAATGAATTCTCAAGAATTCTCAAGAAATTTCCAATAGGCTCAGATTTTTTTCTATTCAAATATATACATCATAAAAAATAAGACGAATGCAAAACAACGGCTTCATATACGTAGGTTGTTTGTTATCAAATTCATTCAACTTTCTGTCTGCAACAATAATTATTGATTACTACATTTGTTAATAATTTCAGAAATTATTACAACACGAAAATAGTTCAAATAGATTCCGTTGCCACGCAAAAGTTCTTACTATCGAAAGCGGAAATCTCAGCTTTCGGCGAAAATGTATATATGTAAACCAAACTCGGACCGCTTAAATGCCTCAACTTGCTGTCAAGGTCCGAGAATCCGAAACGAGACTCAAACACTTGGGCAATGAAGAGTCCATTAAACGAATTCAGCCCGTCTGTCTGACTTCTTATACCCTTCCTCCGGCAAAGCCGATTATTCAAAACACAGATAGGCCTGGGCGAAATTGTTTAATAAATCAAAATAGTAATAGTGTGGAACGTGGTACCTTATCGGGGAGAGGCAATCGACCTGATAGTGGGGCACAGCAAATAGAAGCCGAGTTAAGATCAATGTAGGAACGGAGGCAGATGTTGCATAACGGACACTAAGAGACCACTGAGGTCGCACCTGAACAGGTGAGTCAGGGAATAGAGGGAAGGTCAGCTGGTGCGTCAAGACCATGCTAATTACACAGAAAGAAACTAGACCTCACAAACAGCCACTCACTAGACACAGAACTAGGTCCTACATTCACACAATTTGCATAATTTAACTGATTAAAGCTTCTATCACTTTGATGTGTTTTATTTATATTCTTTCTATTTTTATTACATTTTAATTTTACTATTACATTTTCAATATTTAATACGAAATGTAATAATCATGTTAAAAAGGTTCTCTTAATTATTGAAATCAAAATGATTTACACTGCAAAGGAAGTTTAATTATTTTTACCAATTCTGGCCAAAATCACAAGCTAGAACAGGTCTTAAATTATTCACTTGTTTATAACTTTTAATATTGTCTTTTCTTAAAATTTTTTGTTGGTTGAAATGAATAGAAAACTTTGTTGTTTTTGTTGACGCAAAACTAATGGAATGGCAGCACCTTCCGTTTATTTCTTATGTGTGCTCCAGTTTACGTTTGCCGGCCTTTGATTTGTAAACCAAATAGTTTCCCGAGCTGTTTGTTTATTTAATTAGCATTTGGTTATGTGTGGACGGTGGGGCCGACGCACCGGAGAACTAACATCCGCGCCAGAATTCCCGAGACTTTTCGAGCTCAAAGAAGTTGCGTCGACGAAAAGCAAATATTTTAAATTTGAAATAATCATTTTTCTGCCCACCTTTAATTTCCAAAAAATTTCGAAAACATAAAAGATGACTTATTCAATATCAATATTTTAATATTGCAATATTTATAAAAATTTATGAAAATATGCATCATATTTTGCTTAAAAAATAAATAATTTCCCCACCTCTCAAAAACTGTTTATAGTGGGGTCTTCTTTAAGCTGACTTTTCGAGACATTTCAAGAGTCTCTGAGGCCTCTGAATTCCCGGACAGACGGAATTAGTAGCCGTCCAATTGTGGGATGTCTAATTCACCGGGGCCGCCAACGCAATCGTCTCAATTTATAAATAGATTTAAAGAATCTGGGCGGTGCAGCGTTTAGTTTCAAGCTTTATCGCGGCTCAAGTGTCCGCGTCTCTCGAAGATCGTCGCCCGGTGGAATCGGCCACCGGACACCAGTGCGTCCATTGCTAATGGAAAACACTTCCAGGGAAACGAGGCACGAACTCAAATATTTGCGGAACCACTCCACTCCAACCCAACATCAAATTTATATTTTACCCACGCAACAAGTGCGTCTCATTTCGAATTATGGAAAGATGGTATTTGATTTCGGGCAATATGCTTTTGGTACAACTCAAAAAGCAAATATGGTGTAGGTAAATCCATAAGGTTATTGGCTGCGTATCTTTTATTTTTGATTATATGTTACTATCGATTTAAAGCTCATACTATATTGTGGTAATTGAGAACTCATACAAATTAAATAATCACTTTAAACTTGGCAGGTGAAGGTTTGTGATGAGCAACTGTTAAAAAAACAAATTGAGATTATGCTGGCACATCGTAAATGTAATTTTCATTTGATTTATTTATTTTTTACAATAAAGTTGATTTAAGTTTTATCACCACTTTAATTTACCCGCTTCAGTTGCACATTCCCCCCAAATTTATTTCAATACACTGAGCACTTGAAACCGATCATGTTGCATAGCAAAATCAGTAAAAAACTGTTGTCTTTAATCAACATTTAGTTTTAATTTTTTCTATTTTACCGATAAGTGAAAATTTATAAACGTAATGCTAAGGGAATTTTTGATGATGGGTCAACTTGGATCAAACTATTTATTCAATGATCGATTTAAAATATCCTTTATTACATACAAGAATTGATCATAGTGATAATTTGGTTTTAATGTGTGGATTAACTTTGTAACTGTTTCTCTGTTATCATGAAAATATATTTATATTGAAATAGCGGGCAGAAGTGGGTATATGATTTTTCCAGCATAGAAATAGAACAGACTAGATGAGTAATATTTCCGGCAGAAGCGGCACTCGGCACGTGGCATTAATTTATTCAATGCTCCCCTCTTCTGATTTTCCCCACGCAGAGATTCCCATGAACGGCGGCCACTGAACACCACCGCCACTATCCCCCATTCCACAGACCAGCCGGGACATCCAATCCGGGATGGCGCAGCTCGCGATGACGAAGCGCAAGACGCTGATCATCGCCTGTTGCGGGATCGTGTTGGGCCTCTGCATCGGCACCGTGATGAGGAACTACCGGGCCCTGGAGATCGTGAAGCGATGCAGCCTGCGGCCCACGAATCTCAGGTCGCCGGCGGAGATCATCGGGCTGCGGGAGGAGGACACCATTCAGAATTCGCAGCGGAACCTCGTCTTCGTGGGCGTGATGACGGCCAAGAGCTTCCTGGAGGGCAGGGCGCGGGCGGTGTACGATACGTGGGGCAAGGAGGTGCCCGGCCGGATGGCCTTCTTCAGCTCGGAGGGCAGCTACTCCGAGGATCTGCCCGTGGTGGGCCTGAAGAACGTCGACGACCGCTATCCGCCGCAGAAGAAGTCCTTCATGATGCTGTACTACATGTACGAGCACTACATCGACAAGTTCGAGTGGTTCATCCGGGCGGACGACGATGTGTACATGGAGCCGGCCAAGCTGGAGCGCTTCCTCCGCTCCATCGACAGCTCCCGGCCGCAGTTCATCGGGCAGGCGGGCAAGGGCAACAGTGAGGAGTTCGGCCTGCTGTCCCTGGAGTTCGACGAGAACTTCTGCATGGGCGGACCGGGCGTCATCCTCAGCAGCGAGACCCTGCGCCGCGTGGCGCCCCACATCCCCACCTGCCTGAAGAACCTGTACAGCAACCACGAGGACGTCGAGGTGGGCAGGTGTGTGCAGAAGTTCGCCGGCATTCCATGCACCTGGAACTACGAGGTGGGTTCTCCCCATTTGGGATCGAAATCTTACATTCGATTTTTCATCACCTAAAACTTTATTCAAAACAAGAAAGTTGCAGTTGTTACAAATCTGTCCATTTTGCGCTGCATTTTGCCATCGTTTATATGGAAGCTATATGATATTGTTGTCCGATTTTAATTTATTTAAAACCGTAATTTTATAATATTTAAATATTACCAAATCCCAAAGAATAAAAATAAATTATTTAAAACAAAGTAATAATTTTTGTTGAATCCTTTTTTCCGATTATTCCAATGGGAGCTATATGATATAGTCGCCCGATCCGGCTGGTTCCGTAATATATACCCAACATAAAGGCTGTGTAATAGGAATTTCGTATATTAGCAGACGGAAGTTCATACTAGTAATGATGTCGTTATGATTAGACCAACAAATATGTAGCTTCGTTCTTAATAACTACCGAAATCTTCAAAGTCCAATGTTTTTTTTATATTAAAATCGAAACAACTTTTTAGACTTCCGTGCTTAATGATCTTGATTTTAAACTTATAGATGCAGTACATTCTGCGTCACAACTCCAGCGGTCGAAATGCATACACTGGAAAACTGAAACGGAAAGAGATCCACAACGCCATCACCCTGCATCCCATTAAGCAGGCGCCACTCATGTACCGATTGCACTCCTATGTCCAGGTGGGTCCTTCAATATTTAAATATTGAGAAACATTAAATTCGAATTAAACTAAATCGCTATTGTGTAAAACAGGGGCTGAAGGCCGAGGAGATGCGGCAGGAGTCCCTGCTCCTCCACCGGGACATCAAGCGGATGGCCAAGTATCTGGAGGTTCCGGACGAGAGCACCTACATGCTGCCCAGTGCCTCGCCAGAAAGCGATTCGGGCAAGAGGCACTTCCAGGACCACAACATATTGGGTAAGTCCAAAAAACATAGCAATTGCAGTGACTTTTAGAGGACTATTACAACGTTATGTATTTGAAATAACTGAGAACAAAAATTTACACATCTCTGACAAACTAAGAAGTATTATGAAACCTTAAGCTGGTCATCATCCGCATCTGCAGCCGCATCCTGGTCGTGGTTGCACAGGGTGACCCCACTTCCCAGGCAGGCGGCATATCCCATGAGATGGGGCAGCAGATTCTGCTCCATGACCCCACCGAAAAGGTGCGCCTGCGGACCCATCGCAAACACGGCCACATCCTCTCCAGAATGCACACCCTTCCGTCCATGAATATAACTGGGGGTGTAGGAGGCTGTGAAAGGGACAAAGATGGGTCACTTTTGGTATCAGACATTAACAAAGCAATACCAAGAGAAAAAAAAAATAAAGTTCAGGTTAAAATATCAATTTTTTACTTCCTATAAAAGGTATTTTAAACACCACAACTCTCAAATTTGAAGTAGGAATTTCTATGGCTTCTAAAATATTTTGAGGCCTTAAATAGAAAAGTTTGAGAGTTTGAGTATTAGGTTTTTAATATTATTTAAATAATTTAATGATACAGAAGCTGTTATAAATTGGTAATATTGCCAAAACTTAAAAGTCGTACAATAAACTCTTTAAGTTCGTAAATCTGTTTTTCTGCACTTTTAGAAATTTTTTAAAGTTTCACGATTTTTTTTGCCCGGTTTTAAATTGTACTTCCTTTTGTTTGCCACGAGAAAAATTAAAATTTAAAAGCTTCCAAGGGTCAAGACTATTATTTAACAGGATTTTGAAATATTATTCACCAGCCAACAGTCTAATTAATTTTAAAATTAGATTTCACCTTTTTTTCCGAGACATTTTTCGGTTTTCTTATGGTAGACCAAATTGGGAACCTATACTCACTTGGACTCAGCGTCTTGCTAGGACTCTCCCTCCGACCATCCTTGTCCAGGCTCTGCCACTTGCCGATGGCGTAGTTCAAGGTGCTATAGGGCACCCCATTCAGGTCCCGCTGCTGCTCATCCATGCCCAGGATGGGGGTTCCCCGGCGGGCGTATCCGGCCATGCTGAGGGTGTGCGAATGGTCGGCGGTGACCACCAGCAGGGTTTCCCTTGGGTCGGTCATCTTGGCCACCGCCTCCACCGCCGCATCGAACTCGAGCGTCTCGTCCAGGGCGTAACCCACCCGCGTCTCGTGGTGACCATGGTCAATGCGGCCGCCCTCGATGAACACGAAGTAGCCATTGCCTTCCTCCTGCGACTTTTGCTCCAGCTTTTCAATGGCCGTCGCGGCCATTTCGCAGAGTCGGGGCTGCTCCTTGCTGGCGGCCAGGTGGTAGGACATGTGGTTGTCGCTGAAGAGTCCCAAAAGGGCTCCCGTGGCGCCGCTGCAGTTCCTCAACTCCTTCAGGGAGCGGGAGAAGCAGCCACTTGGGTTGGACTGGCGCCACTGGGAGAGCAGGTCCTTGCCGTCCCTGCGCTCGTCGGCGAACTTGCCCAGACCACCGCCCAGGATCACGTGCAGATTGCAGCCCGGCTCGTCCTCCACCAGCTGGCGGGCGATCTCCAGCTCCTCGCCCCTCCGCGGGACATGGGCGTAGGCGCCGGCGGGACTGGCGTCCGTCAGCCGGGTGGTGGTCACCACACCCGTGGCCTTGCCCGCCCGCTGGGCCCACTGCAGCACGGAGTCCACCTGCTCGCCGCCGGCACTCTGGCCCACCGTGCCGCTGCGGGTCTTGACCCCGCCCAAGTAGGCGGTGGCCGTGCAGGCCGAGTCCGGCGTCTGCTCGTCGATGCAGTACGTCTTGCTGAGGCCGGCGAAGGGGAAACGCTCCACGGCCAGTTGGGCCTCCTCGCCGCGTCCTCCGCGACGTTGGCCCTTCAGGATGCGGGCGGCCGTCATGGTGGTGATGGACAGGCCATCGCCCAGGAACATCACCATGTTTTTGGCCCGTCGGCCATCGGCGATGGAGTCCTTGGTCCTGGCCAAACGTTCGTGCAACTGATCCTGCGCCTGACGCAGCCAAAAGGACGCCAGCTGCTCCTCCGCCGGCTGCACTTGCTCCGCGAAGATCAGCGATTGAACGAGGATCAGGAGCACCAGGATCGGCATTCGCTTGGCTTGGGGCGACATTTCGGCTCGGGTTTTTTTTCACGGGACAAGACCGAATCCGATCTGACTGCCGGCGCCGTCAGACGTCCGTTTAAATGGCCAACTCTGTTGAGGATTTGCCAAGCCAACGCACCGGAAAATCAACCACCACATGGGGCGTCTTCCCATTAGCATTGGCCCAATTGCAGGGGGCCCATGGATAAGCTAACCTGATTCGGGGGCGCAGAAATGACACTAATTAATTTTGATAAGGCGTGAAAAGTTTTGGTTTTTGCTTAAATTCAAAAGAAACATTTTTAGGACCACCTTTATTTTAATTAATAACATAGAAATACGTGAGGGTGTATTGAGTCTATGAAAAATACCTATTTTTCAAGAATACCTATTTTTCAATAGAAAGAATTAATAGACTATCTAACGTTTTGAAACAAATTTTAAAATAGAAAAAATTGATCAATTTTATAATAATATATTAAATAAAACGTGACTTCATAAATTCAAATGTTTTTTGCAATGATAAAATGTTTAAATAATCTATAATAATCTATTAAATACAATTTAACTTTATAAATTCAATGACTTTTTTGCATTGCCTAAAACTATTTGGGATTGAATTTTTGATTTTATACAAAGTTTGAATAAGATCCAAATACAATAGAAAATTGGAATATTTATATAAAAAATATATACCTAATACAAATTTAAAAGTTATGCAAATAAATATTTGTAATTTCCTAAAAAAAAATCTGTTATTACAGAAAGAGTTTCAATGTCACTACTTTATTTGTATATGACTTTTCTATTACTTAAATTTGCTTTCTTTAAACTGACGAATATTAAACATCTTATAATAAATATTTAGTTTTTAATTTATCCATCATGTGCTTAAGACTTATTTTTTTATAATATGCTTTATATTTCTTACCCATCTGACGTCATCTATTCCCTCCTTCTCGTCCACAGGAATTAGTCCGGAATTGAATAAATTCGTACCCGGCAGCACCGATGACCTGCTGGACTGGTCCTTCATCTCCCGCAGCCTGTACTCGGCCAGTTCGGCCAATCCCAAGCAGAAGATCGACTCGGCGATGCGGGAGGGCCTCGAGGACGTCATCACCGAGGTGATGGAGAACATCAACAACTACTCCCGGCAGCGGGGTCGCGTGATCGAGTTCCGGGAACTGCTCTACGGATACCATCGGCTGGACGCGCTGCATGGCCAGGATCTGATCCTGGACCTGCTGCTCATCTACAAGAAGTACCGCGGCAAGAAGATGACGGTCCCGGTGCGAAGGCATCTCTACGTGCAGCGGGCCTTCACTGGAATCTTTGTCAAGGAGTTCGACGAGGACTTCTACAACGTCACATTGCAGCAGAGTGAGTAGTGGGAGGAATTAGGATAGAGGGTATTGGGACAGCCAGGAACACCATTGGAAAGCTTTTTTCCGTGAGCTATTTCCCTTTACTTGGTTTTTACTCGGGTTTTTGGTTAATTTTTATGCTGTTCTGAACTGAAATTGCTGAATAACAGAGAATCAAGCCCCAAACTTGTTGTTTTCCATTTTTCAATAAAAAATTAATCTTAATCATAAACAAGAAAAGAAGTAAACTTCGGCAAGCCGAAGTTTATATACCCTTACAATTATTACAAATCGAATACATTTCGATTTCTATGCCTATATTACTGAAAGGTGGCCCATAACTGGACTTCCGAAGTCCATAACTTTACCAAATTTTATCTGATTTTAAAGTGGCATACCTCTAAAGACTCCTAATTCGATTCTCAAAAAATCTGCATCAAAATTTTTAATTTTAGAGTTGTTCCGATTTTTTACCCATTTTCATGTCATTTATTTCCAAGTTTCCGATGTGTTGTTAAAAGGTGGCCCATAACTGGACTTCGGGAGTCCATAACTTTACCAAATTTTATCCGATTTCAAAGTGGCATACCGTTAAGACTCGTGATTTGATTCTCAAAAAATCTGCATCAAAAATTTTCATTTTAGCGTTGGTGCAATTTTTGACCCATTTTCATGTCATTTATTTCCAAGTTTCCAATGTGTTGTTAAAAGGTGGCCCATAACTGGACTTCGGAAGTCCGTAACTTTACCAAATTTTATCCGATTTCAAAGTGGCATACCGTTAAGACTCGTGATTTGATTCTCAAAAAATCTGCATCAAAATTTTTCATTTTAGAGTTGGTCCAATTTTTTACCCATTTTCATGTCATTTATTTCCAAGTTTCCGATGTGTTGTTAAAAGGTGGCCCATAACTGGACTTCCGAAGTCCATAACTTTACCAAATTTTATCCGATTTTAATGTGGCATACCTCTAAAGACTCTTAATTCGATTCTCAAAAAATCTGCATCAAAATTTTTCATTTTAGAGTTGATCCAAATTTTGACCCATTTTCATGTCATTTATTTCCAAGTTTCCGATGTGTTGTTAAAAGGTGGCCCATAACTGGACTTCCGAAGTCCATAACTTTACCAAATTTTATCCGATTTTAAAGTGGCATACCGTTAAAGACTCGTGATTTGATTCTCAAAAAATCTGCATCAAAAATTTTCTTTTTAGAGTTGGTCCAATTTTTGACCCATTTTCATGTCATTTATTTCCAAGTTTCCGATGTGTTGTTAAAAGGTGGCCCATAACTGGACTTCGGAAGTCCGTAACTTTACCAAATTTTATCCGATTTCAAAGTGGCATACCGTTAAAGACTCGTGATTTGATTCTCAAAAAATCCTCATCAAAATTTTTCATTTTAGCATTGGTGCAATTTTTGACCCATTTTTATGTCATTTATTTCCAAGTTTCCGATGTGTTGTTAAAAGGTGGCCCATAACTGGACTTCCGAAGTCCATAACTTTACCAAATTTTATCCGATTTTAAAGTGGCATACCGTTAAAGACTCGTGATTTGATTCTCAAAAAATCCTCATCAAAATTTTTCATTTTAGCATTGGTGCAATTTTTGACCCATTTTCATGTCATTTATTTCCAAGTTTTCGATGTGTTGTTAAAAGGTGGCCCATAACTGGACTTCCGAAGTCCATAACTTTACCAAATTTTATCCGATTTTAAAGTGGCATACCTCTAAAGTCTCTTAATTCGATTCTCAAAAAATCTGCATCAAAATTTTTCATTTTAGAGTTGATCCAAATTTTGACCCATTTTCATGTCATTTATTTCCAAGTTTCCGATGTGTTGTTAAAAGGTGGCCCATAACTGGACTTCCGAAGTCCATAACTTTACCAAATTTTATCCGATTTTAAAGTGGCATACCTCTAAAGTCTCTTAATTCGATTCTCAAAAAATCTGCATCAAAATTTTTCATTTTAGAGTTGATCCAAATTTTGACCCATTTTCATGTCATTTATTTCCAAGTTTCCGATGTGTTGTTAAAAGGTGGCCATAACTGGACTTCCAAAGTCCATAACTTTACCAAATTTTATCCGATTTTAAAGTGGCATACCTTTAAAGACTCGTGATTTGATTCTCAAAAAATCCTCATCAAAATTTTTCATTTTAGCATTGGTGCAATTTTTGACCCATTTTTATGTTATTTATTTCCAAGTTTCCGATGTGTTGTTAAAAGGTGGCCCATAACTGGACTTCCGAAGTCCATAACTTTACCAAATTTTATCCGATTTTAAAGTGGCATACCTCTAAAGTCTCTTAATTCGATTCTCAAAAAATCTGCATCAAAATTTTTCATTTTAGAGTTGATCCAAATTTGGACCCATTTTCATGTCATTTATTTCCAAGTTTCCGATGTGTTGTTAAAAGGTGGCCCATAACTGGACTTCCAAAGCCCATAACTTTACCAAATTTTATCCGATTTTTAAGTGGCATACCTTTAAAGACTCTTAATTCGATTCTCAAAAAATCTGCATCAACATTTTTCATTTTAGAGTTGGTCCAATTTTTGACCCATTTTCATGTCATTTATTTCCAAGTTTCCGATGTGTTGTTAAAAGGTGGCCCATAACTGGACTTCCAAAGCCCATAACTTTACCAAATTTTATCCGATTTTTAAGTGGCATACCTTTAAAGACTCTTAATTCGATTCTCAAAAAATCTGCATCAACATTTTTCATTTTAGAGTTGGTCCAATTTTTGACCCATTTTCATGTCATTTATTTCAAAGTTTCCGATGTATTGTTAAAAGGTGGCCATAACTGGACTTCCAAAGTCCATAACTTTACCAAATTTTATCCGATTTCAAAGTGGCATACCTTTAAAGACTCGTGATTTGATTCTCAAAAAATCTGCATCAAAATTTTTCATTTTAGCGTTGGTGCAATTTTTGACCCATTTTCATGTCATTTATTTCCAAGTTTCCGATGTGTTGTTAAAAGGTGGCCCATAACTGGACTTCCAAAGTCCATAACTTTACCAAATTTTATCCGATTTCAAAGTGGCATACCTTTAAAGACTCTTAATTCGATTCTCAAAAAATCTGCATCAAAATTTTTCATTTTAGAGTTGATCCAAATTTGGACCCATTTTCATGTCATTTATTTCCAAGTTTCCGATGTGTTGTTAAAAGGTGGCCCATAACTGGACTTCCAAAGCCCATAACTTTACCAAATTTTATCCGATTTTTAAGTGGCATACCTTTAAAGACTCTTAATTCGATTCTCAAAAAATCTGCATCAACATTTTTCATTTTAGAGTTGGTCCAATTTTTGACCCATTTTCATGTCATTTATTTCCAAGTTTCCGATGTGTTGTTAAAAGGTGGCCCATAACTGGACTTCCAAAGCCCATAACTTTACCAAATTTTATCCGATTTTTAAGTGGCATACCTTTAAAGACTCTTAATTCGATTCTCAAAAAATCTGCATCAACATTTTTCATTTTAGAGTTGGTCCAATTTTTGACCCATTTTCATGTCATTTATTTCAAAGTTTCCGATGTATTGTTAAAAGGTGGCCATAACTGGACTTCCAAAGTCCATAACTTTACCAAATTTTATCCGATTTCAAAGTGGCATACCTTTAAAGACTCGTGATTTGATTCTCAAAAAATCTGCATCAAAATTTTTCATTTTAGCGTTGGTGCAATTTTTGACCCATTTTCATGTCATTTATTTCCAAGTTTACGATGTGTTGTTAAAAGGTGGCCCATAACTGGACTTCCGAAGTCCATAACTTTGCCAAATTTTATCCGATTTCAAAGTGGCATACCTCTAAAGACTCTAAATTTGATTCAAAAACAAGAAAGGAAAGCTATCTTCGGGCGGAGCCGAAGTTGAAATACCCTTGCAGAATCTTCTGTAAATTATATTCTCCAAAATTATTCATATGATGCATTCTTAACACTCATAAAAAATCCCAACTTCCTAACTTTTAAAACACCAAAGTTATAGCATTTCCAATCGTTCAGTTATATAGTCGGCCGATCCCGGCCGTTCCGACTTATATACTGCATGCAAAGGAAAGAAGGGTGTGTGCAAAGTTTCAATTCGATATCTTTAAAACTGAGAGACTAGTTTGCGTAGAAACAGACAGACGGACAGACAGACGGACAGACGGACATGGCTATATCAACTCAGGAGGTGATCCTGATCAAGAATATATATACTTTATAGGGTCGGAGATGTCTCCTTCACTGCGTTGCACACTTTTGACCAAAATTATAATACCCTCTGCAAGGGTATAATAATTTTTGTCAAACAGAGTTATATAACAGAATTCATTTATTTTAATTAACAATTTTATTTATCATAGTTTTTTTAATTTAGAGAAAGCAAAAGAAATACGAAAAATATCCTAAAAGTTATAATTTCATATTTTATTCAAATAAATAAATAATTTCCGCCAAATTTCAATGAGCGGTCGGTTTCGCCCCACCCGCTTTTACTTACATTTTTTATATTTTCCTCTTTCCCCGGCAGGTCTCTTGGGCAGCCTCTTCCAGAACGGGATGGCCCGGCTGACCAGCCACTTCACGATGGCCAGCGGACTGCTCCCGCCGACGCAGGACAAGATTGTGTTCGTCCTGCCGATCGCGGGCCGCCTGGGAACCTTCGAGCGCTTCCTGCGCACCTACGAGCGCGTCTGCGTGCGCGGCGAGCAGCACTGCGACCTGCTGGTGGTGATCTTCGGCTTGCCGGAGGACCTGGGCGACCACCTGCAGCTGCTCCACGATCTGCGTGGCAGGCATGTCTACCAGCAGGTGAACTGGATCCAAAGGAGCACCGCCTTCTCGCGCGGCGTGGCCTTGGATGTGGCGGCCAGATCCTCGTACATCCGGCAGGAGGACATCATCCTGTTCATCGACGTGGACATGGTGTTCGAGGTGGAGACACTGCAGCGGGTGAGGATGCACACGCAGCGGGGCAAGCAGGTGTATCTGCCCATTGTCTTCAGCCAGTACGATCCGCAGCGGAGGAGTGGTGGAGCTGGCGAGGAGGAGGCCCCAAGGATCGACGACGAGAGCGGCTACTTCCGGCAGTTTGGCTTCGGCATCTGCGCCATCTACAAGTCGGACATTCTGGACGAGGATATCAACGGGTTCGACAAGGACATCACCGGCTGGGGCCTGGAGGATGTCAAGTTCCTGGAGAAGATCGTGCGGGTGGGCACCAGGCAGCGCGGCTTCCTGGCCAACACCGCCGAGGTGGCCATGGACTACAATGAGGCCGCCGAGCAGTGGCGCCGGCTGAGTGTCTTCCGCGCACCGGATCCCACGCTCGTCCACATCTACCACGACATTAGCTGCGACGTCCAGCTGGATGCCCCGCAGTACAACATGTGCCTGGGCACCAAGGCCAACTCCCTGGGCAGCACGAGACTGATGGAGCAGCTCTTCCACAGCAGTCCGGGGAACGTCCAGTTTGCCGCCGACTTTAATCGCCAAAAGCAACAGCAACAGCAGCAGCAGCAGCAGCAGGCCAGGTGATGATCGATCCCATCCAAATCCAGTGATCCCCATCCGCGATTCTGCCACATAGTATTATGCTAAATGTTTCCTAAATGAGCGCGTGCGTGGAGTGTGTGTGAGCCAGCCGATATGCCAAATCAATTCGTTAGTCCCTAATGCTAAGCTAGACATCTAGTGATCCCTGCATCCATAGATGGCAGTGATGGGATTGGGATAGGTACAAATTGTTAACTAGTAGGATGAAGCTACCGATACAAAATTATTACCTGCTTAAATGTGCATTATGAAAACAAATGATAACTTTATTTTTTAATCTTGAATAAGTCATCGGTAAATAGTAACCAACATAAAACAACTAAAAATGTCGATACTATTTTAAATATTTGCGGTAATAATAATAATTTTAATAATAATTATATAAATTACTATTCCATATTGCCAATTCAAAATTGAGTGGAGTAAATCGAGAAGTAAAAAAGTTGTTCCTATTTAGACTTGCCTGGGAATTAAAAACAAATAATGAAGTGTACAAATAATTAGTATTTACAATGTCAATAGACTTTTGAACATAAATTATAATTTTTTTAAATAATTTAGATAGTTTTAAGTCAGATAATGGTAGTAATGGTGGTGCGCCTAAGTACCTTCTATTCCACCATAACTTTTCCCATCACTGTAGGTAGATTGGTTATTTATTAAGATATAGCTATCCATCCGAGCTGATCCATGTCCCTAATTCTGTAGCATTTTAAAAATGCATATCTAAATGTTTATCTATAATTTAATAATAAGACCTTATTTTCTTTGATTTGACTAGGAAAATTGTATTCCAATAACCAAAATCGTGTTGATAAAATATGCATTCACAAGTTATCTAAATACTTGATTTTCCACTCAAATAAACACTTAATTGTATAGAAGATGTCTTTATTTTAAAATAAAACCAAACGTCTTTCATTTGACGGTTAATTTTACTCATTAGAAGATAAGTATTGGAAATTGGTTTTGTAACAATGTTTCAGTTCTGCATCCAACATAATTCTATGATTATGGACATCTATTCTACTTGATAATATTATATATATATTTAAAATCTATATCAAATAGATATTAATAGATCACATAGTTTCCGTTATTTATAACCAACTACTGTGCAGACAGTAATTTGATTATTGTCAAGTTAAAAGCATCGTGTTAAGCTTCCTTTTAAAGTTGTAAACGATGCATATCCAATGGATGTCTATACATAATCCACCGGCTCTATGCCGAGCAATGACAAAGCCACATTCATGATCTGTCGCACGGCCATGATGAGGTAGATCCTGGCATACAAAATCGGCATCAGTTGATCGCGCTTCTGGACCAGCACCTTCTTGTGGCGATAGTAGCGACTGAAGGTACTGGCCAGACTGTCAATAAAGCGCACCAACAGATGGACACCACACTGGCCCTGCTTCACTTGATCCATCAGGGATTCGAGAAGCTCTGGGAAAGTCAAAAGGTAGCCGTAAATCAACTGCCAATCCATCTGCAAAAAGTAACAAGAAAATTTTAGAAAGAATTGCAAGAATCAGGAAACAATCCTCTTACATCATCTTCTAGAACTCTGAGATCGATCTCACCCAACGGTGGCAGTGGCTCGTACACTCCGGCGTGCACCTGACCACCAAAGGTGCGTAGCAGCGTCTCCAGTCGAGCCGAATTGTACAGGATGTACGAAGCCCCCTTGGAGCTGCCCAATCCATTGCGCACCACACTGGCGGCGGTGGCGTGGCGCACCTCGAAGAGATCCACGATCACGGCAGCTGCTCCCAGACGCTTCATCAGCACGTCAATGTTGCACAAGCCTGCCGGACGGATTCCATTGCGGTGCATGGCCATCAGACGCATGTGCATGGAGCGCATCCTGCGTTAAAAGAAAATAGCAGAGTACAACTTTAAGATATGCAAAAATATTGAAGAGATTTAACTCTTATCAGTACATGTGTATAAATATATATGTTTTTTATAAAAATAAAAGTTTTGCTTTAAAGAAATGTGTTTGTTATATGCACAGCTTTTTAAATAAGTGAATATATTCTACATAGCGCTGAATATACTCACTCCAAGTAGTTGTCTAAGACCATCGCAGTAGCAGTCTTCTTTACGGGCTCCAGCACAGGACCGCTCACGAGGCAGACATGATTCTTGGTCTCCATCTGGGAGCATTTCTGCAACTCGACGTTCACGAAGAGGGTGTCCTCCTTCTGATCCTTGGCCTCGACCAGGCGCCAGGGCGAATAGTCCACCAGACGGAGCATGATCTGGTAGAGCTGCTGCAGGCGATAGAAGCGCAGCTCCTGGGAGCCATCGGTGGCTCCCGCCTCGGCCTGCAAGCGCAGGCACATGGTGGGCGAGTGCTCCGTCTTCTGGGGACGCCCGTAGTCGGCGCCCTGGATGAGCACGGCCTTCAGAACATAGTCGATGATCGGACGGCGCTGGAAGTGCAGGGCATAGCGCTCCTTGTGCAGCAGAGTGATCTCGCAAAGCGGGAAGCGCCACTCCTTGGACTGCCGCACCAGCTCCTGGCGCTGCTCCTCGCCGGGCAGCAGGACATCCATGTCGCGGCGCAGACCACGACCCTGCCTCTTGGCAAAGTTCTGCCAGTAGCGCGAGGTGGCCGCCAGGCTGAGGTCGCCCTGCTCGGCCAGATTCTCGTTGTGGTAGCGGATGATCTCGCCGCATCTCCGCAAGCGCAACGGAGCCACAGCCCCTGCATCGCCGGCCGACTCATCCTCCGGTTGGGTGAAGAAGGCAAAGAGCTGCTGGCTAAACTGCGACAGCGGGTTGCAATCCATTATTAACTGATTTACTCTTTCAGCTACAGATTAATTTCCTTTTTTCTGTAGGATTTTTCTGCTTTGTGGTGAACGACTGGTGTTATCGATATGTTATGATACGAAAATCATTCCGCGCCACTATTCAACACTGACCATTCCTGAATAAAATGGTTCTGCGCCACTTTTCAACACTGACCATTCTAAATTAAAATCATTCCGAAACTTTTTTAACACCATGTATTTATTTTTTGATCAATTATGATTCGATATCGACTTATCAATATTCCTGGGATATCGATTTATAAAAGACGAAATAAATATCGTTGAAAGCCCGCCAAACCAAAAGAAAGCGACACACCATTTGCAATCAATCAAAATTAAATAAAAATATTATAATGGGTCACTCATATAATTTTCAAATTTGTTTTATATAATTATTTTCGGGGGTATCAAAACCCCCATACAAATCATTGACCGACTAGCTAAAACCTAAAAAACTGATTAGAATAAACGTATAAAATCCGGAAATGAAAAATCCAGAAATATCCCTGATATCCGACTTGTCATAATCTGTATTAAATGATATTTTATTTATTTGCAAGAGGTTGTTGGAGCTGCTTCACAGCCGCCTGGCTAACTGCTCGGAACAGAAACAGTTTTGTACATAGTCATAGACGATAACTTTATGTATATATAAGTATAAATTAAATTATCACAATCGATCAATTCATAATATAACTAGAAAGTGTCAACGTTCGCAAATCATAGAAATTTACTCGCATGTACATGTGTGTGGTGGCTGTTTGAAGTATGGGGAGGTGGAAGTGGATTCCCCAGACCGGATCCAGATCGCTTGGCTAATCGATAAGTATATAAAGCATAATACATTGCAACTGGGAATGGGAGACGCAAACGGGAAACGTTACGGTGACCACGTTCCCCGCAGACAAGGCAATTCGGGCAGGGAGACGATCCTGCGCTCCGGCAATCATGTCTGCTTCGACGGCCGTTGCAGATTGGGCGGCGGGGCGGCCAGCAGCTCGTCAATTTGCAGCTTATAGGCCGCCTTCAGCTCGGTCAGGTCCAACTCCAGTTCCTCGGTGCGCTCCACCTTCTCGCCGTACATCTGAAGCAGGGCGTCGTAGCGATGCTGTAGGTCCTCGTAGCCCTTCTCCATCACCTCGTAGACTTGCAGCTTCTCCTTCATCTAAGATATTTGGGTAGAAGTTATTAAAATCCTATACACAAATGTAGGATTTCCTCCTACCGTTTCCAGTTCGATGGTCAGGTTAGATATCTCGCCGTCAAGAACGCCCCGTTCCGCCTGCAGGCGAGATAGTTCCCACTGTAGGTGGGTCAGCTCGCCATCGCGTTGCTTCAGCAGCGCCTGCAGGTGTTCCAAAGTGCTGGTGTTGGCCGCCAGGAAGCTGAGGTGCACACCTTGGATGATGCCCGACGGCTGCCGGCCCGAGTTGGAAGCGCAATCGAGATCGTCCTAGATCGACAAGTCAATAAAACGGTTGAGAAGATTCTTCATTTTAAGGTTAGACGTTGAGAAATTACCGCCTGCCAGTCGATGATGCCGCCCAGAACTTCCTCGTTCGAACCACTGTCGTCCGCCAGACTGAGAGGCGGCGAGGAGCGCAATGGGGCCTGCGATTTCGGCAGCTGCATTTGCAGCTGTGGCTGCAGCTCACTGCTGGCCTTCACTGCCTCCACGGTCAGCAGGCTGGGCTGTTGTTTGCTCCGCTCGTTCTCCGCCTGCTGCTGGCACTGGTGCTCCAGGTTCGCAATCCGCTCCTGCTGCTGCCTAAGCTCGTCCTGTAGCAAACTGAGTTGCCTGCCAGGCCGAAGAATATGGTATTAGGATTGGGAAAATCAAGACAGTTTAGTATGACAGACCTCTGATGATCGCTCTCCTTGTTGCCCGCATCAAGGTCATGCTGGCGCAGTGCCATCTTGGCGGTCTCCGCCTCCATCAGCGCACTCGACAGCTTCTCCTCCAGCAGACCGCAGCGGGTGCGTAGCAGCTCCTGCTTCTCGCCCTGCACGGATTCCAACTGCTGCAGCGAGCGCAACTGCACCTGTGAGTCGTCCAGCTTCTGGAGCAGCTGCTGCTCCTCGCGGTTCCATCCGGCGGAACGCTGATCCAGAGTGCGCTGCAGAGACTCGATCTGTCGGATCAGGGGCGTGGTAGTGGCACCCAGCTCTTGCGTGGAGCTCTCCGCCCGGAGCTCGGCGGCTTCTAGGCGACCCAACAGCTGGCGGTTCTCCTCGCGCATCTGCTGCTCCCTTCTGGCCAGGCTATGCTCGGCCAGGCGCAGTTTCTCGCGCAGATCCGACACCTGTTGCACGTACTCCTGCTGCTCGGCGCGCAGACTGTCCTGCTCGAGGCGCGTGCGCTTTTGCAAATCCCCTTTCAGCCCATCGAAGCTGGCTTGCAGGGCCGCCAGCCGGGACTGGAGATCTTCGATGCGGCTGCGGCCCTCAGCATTCTCCTCGTCCACACGCTTCTTCTCCGCTGTCATCCGGCAAACCGCTTCGATCTGAGTGCGCTCCATTTCCTCCTTGGCTGCCAAGGACTTTTTCAAGCGCTCCGATTCGCTGGACAGCAGCGATATCTGCTCGCCGTTTTTCTTTAACAACGTGTCCGATGTCTTCTCCTTGGCGCGGAGCTTCTTGATGATCGTCGACTGCTGCAGGATCTCCTTGGACAGCTTCTCGCCCTCGGACTGCAGGCCGGCGATCATCTCGTTGCACTCGGCCAGCTCGTCCTTGGGTATCTTGTTTTGCAGCTCATCGCGCAGGCTCTTCATTTGGATGCGCAGGGCATCGCGTTCACGTATGCTGGCCTGGAACTTCTTCTCCAGCGCCGACAGACGCTGCACTGCATCCGCCGCATCCGGACTGTTGGCGCTATTGGCCGCCGCCTCTACGCGGGCGCGCAACTCCTGATTCCGTTCCAGCAGCTCGGCATTCTGGCGCTCCGACTGCAGTAGTCTTTGCTCCCGCGCCTCAATGACCTGGTTTAGCTCACTGATGCGCTGCACCAGCTTGTCCAGCTCCGATTGCGAGTCCTCCGACAGCAGCGAGATCTCCGAGGGCTCGCGATTGTGACCCTTGGCCTTCAGGCCCACCTTGCCGCCCGCCAGCTCCTTGAACTTTTGAGGACTGGTGCGCGTGGTGGTACTATTGGTGCTGGAGTCGCCATTCGGATTGGAGATGATCTCGATGTCCGACGATGTGGACGAGTAGCTCTGGTCTACCACTTCTGCCTTGGGCGGGGCGGGCGACTTGCCCTTGTGGCTCATCTGCAACTGGATGTCCTCGAAGCTCTGCGTGGAATCGGAATCGGCGTTGCCAGCTGCCTGGATATCGCTAAGCACCAGGGCCTTCATGGTTTTGGTGGAGTCTGGACAGGAACACGGTGGTTAGGACGTGGTTTATATGAAGGAAAAGGCATTTGTGTACCCACCATTCAGGTGATCCTCCATATGCCGCTCCAGCTGCGTGCCCTCGTCGTCGTCATCCTCGCCATCGCCCTCGGCGTTGTCGGATGTGTCGTTGCTGGCAATGATCACAATACTGTCCGGCAGCGAGGGCTCCGTGTCCGGAGACATCTCCATTTCACTGGCCGTGGTGGCCGTGATGAGCTCCAGCGAAGATTCGGACAAGCGCTTGGCCACCGACGGCTCCTCGCCGCTGGCCGAAATTGGTGACGTCGGCGAGGACAGAAGATCCACCGAATCCGAGGTCGCCGACTGCCGCTTGCCGTAGGCGGCGCTCCCCGGAATGGAAGTGGGCGTGGGCGGAATGGTAACCATCTCGTTGGCATGCGGATTGTCGAAGAAAGTGGGTGTGTCCGATGCGGGCGTGGCTACAGATCCTTGTGTCTCCGCGGATGAGGTGTTTCCAGGTGTTCCACTTTCGCCCGGAACACCGGCGGTCGGCGAGTCCTTCTCCACAGACTTGCTGTCGTCGTCCTGGATGTCCAGCGCCTCAATCAGCACCGTCTTAGCCTTTTCGAACCAGCTCATGGTGGATGCTGATGCGAAATCCCAAGCCCAATTGCCACTGTATCAATATTGTTGACGTCGCTGCAGGCGGCTGGCGATAACAAAGTCGTAAACGCACTCCTGCTGCTGCAATCTCCTGCTCCTCGGGGGGCACATGCAAATCTGGCTGTGTGGTGACTGTGGATTTCCAATTGGGATTTCCTTGTTTTAGGAACACATAATTAAAACCAAAATCCTGTTTCCAGTTAATCGATTTCCACTTATCGATAGATCAGCTGGAGATGACACAGTGTAACCGTTTGTTGTTTACCACAGTACACGCTCAATACAATGAACATTAATATAATTTTTTGTATAGTACATTGCAAAAATAGTTTGACATTTCGGTCTTAATAAAATGTACATCCATTTTACATTGGGTAACACTTCTTATTCAGCATTTAACATTATTTATTTTGAATTTTATTTATTTGTATTATATATAATTAATTTAAGCAACCGGATACGAAAAATCTATGAAACATTAAGTTTAAATTTTAATGAATCTTATTATTTTAGTAAGTATGGTGAGTTTTTAATTGTCTCTACTTAGGCCTGTAAGATTGATACATTTTTACACACAAAAGACATCAAAATTTTACAAAAGATGGAAATAATATATATATGGATATTCCTTTAAAAATAACCTTAATAAAAGTTACCCTTATGCTTTTATATATAAGCTATGTCTATATATGTAAATATATTATCTATAAACTATACGGAAAAATAATTTGAAAATATCATCTGAAAAAACATCCAGGCTGGGGTTGAGTCCTCGCTCAATGTCTATACAGGACCACCACCATTCTTATTAGAATTCTCGGCGACAATCGATTGACAGCCTATCGTAATTTGCACGCCTCTGTTGAAAACTCTTTTTAATGTAATGTATAAAATAAAAGAAAAAAATGAAAACGGTCATTTAAATTGAGAGTGTAATCAAGGCAGATTGGGCAGCAGCGTCGTCGTCGCGTCACACCTTTATTTTTTGTCGGCGAGAGCAGCAGTAGCGCGTAGAATTTGGAGCAGCCAGCAGCGAAATACAGGAATTGGAATCCCAATCAGCAGGCGACTATAAAGGGGCAGCAACAATAACAACAATTCCAATTCAACTACGCACCCATTAACACCCGCCCCCCGTCCTTGCCACCCCATAGCCCCGCCCCCTAACCCCGCACGCCCCTCGAACGCCCGCACTTTTGGCACAAACACAGAGGCACACTAAAAAAAAACACCAAAACACATATATACTTATCATCCGAGCGACAAAAAACCGACCGCATTTATCATCCGCACATCGCACATCGCATTGTTTGCTATTGTTGTCTGCTCCGATTTGCACGCGAAGGAGCAGACAAAGAGGACGCGCCGAGGAGGAGGAGAAGGAGGAGGTGCAGGAGGTGGAGGAGACGGCGACAAAGGATCCGAGGCATCCAGTATCCTGCATCTATGGGTCAAAAGACGAGCACTCCGGCGACCAGTGGCCAGCAGAGCCCTCGCTCCAGGACATTTTCGAGTAGCTCAACGGGAGCTGCGGACTCCACGCAGCAGCAGTCGAATCCCGGCCAGAATCGCGGTGGTCAGAATGACGGCGGCCAGGGATTCAATCTGCTGCGCACTCCGCCCGTCCTGCAGGTGTACCACAACCAGAACTCCACGTCCATTGACCGTCAGCGGGCGCGGAGTCTGAGCTCTGTGCCGGACATCCAGCAGCAGGCGGCCCAGCAGCAGCAGGTGGGCTCGATCACCTCGTCTGGGAGCAGTCCGCACTCGCATCCGCACGCGGCACACGGCCACCCGGCTGTGGGGGTTTCCGTGTCGGCGAATGCCAATGAGAATAGCCACAGTAGCTTCCCGGCGGCCGGGAACAACAATGGATCCGCCACGCAGCCCTACATGCAGCAGAGGCGCACCCTCGGCGATTCCATACGGGTGAGTGGATCCAGGAGCCAGGCTAAATACCTGGCTAAAGGAACTCACAATACACAGTAGTCAGGAGTGAACACAATATTTGGATTTTCCAGAGGTCAAAAGGGGACTAGCTCAAGATTAAAATTATGATTCATATATCGTATAGTTAGTATTTATTTAACACAATATTTACGTATTTCAAAGATCGGAAGAAATGGAAATCGCGATTTATGTATCTGTCTATCAAAATGGATTACCCATTCGTAGGTATCTATGATACACAACATTTGTGTACTCCAAAGGTCAGAAGTGAATTAATGCAAAAGTAAAATCATGATTTGGTATCATTATACTCTACAGTCAGTATCTATTAAACTCACTACTTGAGTATTTCAAAGATCACGTTAATAGCTATAAATTAGCCATTAATTAATAGAATAATAAGTATTCCCAAATTACCTTAAAAGTTTTCCAAAATGATCGTAAATTATGGAATATATAAATTGGACTTCGGCTTAGTTTAAAATACTCTGGAGGTCTAAATTACCCTAAAATCAGTTGTAGTCTAACACGGTATTTAAATATCCTTAAGGCCATGTTAATAGTACAGAATAAAGTACCTTAAAAAATATTCGTAATGGTATATCGATTCAACACAACATGTAACATTAAATGTTTATAGTAAACTATAATAAGAAAAAAAAAATTTGGAACGTTGAATATACGTTTTTGTATACTGTGATATATCAAAAATTATTGTTATTTTTATCATATAGTTTAGCTTGTTTAATTTAAAAATATAACGAAATATAAGAAATTGCCTGTTTTTTTATATATATGAAATATTCAGTATTTCCCAAGGGATAAATAAAAAATTAATATCTGTTAATCAGAAAAATGTAATACTAATTTCACTAGTACAATCTAGTTTAAAAAAATTCAAGGTATAAATTACATTTTAAACAAAATATCTTAAATATTAAATCGGTTTTTAACAGTAGTTATTTTAGTTTGATCTATGACGATTAAAGTCATGGAAAAAAATCATTTTTGATAGTTAAAAGTATTGTCTGATTAAGACTATACCAGTAAAAATAACGTATACGCACCATCAGACCTTTTTCACTAACCTTTGTTCCGCAATCCTCAATTACAGGACATGACAATGACCGGCGGCAATATCGCCGAGAGCATCGCTCTGGCCGCTTCCGCCACGTCCGCCAATGGGATCGGCCGTGTCTACACGGCCACCTCGCTTCCATCGCACATTTGGTCCTTCAATGGTAAGCCCTCGTGTCGCCTACACCTGTTTTCTCATATTTGTAAACCTCACGAAATTCCTCGAATAATTGCAGGTATCAAATGCCCTGTGTGCAATAAGTTTGTGTTGCCGGACGACATTGAATGCCATTTAGTCATGTGCCTAACGAAACCACGACTCTCATATAACGGTATGCAGTTGACCCTCAGTTCCCCGATTTCCTGGAATATTTATACTTATTTTCTCTATGCGTCGCATTCCAGAGGATATTTTGTCGGACGCCAAGGGCGAGTGCGTCATCTGCCTTGAAGACCTGAGTCCGGGGGACACCATCGCCCGGCTGCCTTGCCTCTGCATATATCACAAAGGGTGAGTTTAAAATAGGGAGTTATGAAGTACTGAACTTGATATATTTAAAAACAATTGAAAGTTTGAGGTTTGGTTTAAAAGATCGTATTGTATTGCAAATATAATATTTATACAGTTGGCTTATAATTGATCTAAAAGATCTCAGAATACAGAACTTTGTTCAACATACATATATAAAATATCATTATTTGCAGTTATTAAATAATATAATAAATTAAATGCGCAATACGTATAAATATTCAATTAGCTTATGTTTTATTGAAACAGCCGGTTGCATTTGTTTTCATCGTTATCTATGTAGCTAGTTTGTTATAATCGGTAATAACTCTACATAGTAGGCATTAGGTATCTTATCTTTAAACTAATCATTAAATTTACCATTGAAGAAAACTTTTTACCACAAGCCCCCATAAACCGCAGAAAGAAAACAAAACCCTGGGAACAAAGAGTCAATAACGAAAATTTGAGGAGTGTCTCAGTTTGAATTTTACACTTACCTCACCCCTTTGGGGCAATAAATTTAAAAATAAGTGTGTTCACATAATGGGGGCTGCATGCCGACTTCTCTCTACTAAGTGCCAGAGGGCTAATTACAATTCTCTTGACTTTCTGTCCGCCCACAGATGCATCGACCGTTGGTTTGAGGTGAATCGCTCCTGTCCCGAGCATCCTGGAGATTAGTAATCCTCGCCAGGTAAGCCCCATAATTGGCACATGTGTGTTGGATGTCCGGACAAAAACAAGTCAGCCTCATTAATTTCAACCAGTTGGTGGAATAGTTCGAGAGGGCAGGTTCTCGATTATAATGGGATTTACATTTGCATTTACTGTTGCAGAGCTCGCCAAGTTGTTTGTGTGGTGCGTTATGCAAGCGAGGAGAGGTATTGGAGCTGGAATGGAACTGGAACTGGGCAGCTAGTAGCGGTGCGAAGAAGGGTTTAATCTCTGGGTAAGGATACAGTGCAAATGCTCTGAGACCAAATATTTAGCACGTATGTTGTACAGCATATCGCACAATTAGTGGTACAAGTTTTTATATCTTAAGAGTCGTTTATTGCTTGGTAAATTGTTTTTATAACACAATTTCCATTTCTATATTGAAATCCAGAATATTGCCAATCAGAGATATCAAAACTATTTTTAAATCGGTTTTAATTGTCTTATTTATTTAAAAAAAAATTAATTGCGAGTTATGCTAGTTTAATAATTAGTAGTAAGTAAGTAAAAAGATGGCCAAAATGTAATATCCTGTCCTTTTCAGCTGCTCAACACCCCGAGCTGGAGCTGGAGCTTGAAAAAAGCGTGTAAAGGATATAGGATATAGGATGGGAGAGGCTATGCCACAAAATGCGGATCTAAAAAGTGGGATTGAGCAATCGATCACTTGACCTACCGACCGACCGATCGACTGCTGATGGAACCCAAAAACACACACAAATCAATTGAAACAAATTAATTTACAATGCTAAACTGGCAACATAATAATAATAATAATACACAAAGAAAAAATCAAATAACAAAATCAACCAACCCACAAAAACTACAACAACAAGAAGCAACAACCAGAAGATTAAGAAGATGGGAGGAGTGTAAAGCGAAGCAACCAACCAACCAACAAAAGAATGTCAACCAATGTGATGTTAAATTTTATATTTTGTACTATGGATAATGATGTAATTGTAATTGTAATGTATATGTATGTATTTATTATTTTAAACAGGACTAAAATAGGATAAACACAAAAACACAAGCGTAAGGAGAACACACACAAAAAGAAAATAACAATAACAAATACTATTAATAATTATGCTAATTTAGAAGACAAACAAACGAAAACGAAAAGCAAAGCAACCAAAAACATAAAAACCAACATTAATTAAGAATGAAATGTAACGAAGATAGAAAACCATTTTTCCCAATTTCGGTGTACTATAAGATTTGTTTAACAATCGCAATCAATTCTCTTTGTGTTTATCCATTAGTTATGGCTAGTTATATTTAAATTATTGTAATTTTTTATACCCATGTTTGTTATGAACATTTTGTTTGTGTTTCTGTTTAAACAAAAAAATTTTAAATTGACAGATCGAAGAGAAATATTTTAAATATTCGCCATTATTTGTAATTTGTCAATGTGAAGTTCTGGTCAAACGAAAGCTAAGGACAAATCCTATTCTATTTTTTTTTGTCAAATGCTTCAAACTGGCCATATATCCAATACCCGTAGACATTGTAAGCTGGTTGTAAACGATGCAGCGCCAGCATGTATATGAAACCATTTTAGATATTTGCTGAATTTAATATCTGCATCAATTACGACCACCTTTAGTCTCGGGGCGCCGTTTGCCTGGAAGCTGTGCGTTTATTATCATTACTGATTACTGTATGTAAATTACTACCCATTATGTTTACTATCCTTGCTCATCGATAACCGGATCGCTGCGAAGATTGCGTCGATGATCCGCCAAAGTTTCCTTAGCAACCGAAGCAACAGCAGCTACGGCGGCAGCACGTAAGAACTATTTTGTAAATGATATACTTTAATGTATTGTACAGATATACACCCCATACACCATGCATATATATAGAACGTTGTATATGTATATTATATATATATATAAATTGTAACTGTATAACTATAGCGTTGCATTGAGCGATTGAGGATACAACTGATTTCACTCCAAAGGTAAACGACAAAATAAAAGCGATAAACGTAACATTTAAATGCAAATTTCCATATTGGTTATATTTGAGAAAAGGTTTTTTGTATCCCGATGGCAAAATTGGTAACTAATCGAAGCAAAAAAAAAATAAATATTTGAACTTTTATAACCAACCAAAGCGAATAGAGCAAATAAAACGATTTAGGATAACAATTGTCAAGTAAAACGGAAGCAAAACGAGAAGAACTTTAGAAAATAAATGAGTGATTATATATACCACAAAAGTCTCCCTCTCTTGGAATTAAAAAAGGGCAACGTTTATATTCAGCACTGCGTTTATTGAAATAACTAAAACGAGAACGGGCGGCGTTGATGCCTCGGTTATATAGGGGTGTATATATAGTTTTAATATGGCTACGGATAATTTGATAACACAATTCAATCGGCTTACACTTAGAAATTTTGAACTAAAGTAAGAGGGGAAAATCTAAGATTGGCTTAACACATAATTAAAACAGATCCGGTACGGCGTAAATGAATATATAGTATAATCGAATCGAATATAAAAAATCGAACAAAAGTAATGGCGATTGGCAAAAAGCTGAGACCGGAGAACGTAAATTGCAAATCTGAAACCTGGAAAATATCGAATCCGATTACGTCGTTATGCCAAGATCGTGTAAATCGGGAGCTATGTGAGCTGCTACTGGCAATCCGGCATCCGGCCAGCTTCTCGTTATGTCCACTCGGAATGCGGAATGCGATCTGAGAGAGCACGGGGTCCGGTCCGACGAATCCCGGACCGCTGCGCTACGCGTCTGTCTGTCGTTTCGTTTCCTATCGTTTAAGCAACTACACTTGGTTGGGAGGTGGCGGTGGCCAAATTGGTTCCGCCACGGCCTTTGGGGAGTCGGCTGCCGTCAGGCTGCGACTGCTTCTAGTCCGGAGGAGGTCCAGAGATCCGATCCGGAGGTCCGATTCGGTCCAGAGGTTTCCCCAATGTTGAATGTAGTCTATCCGCTCCGAGTTGTGATGCGTGGTGATATCAAAAGCCCAAAATGCGGCCGACCAGTGTGGAAGCTTAGACCCACGGCGTCCAGCCCTCGTAGAGCACGGCCAAATTGTCAGGATTGGTGGCCTCGCGAATGGCATAGTCCACCTGCTCGGCGACGGAGCTGCGCTGGTTGCCATCTGGGTCGCGCCCCTCCAGCTTCATCCGTATCTTCTTCCACACGGACACGCCGTAAGCATTACGCTTCTGCTCGTGCAAATTACTGGCACCTGCAGACGGAGTAAATTTGGAAAGGTGGAAAACACATCCTTGATAGATTCGTTGGTTTGTTGGACTCACCTTTGGTGTGCGTGAAGGTTTCGTAGGAATCCGTTTCAGTTGCGTGCTGCAGGAAGTCGTCCATGCTCTTGAAGAACTCGTTTACCTCCTGGCTGGCCATCACCAGGATCAGCTGCAGTTGCTGTCGCCAGTTTTGCAGCACAGCAAGCTGCAGAACTCTCCGCTCGGCACAGAGGTCCTTGCGCAGGTCCTGGAGCCTCTGGAAGAGCGCCTGCACCAGACGCTGGCAGTCGCGCAGGTGGCCGCAGAGCAGCTGCACATCCGTGGGCACTATTTTGCCCTGACCGTGCGCCTGCGCCTCGGAACACAGGGTGCGTACATGGAAGCGCGGCATGTTGTCCTGCAGACGCTGTGTATGTGTGTGGGGAAATGTAGGCAATAAAAATCTAAGATTCAGTCGCTTTGGGGCAACCACTTACCAGTGTCTCCTTGAGCAAGGTGCAGATAAAGCTATGCTTGCTCTGCTGCTCGCCCTCCAGGGCTGCAATCTCGCGCTGGACCTTGCAGGTCTGTTCCTCCAACAATCCGTGCACATTCTCCAACCAATAGGGATCGATGGCGCCCTCGGGGTCCAATAGTTCCACCACGGCCTGCTCCACGGCACTAATCCTCGAGCTGCTCGCCTGCCATTGTCCGTGCGAAGCGAGCCATTGTTCCAAATGATCCACCTGCGCATGCCCCTCCTCACCAAGAGCTCCGGCATGCTGCTCTAGACGCGACACTGCACTGGCTCCATCCGCCAGCTGCCGCACCACCAAAACATGGGCAGCCACCCGATGGTTGTGAACCTGCTGCGTGTGCAACAAGCTGTCAAGGTGATTGCGATTCCAGTTGCTGCGTTGCGACTGCAACTGGCTGAGTTGCGACTCCAGGCCACCTTGTAATTGCTGCAGGGCATTCAAATTCTGGTCCAATTCCTGCCAGCCCTCGCCAATGGCTGCGGCCAATTTCGGCCGGCTGACGATGTGGTGACCACAGCGCAACTGAGCTCCCAGTGCCTCCGAATAGGCCCAGTATTGGGCTGATGCTGCCAGGGTGTGCAGCTCCAGCTGCTGATTGAGCAGCGCTATTTCCGCCTGTTGCTGCTGCAGGCCGCCGTCCGATTGCAGGGAAATGAAGAGGCTCTCGCACAGGTGATCCGCTTGAGCTGGATCCCCGCACAACGTGGTCGGAGTGCATTGCGGTCCGACGGCGGTGTAGAAGTTACGCGCCAGGAGCGGCAGAAGGCCCGCCAAACTCTCAGCCTGGAGGCGTTGGACGAGACCCAAAACGGGCCGCGCCATTTCCCGCACGTCACAGCTTCGGCTGGATTCTAGTGCTTCACTGACCAGGCCGAAGAAGCACTCGTCGTCCAGCTCCATGTGACAAGATTTGAGAAGGTCCAATTCCTAAACAGACAATTAAACTATTATAGTTATGGCCACAAAAATACAACATCTTGTACACCCACCATTAACTGCTGGACCTGCGAATCGTGGACATCCTCGAGCATCATCTTGACACTTCCCACCAGCGAAGCCAAGGCGGTGGACGCCAGTTGGAACTGTTCGTAGGCAGGCTGCAGGGATAGTAGAAATCGACGATCCGCTGGGAACTCCTCCGGCTGCTGCTCCTTCTCCAGCGTGGCCTCCAGATACAGCTGTCCCAGACTGGAGGCACTCAAATGACACAAGGCGCTCAGCTGGCCAAGATTGGGTTGCAGCAGCAGAAGACGATATATGCTGGCCGGCAGGTCGTACTCAAAGATCTGCTTCAAATGCGACAGCGCTGACAGCAGGTTCTCCATTTGGCCCAGATGCAGATCCTCCTGGTCGGCCATCGCCAATACACCTTGGCACATGGAGCGAACCAGGTGGATAAAGTGCAGCTGATGCTGAAGGAGCTCCTCATCTTGGCTGGCCAATGCCACCTGTTCGTAGGCGGCGAACGCTACGCCAGTCCGGTTCAAAGTGCGAACTAAGCTGGCCTTCAGCAGCAGCAGGCTGCAGCCACTTTGGCCAATCATGGCCAGCAGGGCAGGAGTGGGTGCTCCCAGGGACAGAGCCTGCGCCTGCTTGGCGGCATAGCGCTGCGAGGACTCGTGCAGCTGGCAACTGAGCCGGATCCAAGCGGACTCCAAGGCATCGGCTACGCCCAAGACATCTGCCGTGCAGATAATCGAGCTGGATGGCGAATTGGGATTGCTGGTGGTGCCGCCGTGCTGAATGTACGATCCAAAGCTGTCGTGGAAGCGCACGAATAGATTCTGCCGGTGACTTTGCTCCGGAAAGAAGTTCATGACCGCCGCATATTGCTGCAGGTGCTCCGAGCTCTGCAGGGCCACTTCATCCAGCCGACTTAGGAGCTCATCCAACTGGCCACGCATGCTCTCGAATCCGGATAACTGAAGAGCCTCCGCCAAAGCAGCCGATTCCGCGACATTCTCGTTTTCCGACTCCAATTGCAACTGGACGAGCTGGGAATGCAGTTCGGCCAAGTGATACGGCTGCAGGCATTGGCCATAAGTGCTGAGGAGGCTCTGCACATGGGCGAAGTCCGCCAGGCGCTCCGCACTGAGCGATGCCAGTGCCTCCGAGTGACCACGGCGAACCGCATGGCGCAGCGAGGCGGTGTTGAAGCTGTGACTCTCGATCGCCGTCCCCAGCGACTTGATTTCCGCGATGAGGGCGCTCCGTTGATTCAGCTCCACCAGCTCCTGCTCGGCCACCAATTGCTTGGTCTGCGCCGCCACCAGGTTGCCAACCTCATGATTCATCTCCTGCAGCTGCAGCATCATGTCCGTCCTGGCAAGTAAAGGAAAGAAACGTGCAAGTCAATCATGAGTGTGAAGAATAATGCATCATGTTAAGACAAAAATGGAACTGTCCAATTAAAATTAGATTTTGAAGTCAACTAGTTGTCCATATCCATTGTAATAGTCTTACTCTATTTTAAATATCTTATAAACATTAATATACTTGTGTTGAGAAATAGCTTTGAAACTATGGTTGATCTACTCACTTGTTGGTGGACCAGTACTTTTGCAGCACACCCAGTTTGCTTAGGAAGTGCTGCCGCTTGGCATCCCAATCGTGTAGCTTTCCCTTGTTCTTGTCCTTTTTGTGGCACTTGAGTTCGCCGCCACCTGCACCTCCTCCTCCTCCACCCGGCGCCTGCTGGTGCTTGGCACTCAGGGATCGGCGCAGGGCCTGGGCATCGTCGTTTACGGTCCAGTCGACCAGGGGATCGTAGACAAAGGCCTCCAGCAGGGTCAGCAGGGTCTCGCGTTCCTTGCGCATCACCTTCAGCACATACTCGCAGCCCAGCCGGAAGGAGCCCTGCAAAAGACGACGGGGTTAGTGGTTATTGGCGGTGGTATATGTGTACGTATGTCGCACCCATAAACGGGTCATTGGGGTCCATAAATGTGCGAGGGAACCGTTTCCATCTGTCGTACATCGCACAGATATACGATTCAATATATTAGCAATGCTGATTTTATGGGAACCAAAACGCAACCCCAAGCCCAAACCAGAAACAGGAACAAAACCCGAACCATAACCATGTTCTACATATACGACCTCGACAGACATCGAAGCTAATCGCTGTTTACAATTGTAGATTGGCACGTAATTTATGTGATAAGCCCCATGACTGTCCATATATATCTTGGGCTCAGATTTATTCCCATTTATCCATTTGCCCATGCCAACCTCAGATGTTTCTCCAACATACCCCACATGGTTTTTGTTGATCCATAGTCCACGACAATGTGGTGTGGCCAAAACCAAACAGGCAAAAAGTGCATGGCTTATTGATATAGGTGTTTAAGTCGAAATATATGTCATCTGTTGCCATATAGCAGATAAAAATCTAATATTACGGTGGGGACTAGCACTCGCACCTTCACTTGCAACTGAATATGGGGCGAAACTTCTTATGTTTCTATTACCTAAGATCTATCTAATTTCTGTCGTCTTCGATTAATATATATTATTTTATTATTTATTTTTGTTTCAATTTTAAAACTCATTTATCTACCCGATGATGTATTATATTAATATCATACTTTTTGCATTCTAATGAATATTATCTAAGATGGATGTTCTAAACTGAAGAGTTTTACTTTTTGATTCTTCGTATGATCATATTAATTAACTATACTATCTGGAATATATAAAATATAATAAATGTTTACCAAAAAAACATTTTGTTACTTAAATTCTAGTTTATAAAGATGCATAACCCAAAATGTTTATATACGTAGAATGCAATATCATTTTCTGTCTTGGCTGCAATTGTGTAAACTGTTATCAAAAAAAAAGAAACATATGCATTTCAAAATTTCTGAGCAATACCTATCCATTGCTGCTTTTGATAATATTTTATGGTTAAGTGTTAGGTCTACTTATATGATACCTACTAGTAAAACGATAATGCCTCGGAAACGTTACCTTTGAGTCATCCGTGGACTTGTTTTATATATTTCTTTAATGGCTAGAAGGCCCTACAGATCCTACTGCAAATTTTGTCAAATTAAAGATGTATCTGCGAGCCGTATATCTCAGTTACTGCCCCTGGCTTTATCGTTCTATTTTGGTCCGTGGAGCTGGGCTAATCTGCCAAAACCCCCAGCGATCTGTTTTGGCCATTCATTCGGCCCGGGAGTCCGGGCACTCCAAACGCTCTGGGGCAGTGGGTGGTTTGGGTGACAATGGATGGTTTGACGATTCGATTGGCGGGTAGTTGGGAAGTTGGGCCCTGCAGGCCCGGGCCAAAGTGGCAAGCTTATCGACGGATTGCGGTTCTCACGGTGGATCTGGCCGCGTTATCAGTTAACTGGCGGTGACGATGTCATAGAGCCACCAGCGAAACGTAAACAAACGACGCCCACGGCTGCAGCCGAACCACATTTGAATCTGAATCCGAATCGAGCCGACGTCCTGGGCCAAAAACCGCACAGCTCCAGCTCCCACGGGTGCCAGATGCCAGATAGTTCCTCACTAGCGTCGCGTGCGCTTCGTTTTTCGTCGTGTGACATGGCATTTTCCAGTACCTCATCGCCCGCCTGGGATTATCAGAGCACTCCGGAACCGCTGGGACTCCTGTTTCCGCGGCAAAATGCGACGATAACTCCAAGTGACCTGGGTCTCCAGACGACAAGCCTGGGTGCGGGTCACTTCCTTTGGCTGGCCATCAATGCCCTGCTGTTTGCCCTCATCCTGGGTGGCAATATCCTGACCATTGTGGCGGTACGCACCTGTCGCCATCTGCGCTCGGTCATCTCCAACCTGTTCATCCTCTCTCTGGCCGTCTCCGATTTCTGTGTGGGATTGGCCTTGCCCTATCACCTGACCTTCTACATGGGCTCGGACATTGGCGCGATGCGAGCTCCCTGCCTGCTGCGCTTCTTCCTGCTAATCTGCGCCTGCTGCGTCTCCATGCTGACTCTGATCTCCATTGCGGTGGATCGGTATATAGCCGTGGTCTACGCCTTGCACTACAGAAGGTAAGCAGGCCATTGATACTTTTGCGTGTATCAGGTATCCCAGAAATATAGAAATATCATTTATTTATACTAGAGCTATTCATTTATCAACAGTATTCTGCCCTTTGTCAAAGTTATAAACAAATTATGTATTCTATTTTTCAACTATTCGGATGATTCAATGTAATAATGAATCAATAGGATTATTTTAATTCAATGATTCAACTGTTAAAAATCCTAAACATTTTGTGGTTTTTATCATATTTTTCATTCATTCGGATTATTCAATGATTTAAATTTAAAAAGATAATTTCAAAGTATATAGTTTTTAATTAGAAGAACGCACCAATTCTTACAATTAGTATGAATCGTATCTCGAAATGCAGCCTACGTTTGCTGTTGATTCATGAACGGGTCTAATTTATATCTATTGAACTTGAAGTTTTTTGCTCGCTAAAAAGAAAGGAACCCACCCAAACCGCTGATCATTGACGTATGTATATCCCACAGATACATGACACGTCGCGTGGCCTATAGCATCATCGTATCCAATTGGTGCCTGGGTGCTTTGGTGGCCCTCCTGCCCGTGTTCTGGAATCGATGGCCCGAGGCGCAGGCTTGCGAATTCGACGAGGTCCTTTCGCCCGGCTACATAGCCGGTGTGATTACGCCGGGCTTCATAATCATTTGGATCTGCATGCTCCTGGTTTACTGGCGCATCATGCGCGAGGCTTCCATGCAAGCTCAGCGATTGCGGCAGTCGGTGGTCTATAACACGGATGAGGCCACCACCATGCGGAGTCTGCTGCTCCATCCCGATTGGAAGAGTGTCCAGATCGTGGTCTTCATCATGGGCTGCTTCACACTCTGCTGGCTGCCGTACTTTTGCGTGGCCATAGCTCAGCTGTTCAGCATGTGCCGGAGCAGCTCGATGATCTACAAGACCACCTTCTCGCTGGCGATTGCCAATTCGGCCCTCAACCCAATCATCTACTCGTGGAAGAACTCTGGCTTTCGGCGCGCCTTTGCCCAGACACTCTGCTGCCGGTCGGCGAGGCAGTGCGAGGATCAGCTGCCGGCGGACAGCAAGCACCGCATGGAGGCCACCTCCTCTTCCACGGGATACCAGCAGGAGATCAAACCGAAGGCCACTCAGTGATCACCCTTAGAATACCCATCCCTTGACTTTATAGGATTATGTTGAGATGAAAGCAATTAAAGCGCAACGATTTGTGGCATTATATTTAAATGCTTTCATTGTTTGACCCATAAAAGAGATTTGTTGCAAGTTTCTGAAACACTAATGTGCAACTGAGGGATTGAGTATCCTATTTCGAGCTGATAGGTGAGTATGCAACATATATAAAGAGCGATTGAGGTCCCAAAAGGGGCAATGAAATTAAAATAAGCAGGGGCATTGAGCATTATCTTACCTCGATTCCGGTGATGCCCAGGGCGTGCACAAGATTCTGGGTGAGACGGAAGGGCACCTTCTCCGGGATGCGCAGTGTGCGTCCCTTTTCGAAGCAAACGTTGTAGTCGATGTGCACGATGTCGCCACTTCCCAGGTTGATAAGCACGTTGTCCAAGTGCCGGTCGCCCAATCCGATGACATAGCCAATCATCGACATGACCGACATGCAGCGGGCATACCGACGCACCGATTGCCGCCACTCGGCGGAGTTTCCGGCCTGACACCACAGTTCCCGGGCGAGCAGATCTCCAGGCGTTTCCTGCGACAATTCCGCGAGCACCTGGCGCAGGGCGGATATGGGCCACTGGCGGCGTGGATCGCTTACCTGCAGATTATGCTTGGCCAGCAGCGGCGAGAGTTTGCTGTAGAACAAATCCGTAAAACGCCGCGTGGCATTGGCACCAGCACCGGCTCCCGTTTTCGCAGTGATCTGGGGCTGTCGCTGCTGCCACTTCTTGTAGAGTGCAAAGAGCGGAGTGACTCCGTCCACCCAGCTAATCAATCCGGACTGCGGGCCCAGCGGAATCACGGAGTAGTGGTGGGCACGATAGCAACCATTGCCCGGTGCATCACTGCGGCAGGCCATGATCGCGTTCGAGATGGACAGGAACTGCATGATGCGCTCGTCCAGATGGAGATCCTCCATCCCCTTGAACAGGAACGTGTAGCGCTGGCCATTGCTGCCATAGAAGGCAACCTTTTTGGGCTTCGTCTTGGTGGGCAACACGCACACTGAACCCTCGACGCTCTCGATATAAACCTGATCCTCATCCGGACCATGGGCGTCCAGGCCAGGCATGGAGATGCGCATCCGTCCAATGCCGCACAGCACCGGGCTCAGGCTCTGCATCTTGAGGGTGCTGCCCGTGCCCCTGATCATGTTGGACTGCAGGATGTGGTATAGCTGCTTCAGCTTGTCCCACGCCTCCGGGTAACGACGCGATCGCAGTGCCTCCACGGTGGCTCGTATGGGAGCATCGAATCGCTTGTGGAAACTCCGTTCATAGCTGGTCTCGGCCGGGCGAGCGGTGAGCGCGGCCAGGGCCTCCAGATCCGCCAGTAGTTGCGGCCGCCAGACATTGAAGCGGTTGTTCTTGCCCTCATGGTCGTCCGGACGGAACTCGGTGGCCAGCGCACTCACCCGACTCACGTACGTGTTGTAGATGTGGGCCAGCGAGTGAATCCAGTACTCGTCCCACAGCAGGCACACGCGGCGCAGCTCTTTCACCATCAGCTGCACATGCTGCACTGCCTCCGGCGCCTGTTTCGAGAGTTCCCCCAGCAAGTAGCCGTAGCAGCAGGCATCCTCCGTGGTGGGTGGCGCTGGTGCGGACGCGGGTGGAGCCGCTGCATCCTGTTGCTCCCTGTTGGCGCCCACCACTGCTGGGAAGATCACCAGCTGTGGTCGACTCTCGGCCAGGCGGCAGAGCAGGTCGCAAACGCTCTTTCTCACATACGGTTCGTGGTGATTCAGTCGGCTGAATAGCTGCGGAATGATCACCTTCCAGGGGGCAATTGGCGTGGTGCGTAGTCCCTGCTCCAAAACCTCCTGCAGTCCGCTGGCATGCTTCACAATCAGGCGGAGCAGGCGCAGCGTTGTGGTCACCAGATTGCTGTCGTCCACATGGAAACGTTCCCGCTGCTGAGCGGTTCCATCGCCTCCTGGCTTTTCCGAGCCGGAACCCGCTTTCAAACTGAGATATTGGAAGTACGAGCGCGCTGCATCTTTGTAGTAATCATACGTGTTGGCTATGGCCCGTCGCCAAATCTGCAAGACGGCATCTAGCACTTCCGGCGGCTTATCCGCGAGCAAACTAAGTCGACGCAGGCAGTTCTTGGCAGCCTCATCATCCCGGGCACGCGCCGCTTCCGGACACACCTCCACACAGTTCGCCGGCGGCTGCTCCATGCTCAGCGCCTGCAGAAGCTCACCCAACTGATCGTTATCGAGCGGCATGGCAATATCCAGCGCCTGGCTAAGAGCCGACACATCAGCCTGAGTGAGCACGCAGCCACTGTCCACGATCTTCTTGCCCCAGCGATAGCACCAGTTGCCATACGCGATCAGCGCCTCCTCGCAGTTGGGACGCTGCTTTAAGCTGGCATGGACCAGGCGGGCAACCAGGCGCTCAGCTTGGGGAATCGCCAGCGGTTGGCTGGAGCCACAGGTCAGCGGACATTCGGGCAGTTGGTCCAGCAGTTGAATCAAGGCAGGCGACTGATTGGTGGTCATCCCGTTGCAAGTCCTGGCGGCTATCCAATCGGAGAGGGTGAGCAAAAGGTCCGCACCGACGGCCGGTTGATGGCTGTTCCTCTGGATGTTCAGGCAAAGCGAAGCACACACATCAATGGAAGAGCTTAAGTCGCCGCACTGCGTCTGCTGTTGCTGCTGCTGCTGGAGATGCAGGCACTTGACCAGCTCACTGTAACCACGAAGTAACTCCGGACTATCCGTATGCAAGCCTTGCTCCAGTGGAAACTGAGCAGCAATCTCCTCCAGCGGCTGGCCAAAGAACTGGGCGAGCATAATCTCAGAAAGCTGGAGGTTTCCCTCCTCTCGAGCTGCGGCTGCTGCGTCCAAGCAAAGGGTTTCCCAGCTGCCCGGCACACAATGCTGGCGCAGCAACTGCGTCCAGGCCAAGCAGCGCATCAAAACAGCGCTGGATACGGTATTTGTGCGGCTTTGGCATCTCTTCGTGGACAAGGGAAGCAGGGACAACTCCTGACCGTTACTGACGCCTTGAACAATATGCCGGAGAAGGGTGAGTTCTCTGCTGGATCTCTGATCAAAACTGGGGTTCAACAGGCTATCTCGCCACTGGATATCCAGCAGGTTCCTCGTCTGATCGGGCAGGCAACGGTCCTCTATCAGCTTTTGCAACACAATATCCTCTGTGCGCTGGCGCACATGAACTGACGAGAAGCTAGCACGTCCATTTAAAGCGCTTTCTGATCCAGATGCCTCCCAGTTGCTGGGCCACAGGCTCAACTGCTGCAGGGCTCCTCCAAATTCTTCCATGGACGAAAACGTCTCCTCTCCCCTATTCAGCAGTCGTTCCAGAGCATTGACCTCGACGTTGCTGCGTTGTAGGAAGGGATTTAGTTCTCTGTCCTCCGGTCGATTTAGTTGTTGCTGCTTTAGTTCCACCAGCTGCGACCACTGGCCTGTGTCCTGCAGGCACTGCATCATCTGGGCCAGAACAAACTGTCGTGTGTGCGGCTCCAGCTCAGGATGGTGCTCCTCCTCGGCCAGCACACTTCTGTAGCCGACAAGCGCGGATTCCCGTTTTCCGGCTGCCTGATCCGCTGCACACAAAAGCCACTGGTAGGATTTGCTGCTCTTGGAACGGGCCCACAGGCACAGACCGCGCAGGGAGTCCGCCTCCTGGCAGCTGACCCAAGCCCAGGCCATGTAAACGATCGCCTGGCTATAAGTGGCATCTTGCATCTTCTGGGTGAGCAGGATTTGCTACAAAAAATAGATGCCGCTGAGTACGGATATGAATCTCTATGGGAGTAACTCACCTGGGCATATCGGATGACCAGTTCCGGCTGCTGCACATGCATGGCGATGATGACCACACCAATGCGGATGCGATTAAACCAGGACTGACAGGTGGGGTTATTCAAACGAAAGAAGGCCGCCACTGGTTTTTCCGGCGGACGAAGAGCAAAAGCACTGCCCTCGGCGGCGTTGTAGATGAGCTTCTCCAGTGCATCGAGGAAGCCCAGCAGCAAACTCAGATTTCCCTGCATGCTAACGAGCTGCTCCAGCGACAGCGTGTCCAGGGCAGAGCGCTCCAACTCCTTGGCACAGCCACTCAGCAATCTGGCGTGCCGCATGATGATGGCCTCGAATCCGAGGAACGTTTCTTGCGGCTTTCCCAGCGTCGTACGGAGTCGCTGGTCCACACAGTATCTGGCTGCTTCGAACTGCAGCCAGGCGGTGGCCAATCGCTGGCAGCGCTTTGTGCATTGCGACAGCTTCTCTTGCCGTTCATCCTGCGGCGCCACTTGGCAGCTACGCACGAATAACTCCCGCAGACTGTTGGTCAGCGAATCTTGCTCCGGTTTTTGGAGGCGCTCAAAGAAATCCCGGAAGACGGTGTCGCGTACGGCGCTGCACTGACTCATCCTCTGCTGCCAAACGCAGACACGTCTGCTCGTCATCCCGGGTATTGGTGATTCACCTCCGGTGAGGGTTAAGTGCAGTGGCAACTGGGCGTAGATCTGGGCATAGGGTGCATGGCCGTTCGTCGAGAGCACCTGCAGCTGTTGGAGTGCCGTATCGCGGTACAGGATCAACAGCTCTGGCAGATGGTTAAGCCTTTCCGGGCCATACTCCAAAACGGTTTGGATGCAACCAGCACTTTCTAAGGGCGTCCATTTGGAGGCGGCAACTGCAATGTTGCGACAAATACCCAGGAAGTTCTCTTGCTCCATAAGCAAGTCAGCCTTCTCACGACACTCGCTTAGGAGCATTTGGGTCCACTGCAGGAGTATTCTCAAGTTCTGGGTAGCCAGTTGGCCAGCCTGTTCCAATACCGAATCTAGAAAGCGAAGAATGCTGGCAAAGCTGTTCGCCGTCGGCGAGGTATTCTCCGCCGCCAGCTCCTGGTCTCGTAGCAAGCTAGAGTTGGTGCGAAAGTTGTGATTCGCCTGGCAGTGCACCACGAGCAGAGCCAAAATAGCTTGATGGGCGGCGGGATATTTGGTCCAAAGCGTCAGCTCATGAGCCCTACAGTTGGTGAGAAGCAGCTCCAAAATCGATGGCTTGCATGCGTACATACCAATGATTGAGGAGGTCTGCTTAGCCAGGGCAGCCAAGGCGGCCAGATGGAAAACGAGGAGCATGCCTGCCTCGCTGGCTTTCCTTTCGGACTCCTCCGTTGCAGGTGAAGTTGACTTCAGCTGTTGTAGGCAGTCGTCGATATCGTCCACAAGATGCTTATATGCCTGCTGCAGCAGGGGCACATTCCGAATGAGCAGGGTCTCCTGGCAGGTGCGCAGTAACAGCCTGTAAGCACTGCTGCCCGGCGTCTGGCGTCTTACTTCGGTCAGATACGGACTGGACTGGAAGAGCACATGAACCAGACTGGGCGGCAGACGTGTCCGCAGTCTCCTCACTGTGCACAGCAGCAGATACAGGACACTCTGCCGATGTGACTCACTCAAACAAAGCATCTGCTCGAGCTGGCCGAGCAGCAGCTCCTCCAAAGTACCAGGATCCAGGCCGCTAAAGTTATTTAGCAGACAAATGCAGAGCAGCTCGTTAATGTTGACCATGGCGTCCGAATTCGTGTGCAGAACCAGATGGGGAATTATTTTGGTTAGGTGATCCACGGCCATTTGGACTATGCACTCACAGGTGGGCATGCCCACGAATATCTGCATGCGGGCCAGGCACTTTAGCAGTGTGTTGAAGGCACCCACAAAGGCGCCCACTCGCTCCGCCATGGCCGCCGGATCCTCCTCCTCCAGCACGGTGATATCCTCCACGAACTGGGCCAACAAGCCATAGCTGAACTCAATCTGCTTGCTAAAGTACGGCGTCAACTGCTCTAGCACCTGGGCGCAGTGGGCCTTCAGTTGTCTGGGCTGTCCCGCCTCCAGTTGCCAGCCGATGATGATGTCGACCACGTCTGTGAAGTGGCACTCGAAGGCGTCCCGATAGCTGGCCGAGAACTGCACCAGGGTATTGCTGACTGCGGTGAAGCTGTCGGCACTCTCCGCATTCTCCAGGAAGTCCTTCAGCAGCAGCATGATCTTGTCGGCGTACACATGCAGCTCGCACTTGGCGTCGCAGCTGCATTTGAATTGGGATAGGTTAGGGCAAACAAGGCAAACGAAAGACGGTTTAAGAGTCACCTCAGGGTGGTGCGCAGGGCCACGATCAGATACCTCTGCATCCGCTTGCTGCTCCTGTAGTTCTTCACTATAAACTCCTCGTAGATGGGATACGACTTGCGGTTAATGTAGCCAATCAAACCGAGAGTCTTGCTGCACTCCTCCAGAACGGGAGGCGAGCACTGTTTGAAGAGTGTGAGCATGTTCTCCAGGATCCACACAAAGGAGCAGGACATATAGCCCATGTTGATGGGCGTGCGCACCGCCTGATCTAGTTTGGCGCACAGCTCCAAAGCCACGGCGGGATTGGACTCGTTATTAAGCCTTCGGATGATCTTTGACAGGCGCAGATCCTCACCATTAGCCGTCAGGTTGACTGGATCACCTGGTATGATCAAATTAAGCGTTGGAATCAAGTCCAAGATCAGGAAAGCCAACTCACCTTTACACTGGAACACCTTGCGTTGATTCTGGGGCATTACCTGCCCCTTGGCCAGCTCGTGGTTCATGTTGCGCAGCACTAGCGAGTTGGCGAACGCCTGCGCAGCTTCGTGCGTCTTGTTCCCGCCTAGCGACCACATGGACTCACTGCCTCCAGATCCTGATGCACTCCCACTGCCGCTGGCACTTCCACTCCCGCTACCACCCTCGTTACTGACACTGCCGCTGCCGCCTCCGTGATTATTGCCATTGTTGTTCCGCAATACACGGTCAATCTCCGCGTGGAACGCGGACGACGCCTCCTCCTCGGCCCCAGTTCCATTGTAGTTGTCCGGCTGGAGCGCGTTCTTCATTGAGGGAATTGGCGGCGCTAGCGCAGACATCAAATCTCCTCGAATCTCGGCATCAATCGTGGTCAATCGTGTTTAGTTTATATCAAGAAAATAATTTTTTTTTGTTCCAACATCAGTTAGTGGTGGGCCAATCACTATCGATAGGCACAGCTGACGCGGGCGCTTAACGGGCCATCGATGTTTCAGAGAAAGCACTTTCTTCAAATTCCCCCTTGTAAGGTCCCTATTTATATGATTTCCCTTTTAATAAGGGCATTATCAGGAAAGCACCTACAGACAGGTTGATCAAGGACTCCTGGATTAGCATTTATTATATCGTGACACGAAAGTTGAATCCTCCGATGAAAACTGTTGAATGCAGGTGGTATTGGCAAAGGGTCCATCTCTACTATCAGGCAAACTCCTTTTTGGCGGGCAATGTTTTTTAAACTTTATTTATGAAAATTAAGCAAATACATTTATAAATATACAAAATTTGTATGTAATATGCAGCGTATTCGGGGGATAGCGCTAAAAAAAAATATCCCCGATACGCCTTATAGTTAAGCAAATAGATTTGTATGTTGATAACATTATTAGTTTCCTTAATGGTTAAGCTTTTCCATCATGTGTTGGGTGTAAACTGCCACAAAACTGGCCATCTGGGCGTACACCTGGTAAGGATGTTTAAACGGGGGCGGTACATAACCTCCGGTGGGGGGAGATGCCATCGGAGGTGGGTATTCCACCGGTGGAGGAGGAGGACATGGTGGTGCCGGCGGAGGAGGACGTGGTGCAACGGGGTGCTCGCGCGGCACCAGCGACAAGCAAATATCGCCCACCTGCAGCTGCTGACACTTGAGCTCGTACAGCTGCAGCGACAACTGGGGATTGCAGGAGGCCCAGCCCTGGCCGTAAACAAACATCGGATGACCCGGCAGCACCTCCAAGTCCAACTGCAAATAACCAAGGAAGTCATCAAAAAGGATACAGAGATAACTCATCTAAACACCCACCCTGGCATGCTGTGTGTCATAGCTGAAGGTAATGGTCACGTGGCTGGGAGATAATCCCCGGTCGATCCTGACCACTGTGGCCTCCCGCAGATCAAAGAGCTGGCTTCGCAGAGCCGACTGGATAAAGTCCTCCGTGCGTATATCCTCCACGCGACGCATGGCCCCGTTGGCCAGCTCAATGTAGGAGCCGCGACGGAAGCAGGAATCGGAGTCGTCGGGAAACCCGCTACAAATGAAGTCATTGATACACTGGTTCGGTAAAACCTTACCCCTGCTTACTTGTTAGACACCTGCTGCTGTGACGAAGGTTGCGGTGGTGGCCTCCTGATTGGCTCGCAGCCGTAGGCATATGAAAACTCCATGTGCATCTGCATGTCGACCTGTTCGCCTGGACGGAAAGTTATCAACTGAGCTATTTGCCGGCGAGGCGGGCAATTGATATATATATATATTCATTCAGCCAAAGTGTTTTCCACGGGTTTTCCAGGAATGTCACCCACTCTGGCAGCCCGGCTGTTACCTGTTTTATGGCCCACCCGGCCATAATCTGGTCGCGGCAACAGGTACGCCGCTTAGACGCCGGTGAACGCTACCTGCGAATGAATTTCCACTTAACAGCCATTGTCCGTGGTCTCGCATGGACCAGAGAATCCCGGCCAGCGGCAGCGGCGCCGGTCTGGCTGTTGCGCCAGGCGCCTTGCCGACTGCTCGCACCACCACTCGGAACGCAAGACGTGACCAATCGTGGATTTCTGCTGAAGCCCATTCTACTGCTCCGTTTATTTTGTTTTTCGTTTTCTTTTAACAGCGGAGGAGCAGGATGGGCCGCTCAAGGCCACCTTGCCCCAGGTAAAGCCCAGGGCGTACAGATAGAAGGCCCCAAAGAAGTAGAGCACTCCCAGCGCCGAGTACACGGATGTCAGCAGGAGTGGCAGGAAGGGAAGACGCTTGTCCAAGTGCAGCAGGAAGGCGAGCAGGTGCTCGTACAGCGGAATGGCCAGGAAACCCAGCATGTAGAGCCACTCCAGCGCGTGGAAGCCCCGAAAGCCGGGAAAGATGCGATACAGCTGGCCGTACAGCATGGCCACATAGGACATGTACAGGGAATACCGAGGAATGTACAGATCCGCGTCAAAGAGCAGCGGAAACAGAGAAAAGTATCCAGCAATGCCCAGGATATAGGCGTATCTGGCATCCTCGCGGTTAACAAGGGTCAATAGACTGTAATTTGTTGGGGGTGTTAGTGGGTCACTTTTTCTTTTTTTTTGGTTAGCACAGGTAACTTACCAAAGGGGAATAAGCACCATTAAGATGGCCTTCTCATGCACATGCCATCCAAACACAAACGAGGAGCAGCCGCACAAAACCACGGCTCGCAGGAAGACCAGGGGACTTTGACTGCAAAAGGATTGGAATTATGTTTAGTGCATATTATAACTTCGGGTTTAAGCTTACTTCTTGGAACTCCTGAAGAGTTTTACCAGAATTGGCAGCATGAAGACAACGGTGAGGACGAACGTTACGGGCGGTGTGATGGGTGGCAGCACGGTGTGCCTGACTTCCTGTACCAATCCCGACGTGGTAGAGGTTCCGGAATCCTGCACCTTTAAAACGCCAGCGGCCACCTTGTCTGCTGTGTTGTACAGTGCCCAGAAGTTGGGTGCCCAGTAGGCGTGCGTCAGGCCTCGCTTGAATGGAAACAGGCGGGAAAGGACCTGCGGAAGCTGCTGCCAGAAGGGTCCAAAGGACATGGCGAACGGAGTTAGTCCCACAGCCAGCAACTTGACAAAGGCACTCGCCATGGAAAGCACAGAGGTTTGCTCTAGGCAGTAGAATCTCAGCAGGTAGACCCCAAAAGCCGGTGCCAAGTACAGGAAGATGTGCTTGAAGTTGAGCAGCACAGCGAAGGCAAAGGCGCTCCAGAGGAATCGCTGACGGATGAGGGCCCCGATGCTCAGAAGCAGGATGCCAAACAGAAAACCGTTGTACTGGAAGTGGATGTGGTCCACGAATAGCAGTCCCACGTTGAGCAGGAGCAACATGGAGCCGGCAAAGTGCTGCTGCGTGCCACGCGCCAAACCCAATGATCCCAGGCAGCTGCGCACGCCTAGGACATAGACCAGATCTGTGGCAATCACCGAGAGCCGCTGGAAGTAGACGGTCCCCTTGGACTCATAGTTGAGGTTCTGCACCTCCAGCATCCGCGGATCCACATACTTGGCCACCTGCGACAGCACCCACTCGAAGTGGGCGAAGAAAGGCGGGTAGTCCAGTGTCCACTCGCTGGTGGCCTCCACATACCAGCGCTCCAGGGGCAAACTATGGGTGATGGCCAGCCAGTTGCGGTGCACCTCGAAATCTGTGGAGTGGCTATAGGGAGTGGGTTTAATGGGATCGCTTGGTCACTGAGAACTCAAGCACACTCACTAGGCGGGAATAAGAAGGATCTTCAGGCCGGTGGCTATGCCCACCAGGTGCCAGAAGAGGTCCTTCATTTTCGTTTCTGTCCGGGATTTGGTTTGGGATTCCGTTTCTTATCGCGGTGCGGTGGGTGTCCGATCGACCTAGCCAGATTTGGCTTGAAAGTAGCTAAGTCTGAGCTATCGATTGTGGAGCTATCGGTATGGGGGTGCTTTCGCCCTCAAAGCCAACTGGCCACACTGAAATTCGCGTGTATGTGTGCATTACGCGTATTATTACGCGAATTAAGAGCGTCGAATTGAAACAAATATTCTGGACTCGAGCCGGTCGCCAGAGTTCCACGGTTGCCGCCAACGCCGAGCTTAGGTATCTAGCCAACCGGGCCATGTACGCCACGAACAATGGCGGCACGAACAAGGCGCCAAACAGGTAAGTTCTGTCCGTAAACCGAGCTGAAATCAAGAAACAGAAACCGAGCCCCTCCCCCAAAACAGGCGGTACAGCCGAGATTTTTAATATGCGCCGCTCCTTTTTGTTTTCGTTTTATGTGCCAATCCGAATCCGAATCCCATTCAGCAATGCCACCTCCATGTTCGACAACACCATCACAGTGACCCCTATCAAAGTGGAACTGGGACAGGCGTATGCAAAGGCCCAGAATCCTGCGGCGGCTGTGTCGATGCAGCGACGGACTCCCAACGCAGTGGTGGTCACCACCTCCTCCTCCGCGCAACAACAACAGCAGCAGCAGGCGGCACAGCAACAACAGCAGGCGATATCAATGGCCAGTCTGGTATCCAATGCCAGCTCTCTGGTGAATCCCAGCATGAGTGTGACGGTGGCCACCACTGGGAGCACCGCCAAGGAGAAGCCCACAAAGGCAACACGGGCTCAGGTGGCCCGCAAACCGCCGCCCACCATCGACAACTTCTGGCCGAATATTGTGAGCGAGGTGCACGGAATTAGCCAGGTGGACGCCAAGCACCAGGTGCTACCACTGGCGCGCATCAAGAAGATCATGAAGCTGGACGAGAATGCCAAGATGATTGCCGGTGAGGCGCCGCTTCTGTTCGCCAAGGCCTGTGAGTACTTCATCCAGGAGCTGACCATGCACGCCTGGGTGCACACCGAGGAAAGCAGGCGGCGAACGCTTCAGCGCTCGGACATTGCCCAGGCCATCGCCAACTACGATCAGTTCGACTTCCTCATCGACATTGTGCCGCGCGAGGAGATCAAGCCCTCGTCGGCGCAGAAGGGAAAGGATGGCAGCAGTTCCAGTTCGAGCGGAATGGCCGGTTCGACAAGCAATGCGGCCTCCACGTCCAATTCAGCAACCTCCAATGCAGCCGCCTCCGTGGCGGGCAATGCTTCCGCCACGGGCAATTTTGTAGCCGGTGGATCCAATGTACCTGCGGCCACAGCTGGCGGCCTGAAGCTGGACACTACGGGCACGGCCTCCGCCGCCGAGGTGCTCGGCTTTAGCACCGTTAATCCGGACATCTTCTCAGCGCAACTGCAACAACAACAGCAGCAGCAGCAACAACATGCCGCCCAACAGCAGCAACAACAGCAGCAGCATCACCAGGCTCATCCGCAGCAGGTACAGATCATTCAGCAAGGCGCTGGTGGCCAGCAGCTGCAGTACTTCATCGCGCTTCCCGGCCAGCAGGCGGCGCAGCTCGTGCAGCAGGTGCAACAGCAGCCGCAGCCCGCTCAGAATCATCTGCCCAATAGCCTGGGCATCAACATCGTGTCAGCCCAACAACCCACCCAGCAGTTGATCCTGACCACCGGTCCAAATGGCCAGCTGACCGCCACGCCAGCGCCGCAAACGGCCGCCCAGCAGCAGACGGCACTGCTCCAGAATCTCGCCCAGCAGCAACAACAACACCAGCAACAACAGCAGCAGATTCAGCTGCTCCAGCAAGTGGTGACGCCAACGGGGGAGCTGACTAATGTGCCGGTACGTATCCTTTAAGCTTTTTTGTCCCACAATTTGAGAACTACTCATTGAGATGGTTTATTTTATTCCAGATCGCCATCAATGCCAACCATTTGCATCTCCTGCAGCGCCTGCAAATGCAACAGCAGCAGCAACAACAGCAGCAGCAACAGCAGCAGCAGCAACAGCAGGTCATCATCCCAACCCAACTGCTGACGGCGCAGCAACTGCTCCAGTTGGGCGGAGCACCCACGGTGGCCCATCAGCAGCAGCAGGTCCAAGTGCAGCAACAACAACAGCAGCAGCAAGTTCAGGTGCAGGTCCAGCAACAACATGCCAATCTCAGCCAGAGCAACGCCAGCGCAGTGTCCAGTGGCACGCCGATCTTCATCAACTCGACCATGTCCAGTGCCCAGGCGGCGACGCAGGCGCAGCATCAGGCAGCGCAACAACAGCATCAGCAGCAACAACAGCAGCAGGCGCAAACGATCTCCACCATGTCCGCGGATCGCACACTAACCGGCGGATTTCGGTAAAAGCTGGGAGAATTCAATCCGAACGGACGGACAGTTGGCAATCATATCGAAGCATCGGGAGGCGTTGGAATCGGGCATTGGCAACGGGCATTGATTGCGCCATCCCCTGTCATCCAGCACAATGTATAATATTATAGTTTACGTAGGTGTATACGATTGTATATCGGAGGAGATTATATATAGCTAGTGTCTAAGACGTAGGCATCTGTGTAGAAAGGATTTCTCAATTGTAATTTATTGCTGTCCCTACCGCCCTACCGCCCCCCTGGCTGCAGGTTTCACCTCCTCCAAAACACCGCCACATCCACCACTTTTAAACATAGCACTTAGAGAGAATATTGGGAACCTTAGTGTACGACAAGGATGCCACCGGTCCAAAGCATAACCCAGCGTTTCGCGTGGCATCCGCGGTTTATTATGTATTTGTACTTCTAACTAAGCTAAGCTCTGATAAACAATTATAAGCCACCAAGGACTATGTGCCAGAAACTCGCGCTCTGTGTTCACTTTCTAGCCAAGATCTTGTTAATGTCCTGCAGCTCGCGGGTGCTCCACGGTTCCAGGGGATCGGGCGGCGACTGTGTTTTCCGGGTGTAAGCCGATCGTCCGCGTTGGTTGCGCTCATCTGGGTCATCACTCTGCTCCGGCGAAACTCTGCCGCAGAAGGAGATGGATTAAAAGGATGAAATGCAGGTACAACCACTCACTTGTTTCTTCGACGAACGCGAGCGCTTTTGGCCCGACGAGCAGCTTCATCCTGCGCTGGCTGGCACTTGCGCAGGTGGAACTGTTTCATGGTGGCGTGCACTTCCTCCGCCGTAGGGAGATCCTCGCTGTCCTGTCCCCCATTTCCATCTTCGGTCTCCACCTCGGCCTCCTGCTCGATGGTCAGCACTTCCTCGGCCACCGCCTCATCAAAGTGGAAGCCCTAAGAATAAAGGTAAAACTTGATTTGTAACACATGTATGTATTTGGAATATGTTTCCAATAAAGCATTTCATTTGTATTTTTCTAGCTCCTCTCACCGTATCCACATCCAAGCCAGGTGGTGCCCACACCGAGGACATGGGCTGAAACTGACCGTGGCCGTGACCCTCAAATCCCTGCTGCTCTCGCCGAATGTCCGCCTTCGACAGTGCGTTGTGCGTCCTTTTGGCCAGCGAAAGCTTGCCCAGAATGGGCCCACCGCTGTCGCTCTCCTCGGTCTCCACTTCGGCCAGCATGGCCATGAACTCCTCCAGCTTTTTGGGATCGACGATTTCCTTGGGGTCCTGGAACAGATTGCTCAAATTGGACATGGGCAGGGGAATGGCCATTAGGTCGGGAGGAGCAGCTTGGGGAGCGGTAGGCAATGCTGTGGCCACTGGAGCGACGGGCAATGCATCCATCTTTTTGACCGCCGGCGCTTGGGGTTGCGTCTTCATCGTTTGCTCCACCAAATCGAAGGCCTTATTGGCCAGTTGCTGCAGACCGGCGAAGTAGTGGGGGTCATGGGTCTCCGGTCGCTGGTCCGACATCATAATTAGCTCCCTAAAAGGATCCGGTGCTGGGGGCGCAGGCGGTGGAGCTGTCACGGTTCGCAGGACAACGCCATTGGAAGAGGCCGGGTTGTTGGCGAAGGTCAGCATGTCCATTGCGTTAGTGAAGTCCGAATCGGTGTGCAGGTTGTAGGGATCCTTAAGCTTCTGCTTGGTGACCTTCACGGGACTGGAGATGGAGGCCCGTCCCCACATGAGGCGACGCATTTCCTCGCCGGTCATTCCGCGCTTCTTGAGGGCCGTTAGCGTCACACGACCCACACGCTGGCAAGGATTAGTCCAGAGAAGAATTAGAATGGGTAAAGTAGAAACCCTGCACACACTCTTACCTTCCAGTTGGAGACGGCTCCTTTGCGCTGCTTGGCCCGCGTTTTGCTCTTGCTTTTGATGACCATCACGCCGCGAACTTCGAATCCCGAATCGTCGGAGGGACCCAGTGGAATGGAGTAGGCCTCTAGATAACCCTTGGCATCCGCCTGCGGCACTGCACGCTCCAACGTGACGACAATCTTGGCCCACTGCTTCATCCACTCCTTCTCCGATTGCTCGATGACGGTTACATAGGTGTTGCCCATCATGGCAATCAACATGTTGAGCAACAGGATGGGGACAAATATCATGAAGATGACGAACACGGTCTTGGAGAGATTTGGGTATGTGGTCTGATTCAGGTCGGGATACTGCAAGGAAAAATCAAGTGTATACAAAAGGAAGCCATAGTCAAACGCACCTCCTTACGTTATAATCACCCAAAGTGGTTTGGAATAGGGCCATCCAGGTGCTGGTGTAGGTGTTGAACATGGTGGACTGGACCTGGGGATGTCCCTTGTATAGGAAATAGAAGGCCTGCGAGAATCCACAGAGCACAATGCAATAGATTATGCCGAAAGTAAACATGTCTCCCGTGATCATGGAATATATCATGGTCACAAACGGACCCGTCAGACGAATGGCACTAAAATAAATAGAATAGAATCACTTCCAAAAGGAATCGAGCAAGCGCACTTACCCTGCAAAGAACATTAGCAGGAACCAGGAGCCGGGAACAGCAAAGATCAAGATAGCCTCCTCTGTATCGGTGTCACCAATCAGACGAAACGGAATGCAGGCCAGGATCAGCAAGTTGGAGAACAGGAAAATGGCCTTTGCCGGAGCATGGGACTGTACAAAGTGACCAAAATAAAATATTATTAAAATTGCTCTTTATGTTCATATATATTATAATGATATGACGGAAAAATGTATAAGAAATATACTAATCAATTTAATTAAGATTTGTATAGTAAAAAATAAAAGGTATTTAAAAAGCAAAATTAAATTTTGGCATAGTTTCCTTATATACCTTTTAAAAGAGGTATGTATAATAATTATAAATAGTTAAAAAAGACTACCTATAGTCATTTCTAATCTTAATAATATCCGAAGGCCCCGAAATATATTCTGGGATAGAATGAATAAAAAGTGGGAAAGTGAGATTATTACCAGCTGCTTGAGAAATGCGGATAGTCCTTGGTTCTTGATCTCGTCTCCCTGCTGGAAGACCACGTAACTTAGAACTCCAGCCAGGGTGGCAAACTCGGCACAATAACGCGCCACCGTTTGGGCATTGTAGTCACCAGCATCGCCACCATTCCCCTCGCCTAGCTCAACATCCTGGAGCGCCGCTGCCGAAGGATCAGATCCCTCAGAGTCCTCACCCTCGGCTTCGCCTTCGTGGGCGGGTCGCAGATAAACGGATACGGAGAGGCACAGCAGGTGGGTGGACAGGATGAGCAAGCGCTTTAGAAACTGGTTCTGCGCAAATGTCTTCCACTTCTCCTCCAACAGACGCTGGATGATGCCGCCGTCCAACATGTCTAGATGCTCCGGCTTGGTTCCATTCAGGATGATAAATAATGCTGAATTCCAGTCTGTTTTTATTGGGTTTTAAAATATAATAAGAGATATATTAAGGTAGAATAATATGGGAATTTGTTTTTATTCAGATTATATCTATACGGAATTTTGTTTAAGTGTTATCTATAGAATATCATAACTAAAAGAAAGTTATCTTCTGAGAACAGTAGGGTCGTTATATTGAAATTTTCAAATTTTGTTTAATATTATATCGTTTTGATTATTTAGATGTTAGATTTATATATATGTATGTAAATGCAAAATCCTTAAAGTTTTAGCGACAATATGTACATAAGTACATATGTAATGTGATCAATAACTCCTATGAGTTATAGAAAAATGTTAATTATAAGGAATTTCAATTGGACTTCATTTCTAATGTACTCACTGGTCCTGCCGTCCGGCAGAAGTGTGTCCAGCGCATTGAGGGGATATCCGGAGCAGGTGATGTTACTGTACCGCCAGAACTCGCGGGCGGACAGCTCCAACATCTCGCGGAACACCTCCGCTCGGCCCAGCTTGCAGGCCAGGGTCAGTGGAGTCAGTCCCGTCTGGTTGACAATGCCATTCTTGGCTGGCGTCTTCGGATGTCGCAGTGCATAGCCAAACATGTCCAGCTTGTCACACACCACCACCATGTGTAGAATCATATTGCCAAAGGAATCCTGGGCGTCCGGATCGGAGCCGCAGTCCACCAGCAGGTTGTAGACACTCTCGTTGGCACAACAGGCGGCCCAGGCCAGCGGATATTCACCCATGTATGCCAGTCCCTCGTAGTCGGTGCTCTTGGCCGGGTGCGCCCGCTGTTGGTCACGTGGCAGAAAGAAGCTTCCGATCGCCCGCTGATTGATGTCCGCACCGGCTTCGATCAGATCCGCCACCAGCTCGTTGTTGCTGTAGGCAATAGACAGGTGCAGGGCACTGGCCCCCAGATACTCCTCGCCCTCCATCACATCTAGCGCAAGGTTGGGAAACACTCGAAGGAGCACTCGGGCCAGCTTGGTGTGCACCTTGGAATCGCAGATGATGAGCACATGGAGCAGGCTCTCGCCCAAGGCGCCGCGGTATTGCATCTGCCAGCAGGCCTTGTGGTCCTCCCACTTGCCCAGCGGATCGTGGATGGACAGAGACGCTTCAATAGGTATAGTCACCTCGGTGTGATCGCGGTACTTCCAGCGCAAGAACTCCGCCCGGTTGATCACCTGGCCCTTACCATCGTTGTACATGAACACGCCAAACTGCTCCCGGATCAATTGCTCTACGGCAATCAGCCCGCCCGAGTTAATGGCGTCGATAAGGTCACCACCTGGTCAAGATTAGTTCATTAATGTGAGGTTTCCTATATTTTAATTAATATTTCCATATTCAGAAATGTAGAAAAAAATATATACGCCTCAAGTTTTCAGAAGTTTGTAAGCCACATTAAACATGGGTATATATTGGTGATTTTTAGGGGTCTATAAATTCTGTTTCGGGTCACTATTTTGCAAAAAATTACTAATATAGAATGGGTCACCAAATTGATTAAAGTTAAAAGGAAAAATTTTAAAGAGGTATGTCTCTTTAAAATCGCAAAATGTATGCTGCTTTTGGGTAGCCTTTTTTCGGAAATTGAGGACGACTTAAATTGAGACCTTAAACTTATACCAATTTAAATCCGATATGGCCCTAAGAGCGAATACACATCTCTTCGGAAGACTAAATGACAATGGATTATTAAGTGCTCACCCCTTTTGTAATCCGCCAGTTTGTAGAGCAGGCACTTGCATGCGGTGGCCGAGGATTGCGAGATGACGGCATCTAAGATGGCCCCGGGTTTCATCTCCGGTGCTTTCTTGCGCAGGCATTTCTTCAGCAGGAACTTCATTTCCGCCGCCTAGATTTCAATCCGTTCTCCGACTTCAACTGGCTTTTCGGAAAAATGCGCACAACCTTCTAAGCTTGTTTGTTCGATGACCGATGACATCCAAAACTAGAAAGACAACACGTTGTCCTGGTAACCACCTGTCCAATTCAATCAGAGGTAACCTGCCTCAAACCAACATATGCATATGCATATGATTCCAGCTTAGAAGATAAATTAGATGATTCAGGGTCACGATCTTGTATTGTGTGAATAATAGGTCATAAATACCCAATTATGTGGCGGATATAGCAAAAATAAATCCATCATTAAATTCATTAAAGTCAATATCAATGTGTTCATAGTGACCTCCTGTTATTCCTATTCCATTTAATATAAAAAACCTTATTTTAATTTATATTTTCCGTTTGTTTTTTATTGAATTATGTATATAAATATATTTTTGCTTTCATTATTGTTATTGTAATTATAACTTAGTGCTAGAGTATCGGATGGGGGGTTATCGGATATACTCGTACTGTAAAATAAATTGTATAAATAATGTGTATGCTTCTGATTCCGATTCTGCTTCTTCTGCTGCTGCTTCTACTTTTTCTTAATCCATCCTCTCTACTTTCTGCTTTCACTCGTACATTTAATCGGTTCGATTTCCGCTGTGAATCGTCAATCAATCAATCCTTTACTCGTTTATCATCGTAATATATATCGCTTGAAGTTGTATTTTCGTATATTGGTAATGTTATAGATATATATAAATATAAATAAGAGAGACGTTCGAAAATCGTAATCGAATATGGCTAATAAATACAGAATGACATAATATCTGCGGGCGGTCGGTTGGGGGATTGGAATTGAAGTGGGTTTTTTTTTTGGGACATAGGACTTTGTAATCATAGAGCTGCGTTCCCGTTTCACCGATCTTAATCGATCCCATCCAACCTCTAGAAATTCATCTTTTTGGGATAGTCTGCGACATAAGTACTAGTCTTGGGGCGGGGCAGAACAGAATGTTTAGCAAATACTTGTCTGTCAGTCGTTCCATGGCGTTTGGAGTTAAATGCAACTTGGACTTCGATTTGGAATTGCTGGGCTTCAGCTTGGGGCACCGGCTTTGCGACATATATAAGCCTATAACTATGCGTATGGTATGTGTATATATATATATATCTGTATAATAGAACCTTGTCTAGCACAATATTGCCCGTTACCCGAGAATTGGTTGTTGGTCTGTTTTAAAAGAATGGAATTTGAATTTGTCACGCTATTCGCCCTATGTTGTTGGATCAGTCGTTTTAGCCAGTAGTTCGAATTCTTGGCCTATTTAGTTATGATTGGTATACAAAATATATAAAATATAATATATCATGTATATGTGTAAATGTATAATTCTATTGCAAGTACAAAACGTTATTGCCTATGGGTATGCTACTCGAGTTACGTTCTATTGCCGTTCACGTTTCAATGGCAACTTATTATTTTCCCCTTTCTAATTTTCCACTTTCTTTTCTTAATATTTTGCGTTAGTAGGGGGACGTTTGGGGAGGAGGATTCAAAGGATGGAGTTGGGCAGCTGGGCAACTGACCCATCCGTTGTTCAAGTCTTTTCGTTATACATTTTGGAATTGTTATTTGCATGTCTTTTCGGTTTGATTCGGCTGTTGCAGTATGTTTGATTTACGCATTATACAGTACAAAAATGGTCTGGCTTGATTGTAATTATCAGCATTATTTTTGGCTACAGTCTATGTTTTTGTTTCTTGCCTTCGGTTAGGGAATGATGGCGGTTCTTAAGGGATTCGAGCGATGCGAAAGACTAGAAGAGATGTTTGTGGGGGCATCATCGTCCCGATTTGGGCGGGTTTATCTTATGAATGGGATGGAGTGGGGTGGTGGTGGTAGAAAGGGGGTGAAATGATGCGAGAGGGACAGACAGACAGAGACACACACACACTCTCTCTCATTCACTCGCATGCAAACATGAAAAAAACTGAGAGGGAAATACATACATATACGTATATGTAAAAGTAGTATCAGCTAAGTCCTTCTCCTCACTTTTCCTTTATGGCCACACAATCTGGAGGACACAGGAGAACCCAGGAAATTAATTGTAAGTGTAAACACCTAAATAGGCTAAACTAATTTTGGACTAACTACTTAAATAGCACACAAAAAACACAAACATATATGGGTAAATCAAATATTAAAATACACACACAAAATACAAAAAAAAAAACACAAAAATAAACGTTAAACAACGAACAAAACTGGCTTATAATTTGTAATTTGGCCATTATTGAGCAACTGCAGTAATTGGCGGATAAGCAAGGAACTGAATGCAGGGGATGATGAGGGATGAGGGTGTGTGTACTTGAGTGTGGGAACTGTGTTAGTTTTTTGCTTTCGGCTTATTTATATGTCGAGCATTTTTCTGTTTTGTCATGATACCGCTTCATGTCTAGATTGGTAAAAAATTACGCCCCTTGGTTAAACGCTAAATTGTGAACTGATTTCCATGGTTCATGTCCGCTGCAGCCGCTGGCTACACTGCTACTCCTGCCACTCGTTCTCGTCCACGCCCTCCATGTCGTCCTGCTCCAGCTTGGTGGTGAACTCCATGCGCGCACTAACCGACTTCTGGATCTGTAAAGACCGACTTATAGTTGGGTACAGGACAAGTGGATCGTTTAAGCTTACCTCCTGTTGTTTGTTGATCTCGTACTCGGACTTCTGACCACCGAACTGGGGGTGATCCGGCTTCTTAATGGGCTGCGCTGGCACTTGCTGTATGGAAGATACTGTAACAGAAATTCCATCAGTAATCAGTATGTGGTAGTCCCATTTAGGATCTAAACACTCACATGTCTCCATACCCTCCGGCTTGAGGCTAACCTTGGGTGCCGCTTTGTCGTTGCTGGCAAACCAATCTTCGGCACTTAGCGTGGCGCTCCAGGTGATGCGTGTGGGTGGGAACAGGTCGTCTTGGAACAGCTCGCTCTGCCAAAAACGTGAAAATCGGTTAGAAAATTAAGTATAGACACATATGGAACCCGAAAACCCACCTTGATGCGGGGCACTGTGAAACTCAGGGGCTCAATTGTGGTATTAGTCAGCCTATAGGCCTTCGAGAACTCCACGCTGGCCACGTCGCAGTGGTTCTTGGTGAGGAAGCTGAGGCCCTGGTGCAGCGAGGTGCAACGATGGTGCGACAGCGGGCAGATGTACGGCTCCTCGTCGGTGATCTCGTAGCAGTAGATCGTCGAATCGCCCTTGCCCGTGACAAACAGAGTGGAGCTATCCTCGTCGTAGAAGGGAATTAGTATCGAGGGCGACACATCCAAACTAGCCGTGTTCAATGGCGCCGACAGCTTTTGAGCATTGTACACGCTGATCTGTCGCTCCGAAACCCTGAAAAGTAATTAAAGTCCCAGTCAGATCTTCATGCGGTAAGCGATTGTGGAATGATTGCGATCCTACTTGTCAAAGCCAGTGCAAACGATGTAATGTCCCTCCAGCGCCCAGGTTATTCGAGCTCCGCGAGTGCCTACCGGTCCATTGCCCTCCCGAATGGGTGTCTCCGATTTCCTCGGATTATACACCCTAATTTTGCCATCTTTGCACACGGTAGCGCCTAACCGGCCACAAGGACTCCAGGCAAAGTCGAAGATCTGATCTGTGTGCCCCGATAGCGAGCACTTCTCGCTCATGGTGCGCAAATCCCATAGCTTAATGGTCATATCGTAGCTGGCGGTAAGCAAAACATCAGCAGCCAGCGGGTGGAAGCGTATAAAATAGATCTTGTCCAGATGAGCGGTAAGCTCGCCGGCGGGTGTGTTTGTCGGCTCACTCAATCCGCCGGTTTCAATATGCCAGATCTTGACGATGCCATCGTCGCAGGCCACGGCCAATCGCTGGGCATCAAAAGGGTCCCACTGGAAGTCCATAATGTTGCTGCCGTTTACGAGCGAGGGAATGACTCCATCGGGCAGTCGTCCAGGTCGGCTCAACTCGAAGATGGCGATCTTGCCGCCGGGTCCGGAAAGTGGCACAGCAACGCGCTCCTGGTTGGCGTGGAAGCCATTGCACTCGCCAGGAATCTGGCGGCTCAGGTTGCGCAAGTTCTCGATGTGCGTGGACTTGTGACCGGGAGTGCCCTTCAAATGGCGGAACTTGGACACCTTGCCGAAAACGGTGGAGGTGCGCTTTGTACTGGCAGCACTGAAAGCCGCCTCCGTGGCGGATTTCTTTAGTCCAGCGCCATTTCCTCGGCGGTGCTCCTCCATTAGCTTGCCCTCCGGCACCGATATGCGTTTGGTGTCGATCACGTTGCCCTGCTGCTGCTGTTGGCTGGGCTTCAGTGGCTCCACCTTGGAGTGCTCACGACGTCTGTAGATTAAACGAGGAGGAAAGAAAAGTGTAAGTAAAGGAGTCTGTTAGAACTTAAAGGTCCTACTCACAATGGCACTGGCGACTGAGGCTTCTCGTCCACCTGACTCTTCGAGCGATTCTCATATATGCGACGCCGCTCAGCAAAGCTGCTCCTGGAGGTGGATAAACGTTGTAGGTCCGCACCCGTGCGATCCTCGCCCTCCATCGAAGTCTCTGACGACTCCGAGTTCTGCTCGAATATCTAAGAACAATAATAGGCAACCAAGAAAGGAATTAGTTTCTGCACGGTTAGTCAATGTGGGTAACCCTATAGCAGACCTTGTCGGATGATTCATCATCGTCAGCCGAGGACTACACAGTTGATATAGTAGTTCCCGTTGCAGAATTGGCAGTAGTTGAAGTTCAGAAGAGTAAGTTGGTTTTTAGGGGTTAGTTGGAAGTGAACGGGATCGTTTCAAAATTAGTTAAGCGGAAGAAGGCGAATTTTGTTGTTGGCACAGGCATGTAAGAGAGGGCAAGTAGAACGTTATAGTAGAATAGGAGTGGATTATATAGAGACGGCATTCGGTGAAGGGTCTTACCTTGCGGCGCTCTGAAGTGGTCAGCGATTTCTGGACTCCATTACCGGCCACCGCGGGTTCCCTTTCGTGCTTCTCTGCAATGGCAATGGAAAAAAAAGTTAATAATTACCTTTATGACCAACAAGTTAGTCCCCTTACTTTTGATTTCGATTTCCACAATGAGATCCGGTTTGACCCCCTGGGCGGGTGTCATCTCTACTGCACTGTCCTGACCCACGTTCGAGATATTCTCATGGGATCCCGGTGCCAGGGGCACGGCAAAAACCTTGTCGAATGACACGTCACCTGTGGTGCTGGAGAAAGGCTTCGGACCCAGACGTGGCTGTGGATTAATAAAAGATTTCGTTAGTCAACATATTCAATGTAGACTTGGATGAAAACTGATAAGTAGCCCCTAAGAAAATCAAAAATTTCACGTAAAAATACAGACTGGGATAAACTACAAATAGTCTGGGCAAACAATTAATAGTAACTGAAAATGTATCATAAGAAAACAAAAATAAATCGCAATAAACTAAAAACATAATCCCTACTTATTTTTCAAAGAAAACAAGCGTGAAACCATCTGTAATTAAAGCAAAACAAACCAAGATCGCAGAAATATGAATCAGGTATTGATTGTGTTGTTTTGATTGTTGGCAAAAGCAAGTGTCGTGCCAATATCAGGAAAATTATGAATTAGTTACCTGAGTTCATTAAAAACAAAATAAACGAAAATTTGTGTTTTCACAAATAATAAAAACAAATGAAAAACTATAGTTAATACGCAAAGGTAAGAGATGAATTAACAAATCAGCGCTGCAATGCTTTTAAATCTTCAAGACATTTATAATATACAAAACACTAATCAAAACCAGTGCAAGCTAAATGCATTTTAAATGAACGTCTACAAAACAACAGAAAATGTATAAACAAAAGTAAAACAAGAATATGCCCCTAATAAGTTTGGAAACTAAACAAAATAAATCCTAATTGAAACCATAGCATAACAATAAATCATGAAAATATCAACTCAAAACCTTATGAAATCAAAAACAAACAACAAGGAGTGGCTGGGAGTGGATTATCATATGGTGGTGACGGCACCTTGTAGGCAGACGCAGCGGTGGTGCGTGGCCTCGGGCGTGGTGTGGTGGTACAACTGTTTTCCCCAGCGGAATCGCTGGCCTCTGGCAGGGAATTGTTGCGCGAAGTACGCGGCATGGGCTTCGGTGGCGAGTGGCTACCACTGGCCGAGTGATTGTCCAGGCCCCCAGACGAGGAGACCTCCTCGCTGCTGCCCGTCGAATGCTCCTGCTCGGTGGGCGACTCTTTATCATCCTCCTGGGACTGGGCGTGGGCCTTTTCCTTCTCCGAATCCACCTTGTATTTGGCTTCGAATTTGCGTATGAGCTCACTGCACTCGCCATCAGGCTGGGATTGCGATTGCGAGGGTGTGCTCTTCTTTCCATTGCTCTCGTTACTGTTGTCATTGCCGTTCTTTTCCTCAAAGTTATTGCCCTTACTCAACATCACAAAGTGCTCGTTATCGTTGCGCTTGGCCTGCTGATTAGAAATTGGCTTGCCTGTGGTAATGCCTTTGGCCCGCTGATTCTCCAGGTTCTTAACGAAATCGCTCAGGTTACCGCGATGAATCTACATTGATGGCCAAAGGGGGGTTAATCGAATCACCTAATAAATGCTGACTATGAAACACTAACTATTTTCGCCTTTAAAGCTTTTAATTCCATTTTGTTGGTCAAAATACCCATTCAACTCTATAAGTAACAATATTAAATATCCCCTTTATGATAAGATAACTTACAATAATAGGCTCATCGCCATGCTCGCGCTTGGCGGGATCCAGGCTCATCTTGGGTACCGCCTGGTTGCTGCCATTCAGCCACTCCCCAGCCACCAGATCCGTCTTGTAACCAGTAGTCTCCGGATAGAGATCGGCATGGAAATCGCGATATGTCTGAGAAATACTCTCGTTATTGCTAGCCATAATATTTAAGAGGATAAGAATACACACCTTTCTGGGCACCTGGTACATGATGGGAATGACCATGTTAGAGGTCAGTTGCAGTACTCGATTGACCTCTGCCTCCATGACTTTGAGTGCCCGCTTGGGCACCAAACAAGCTCCCTTCGTCTGCTCGCCGGTGTGTCGCAATCCCTCAATCAAATACGGATCCTTGTCCGTAATCTCTAAATAGTTAATGGTTGTATCGCCTTTTCCGGCTAGGAAAAGCATATTGGTGTCGGGATCAAACAGCGGCATTAATATGCCCGTGGAGCAGTCCAGTTCGAGAGTTTTCTCCGGTGTGTTGAAATTACGCACATCACGGATGATAACCTGACGCAGGCGGGCCGCATCGAAGCCGGTAGTGAGGATGCGCTGCTGATTGCCCAGCCACACAACCCGTGAATCCTTGATGCTCTGGTGCGATTCAGCAGTCAGCTGGATAGGAGAACCGGCAGCACGGGGATCAAAGATCCGCACACACTTGTCCTTGCAACTAGTGGCCAGAACGGAACCGTCCTCGCGCCAACTGGCCGACTGTATCACCTCGGGATGCTCATTGTTCGCTGCGGGGCAAAAAAAACATTCAGATTGAATTTATTTTAAGAGAGGAGCTTGTGACTCACAGAAGATCTCCTTCTGGGTGCTGAGATCAAAGAGAGCCACGCAACCGGCGGCTGTAGAATACATCAAGCCATCAGCCGTTGGATGAAAGCCCACCGTCTCTACGCGTCGCTGCTTGTGTGAGAATATGGCCTCCGGATCGGAGAGAGACTGCTCCAAACCTTTTTCTGGTATGTGCCAGATCTTAACCTGTGGATTACAATTAGAATTGGTCGATTATGAATTTATCTCATATTCGTCACAATCTATTTTCAATACTATCAAATTTGTGACTAATGTTATATTTTTGCGTGGATTTTATTGTTTGTGGTTTTGGCTGCGTTATCGCTATTATAACCATTATGGTTTTCTAATAGTATCAATTTTGTTGAGCAAAAATTTATAATTTCTTGGTTAATAACATGCAATTTTTTTAACTATCTTCTAACCATAACCATTAAATGTTAAGGAATTTACAACAAAAAAAAATTGTGAATTTTTGTAATGAGATTAAAATTAAAAAAGTCGCAAAAAGTGAGCAACTTCTGAAAAATTTGTAAGTTTGTTTTTTGGTTCTAAGATATATAAATTTAACAGCGAATTTGACACAAGCGGATGAACCCATCCGTGCATTTATCATGTGTACAAGCAAGTGATGACTTAATAATGACTTAATGACTTATAAATGGCAATTTTATACATTCTTTTTAGATCCATATACATTGAGTTTAATTTTTATTTTATTTATATTATTTATTAATGGAAATTTCATAAATAAAAGTCAAAAATAAAAACAAATTTAAATTCTCAATAACAATATAAATAAGAAAAAGTTAACTTTTAAATTATAACTCTAGGCTTGAACTAAATAAATTAATACATTTCAAATATCGAGTGCAGTAGTGGAAAAAAATAGGCTGAAGTATATGTAGAAAGAAATATTAATCTAAATTAAAGAGATTTAAGAACTGTATTGAAAACTATTATACGTTTATAAGGAGAACTCATGAGGGCAAAAAAAGTGCAAAATTAAGTAGTTTTTTATTTCAATTTCAAATCAGGTTTTTAAGGCCTATATCCATATCCCTTTATCAGGCAACTATTTCTGAATGTGTGGACTTAGGGTCCAAGTTTCAAAACGATATTCTAATGACATGACGAGATAGGTTTCAAGTTTTAAGACCCCTGTTTCCAGAAGTTCCCCAACCAAATCTCTTACCAGACAATCCTGCGAGGCGGTGGCCAGCAGGCCGTCGTGAAACGGCGAGAACTTGAGGTCCGTCACTGTGTCCGTGTGGCCGTGCAGTAGCGGCATGGTCTTGCTCTTGCGACCGCAGTCGTCCAGCGGCAGGACCGCCACGCTGGACCCGGTGTGCTCCCAGTTAAAGGCCATAAAGGCGCCCGAGGCGGCGATGTTGTTGCCGTACGTCTGGTAGCTGCCCACGCAGATCTCGCGGACGCAGGCCTCCGCCTTGGGCACAATGGGTGCGGCATTTTTGTATTTGGAAGCCTTGAATCGCCAGGCCATGATTGGCTACTTGGTAAAAATGGGCTTCGATCCGATGTGATTGTGATCCGATGCGGTGTGCAACTCTGGCGGATGTGGATGTGGATATGGTTCGTCGATGGTCGAATGGATTGGATGATGTTCTCTGGCCGAGTATCGACAGTCGATTGTCGCTGGTCCGGTGGCTAGTGGCTCCCTCTCGTTCGCTCCAGTCGCTGCTCTCTTTAGCTCTCCTTCGCCTTTCCGTTTCGTTTCTGGAAAATGGCAAACATATCCGTATAAGCATGATATCACTTGGGCGCGCGGGGGACATTCCACAGTTTGTTATCGGTTTGCCGCTCCTGACTCATCGTCATCCGATAAGGCAAACAATAGGCGATATCAAATAAAATACAAAAAAGAGAGATGCACTTGCTATTGCTACGATACGACTATTGAAAAGAGAAAGCTGGACAAGAATGGTGTCCACCAAAGCCGGATGAGCCAGACCAACACTCGCGCAATCGCCGTGTGTGTGTGAGTGTGTGTTTGTATGCCAATGTTTGTTTGTACAACAGGAAAGACGAGGAAAAACACTGGGCAAAAAATGGTTCGATCCAGCAGCAAGGGTTAATATGCCACACCTAAGGGTGAACGAATGATCCTTGAGCACCCTCTTCACAACAGTTTACTATGTCCACTCTAAGCACTTTTTCTCTTACGTTTTATTAGTTCACTACTTTAAGTGAGAACTGTCATTTTCCAAGTGCAGTATGCAAAAAGAAAACGCGAGGAAAAACAATTGCATTATAATGGCAACACGAACAGTATGATCCAGCCAGCGGTAAGGGTTAATATGCCACACCTTAGGGTTAACGATCCTTATAATACATTTTATGGAGACACAGACACAAACATGCACAAACCACACCTACAGTAAGCACTATATCGAGAGAACAAACAAAAATAATAATTTAGTGGTCACTATTAGTATTAACAATTAAATTTTAAAATTTGGTCCTGTAAGTTCAATCATTTTTTTCGATAAATGATGTTTTGTGTTTACTTGTCGACGCCGCACTGTAATTTTCTAAGTGCAGTTAGCAAAAATCGAGAGAGAGGCGGAGAGAGAGCATGCGCCAATTCAACTGTTTCTGTTTGTTAGAAAGCGGCAAAACAAATGACCACTGGGGGAAAATGAGGCGCGAAGGGGCGGGGCCCGGCGGAAAAGCAGGTATTGGCCAGCCACCAGGTAATGGGGTCAAGTGATTTAGAAAAACCGAGCTGAACACAAAAAGGCAGGCGATGTTGCAAAGTGAGAGCGAGATAGGGACAGGTGCAACCTGCAGCCTGCTAGCGGTGAACAGTTTGCGGCGTGGGAGAGCAAAATGAAAAGGAGCGGCATCCCTCCCTTCTCTCTTTCTTGCTTGGTTGGGGGTGGCTAAAAACAAGCCGGCTTGCTTTTTTGTTGTTTTCACCCACTGCCCACTAAACACACACACACAAACATATCTATATGCACTCCTGGTGGTTGGTTTTGGTCACGTTGTTGTTGCTGCTGATTATATGCATTTATTGACATTTTCTACAAGTTTTCCTCCTTTTTTGCATATGCAGCAGCCGATTAATGGGTGTTACTTTCTAGTTTCGGGCAATTAAATAAAAAGAGGGGGTGCTTTTGCCTGTTTTCTTGCTTTTCCTTTTTCTTTTTTTGCAGCACACACCCTGGCGCCGGCAGAAGAAGAAGAGGAAGAAGCTCAAGCAGCGGCAATGACAATGACAACTACAAATGCAACAACAACGGGTGCAGGGGGTGGGGGCGGTAACTACAACAACAACTGCGCGAAGGCGACGCCGCTTTTTTATGGGCAAACAAAGGAGCAGTTTTGCACACACACTAACACACATGAAAGATGCAGCGCTGCAGCTGCACACACACACGAAAACACGACGCAAAACACACGCACGCCGGCAATTAAAGTGCAAAAATTGTTTATTGAAGGCGAATCCTGTTTGAATTAATTACCAATGCAATCAATAAAATAAACTACGCGAGATCAACTCTTCTCTTTTCGTCAATAGAGGTGGGGAACCATCGATGCTAAAGGTGGAGAAACATCGATGTCAACATCGTGTCATCGATGTTTCCAAAATATCGTTTCGATGTTTGGCCGGGCACAATCGATGTTTTTCTATTTCTAACGAGAATCGAACATCTCATCCAGTTCTTGCGCACTGTTAACGATTTTACTCAATTTATTGCGCACTGTTAACGATTTCGCTCTATATCTTGCGCTCATATTTATTTTTTCATCCCATTTCTTGCGCACCCGTAACAATTTCCCTCCAGCTCTTACGCACTCTGTTATTTTCCACGCCGTTTCTTACTCTGTTATATTCCATTCCATTTGTAGTCTTTTTGCCACATACAAAATGCACTTTAATCATAGGACTGTGAAAAATGTTTGCTGATCTGGAGATATATAAAGTATAAGCCAAGGAAATTTTAAAAAATGCAAATATTTATTTATTTCAAACAAACGCCTATATTGATTTAAAAAATCACCCTTTTATTTTATTTTTTACTTGATTCAATCTCAATAACTACTTCTTTAGAGGCGGATAAAACTTAAACTTAATGTTTTCATAACTTTCTTTTAAACAACGATAAGACATCGGTACTTTCCGCCGAAATTATCGATATTTCTCCCCCTTTAATCTAACATCTATGTAATCGATATTTCGGAAACATCGGTATTTTGATGTTTTTCAGCATGTAGCAAATGTAGCTTCGGAGTAAGTCCCCGCTAATTGCGGAATAAGTCCCCGCTAATTGCGGAGTAAGTCCCCACTAACTATCGATACTATCGTATGGAAGGCTGCCAGAACCGATGCTGCAATGCCCATGCGAGTGCTGCCACTATGTTTTACTACACGTCAGCTTGGCGGTTTGCTTGAATTTGCATTGAACGAAAATCGGTTGCATTATTATTTAACCGGACACCCATCAAATTGCACGATACTAAGATAACGGTACTTCTTTTCAAATTTTCTACAGACAAATTTATTTTAATTGTGATATTGTCTTTACAAAATTTCAAAAATGTAAAACATTCTTGAAAAAAAACAATTTGTTTTTAATAAAAATGTAACAGTTGGTACACGCTATCACAAACTAACAAAAACTAAAAAATAAACACACACATTGAAATTCTAATTTATCCCACCAATTTTAAACAAATAATTTTTCATTTTTATAATTTACTAATCAAACGGAAGGTAAACACTTTATGGTACTTATTTTTAAACTGAAAATTGCAAATAAGCTATGTAAGCGCACAAATCGGCCACAAATCAGTTGAACGTCTTAAACAGTGCATTGCGGTGAAGAAATCTCCAAGGTAACACAGATTGAAACGTGAAAGACTTGTGAAGGAGGCTGCAAGTCCGTCGCAGCTGTACGTATATATATATGGTATTTGCACGGATTTATTCCCCACTTGTATCACAAACATGCACATGAAGAAATCGGTGGGAGCTAAGGACGTTAGTTCGCAGCCAGTCGCACGAGCAGTTTCCGCCGGTCCTCATCGATGATGGCCAGGAACTTCTGCACCCGCTCGCTGTAGAAGCCGCTGGTTTTAGCTAGCTGGACGCTCTCCATCCTCCTCTCCCGACGGAAGTCCTCCAGCTGCCAGCGGTCGCGCTGGTAGGCCACAATGCTGGCCAGGAAGTGCCAGAACGTGATTTGCGGCCACAGGACATTGCTGAAGTACAGCACAGAGGTGCTCAGCTGAAAATGATAAGATGAAAGGGTTGAATAGGTTTTTATATAGCAAAGTTGAAAGAAACTGAAAATAGTTATTTTTTTACATTAGTTTTTTTGTTTCTTTGTAAGAACCTTGGCATTTATTTAAAGTGTATGCCTTAAATGGTGTTCAAAGCTCAATTTGGTAATGCTTTATAATGCATTAAAACAAAATAATGCATTAAAAATTTAAAGGAGAATTGTTAATTTAAACTATGATTAGGCTTATTTACCATACAAAAACAAGAAGTAATTGCATAAAAAGGGAAACAAATAAAGAAACTTTTTAAGTGGCATAACCCTCCTTACGCACCTGCCACATCATGAAGTCGCTCAGCCTGGTCTCCCCGGAGGTACGGAACACCAGATCCGGCGGCGGCGAGTGTCGCGTGTAGAGACACTCCTCCAGCAGCCGCTCGCTGATGTCCTCCGCGGCCAGATCCTCACACCCGTGCCGCAGGACCGTCTCTACGGCCTGCGTAATCTCGTCCCGTGACGTGTAGGCAAAGGCCACGTTGAGAAAGAGCTTGCCATTGCGCTCCGTGCTCAACATGGCCGAGGCCACCAGTTTCTGCAGGTCCAGGGGCAACAGTTCGATATTCCCAATGATCCGGATGCGGATCCCGTGCTCGTCCAGGCGGGCAGTCTCCTCCAGCAAGCGGGCGAACTTTTCGCGGGCCAAATTGAACAGACCTTCGACCTCCTCGCTAGAACGCTTGAAGTTCTCGATGCTGAATGCAAAGGTGGTCACCTCGCGGACTCCCACGTCCAGGCACCAGCGCAGGCAGTCCGCCAGCTTCGCGAATCCCCGCGAGTGGCCCTCGATCTTGTCTATCTGCTGCGAGCGGGCAAACCGCCGATTGCCGTCCATCACGAAGGCGACGTGGTGCGGAATGTGGCCGCAGGCGCGCAGCGTCCGCATCGCGAGCCGCTCCGTCCAGGTGTACTTGTAGTCGGAGACCCACGACATTGCCGCTGGGTGGGATTCGGTGGCAGTGGAATATAATTATGTTATTTATCTAGTTTGTCTTTTGGTTTGGGTGTCTTGTGATTGCAGCCCGAACTCAAACCACTTAACCGGTGTGACAGTTGCCACTTTGTAAATAAACCCCAAATATACCGTTACCGCATACACAAACCCAACGAGCACAACTTGTGAATATTTATCAATCGCAGACGCAATCCATCGATAGACATTTACCTTGGGCCGAAAACATTATATTTTAGCTTACCAATAAACTCCGTAAAACAATTTTAAATGCAAACAAGTTTTTTATTAAAAAGTATAAAATAAAAATTCCTAAAGAAAACAAAAAGCCAGGAACCCTTGTTTTACCTTATTAATGATTTACACTAATCATATATGGTGGGGATGCACCATTATTTCTAAATTGTAGATAATTGAGTAATATTTTTAAGAAATTTAATAAAACCTATTTTTGATAAAATAAAATAAAATGTATTTTTGATAAAATAATATAAAACTCCAAAATATGGCTTGTTTTTTTGTTTATTTGTTTAGTTGAAATACGTACTTAAGTACTTAACAATTTCTGTCTTCGATTATTCACCAATACTGTTTTATATAATTGTAATGGGATTACAAAACTACAAGGGTTTTTTATTCTTTGAAAATCATTTAATTAATAATACATATTTTTTAAGTTAAACAAAATTTCCCTGGGGGCAGTTTAGTGATCCTTTTAATAGGATATGAAACAACATTGATTAAAAATCATGGAATTTTATTAACACAATCCTGGGGTAGTTTTGTGATCTCCTTGTAAAAATATGAAACCATTTTAGCAAAAAATATTTTTGTAGTTTGAAGTTCTAAAGACTTTTACTTTGAGCAAATAAATAAAAATAATTCATAATTATTATTTGTATGTTTTTTTATTACATCTTATTAAATTAGCAACAATAATTATTTTTATTAAAGAAAAAGTTTAAAAATTTTAATTTAATCATTACCACTTATTTTGTCTTGGAAAAACTGCATACTCCATCGTTTTATTCAAAACTAGGTGGCAGCCTCCGATTCGCTATCGATTAAAGATCGTAACATTTTGGGAAAACTCAGCAACCCTGGCATTTTGACAGCTACTACAGCCTTCTTTTTTGATATCCGGTTCACGCAAGTGGTTCGTTCTAAACTTTTGCCCTTCATTTTTTTTGTAAAAACTTCGTATTTGAGCCCTTTTAAGGCCTCAAAAATGTGCCCCCTCAAGCGAGCTCAATGGGCTGACTGAAAACCATTGTAAAGCTGCCCAGCAGCTTATTTTTTTTACGTTTTTTTGTTTTGTTTGTGCGCACGCCATTGTTTTTGTTTGTGAAAAGTCAGTGTGGTATAAATGTGCCTTCCTTGCTATTCCCGCAGTTGCTGATCGACAAACAACCTTAGAATGGCACCCAGGAAGGCTAAAGTTCAGAAGGAGGAGGTCCAGGTCCAGCTGGGACCCCAGGTTCGCGACGGCGAGATCGTATTCGGAGTGGCTCACATCTACGCCAGCTTCAACGATACGTTTGTGCACGTTACTGATCTGTCCGGACGTGAAACCATTGCCCGTGTCACCGGAGGCATGAAGGTGAAGGCCGATCGTGACGAGGCTTCGCCCTATGCCGCTATGTTGGCTGCCCAGGTGAGTGAGGATTCTGCTGTCCAGTCGGAGCACTGCTCAAGCTTTTGATTCTCCCCCAGGATGTGGCCGAGAAGTGCAAGACGCTGGGCATCACCGCCCTCCACATCAAGCTGCGTGCCACCGGCGGCAACAAGACCAAGACTCCCGGACCCGGCGCCCAGTCCGCTCTGCGTGCTCTGGCCCGTTCCTCCATGAAGATTGGTCGCATCGAAGACGTTACCCCCATCCCATCGGACTCTACCCGCAGGAAGGGCGGTCGCCGTGGTCGTCGTCTGTAAATGGCCGAATGGAGAAATCTGGAATGCAGGAATCCCTGTTTTTGGTCAAAATACTGCATTTGTGTATATGACAAGAAGGTCATTCTGTTTGTGTGCATAGATGCACTGTAATAAACCAGGAAAACATGATGTAAATGATTACAAGACAATGGTGCATGTTAATGGGTGTAACTTGGGGTGTACAACCAGGCTTAATAAGTGATTTATTAAGGGTTATAGCAAAATGTTTACAAAAGTTGCCCGTTTTAGGCCGCAGAGTTGCCACCTTTTCGCGCCGACTGCGCAATGGCAGCCCGATAGACCCACAAAAGCAGCCCTGCCACCGATAACTATCGCCTCAGCAGCTGTGTTGTTTTTGCTTTCTTTTTTCGTATCCGGTTCACGCAATTGGTTCGTTGCGATTTTCTCCCCCCTTTATTTTATTATTTATTGCCATTTGCGAATTGAGCGGCAAAAACGGAAAGATGCCACAGCTAGTGCCATTGGCCCTTTGTGAAATGACTAGACTTAATTTTAGAATCCTCGTGGGCACGGTGTGGATGCGGTTGAATTAATTTGTTTCTGTTTTTGTTGTTGTTTTTGTGAGTGACTTGAGCCGGCAATTGAACAAGGTTTTTCTATACATTCTAGTTGCTGATCGACGACCAGACGCTGCAGAATGGCTCCAAGGAAGGCTAAAGTTCAGAAGGAGGAGGTCCAGGTCCAGCTGGGACCCCAGGTTCGCGACGGCGAGATCGTCTTCGGAGTGGCTCACATCTACGCCAGCTTCAACGATACGTTCGTGCACGTTACTGATCTGTCCGGCCGTGAAACCATTGCCCGTGTAACCGGAGGCATGAAGGTGAAGGCCGATCGTGACGAGGCTTCGCCCTACGCCGCTATGTTGGCCGCCCAGGTAAGTAATCCCAAATTAGCTCGCTAAACAATGTTTAACCCCGTTGTAATACCCTTCAGGATGTGGCTGAGAAGTGCAAGTTGCTGGGAATCACCGCTCTGAACATCAAGCTGCGTGCCACTGGCGGCAACAAGACCAAGACCCCCGGACCCGGCGCCCAGTCCGCTCTGCGTGCCCTGGCCCGTTCGTCCATGAAGATTGGCCGCATTGAGGATGTGACCCCCATCCCATCGGACTCCACCCGCAGGAAGGGAGGTCGCCGTGGTCGTCGCCTGTAAAAATGTGCGCTCCATTGTTTTGACGATGCGTTATTTTTTTATACTATGAAATACAGCATAAATATAGAAACAAAAAATGAAAATGCAGTGGAAATGGCTTGTTTCGGGTGCTCTCGGATGTGTTTTACCAGTGGCAACGTTCGCGGTTGTTATCGATAGGCGATAGACCCGCTTGGCCACCTCAGTATATTCAAACCAGTCGCACCGCGGTCACACTGGATAAAATTCATATACACATACACGCGAACGAAGCGACCGTGTGTGGATTCGTGGAGCAAATCGAAATTGGCAGGATTAAAAGCATTCGCGAACGCACAGGCAGCGGCTATAGGGCTGCCCACGCACTAAGAACACTAACTAGCCAGTTAAGAGGTTCCTTAACCACCGACTAATATGCAAAAATCAGCGTAATTGGCAAGTTCAATGCACGACTAATATATTTGGCCACACTTGCCAGTGTGCGTGCGCGCGTGTGTGTGTGTGCTGTCCGTGTGCGCGTGTTTGTGTGGCCGCGACGAGTATGTGTGCGGTATATCGTATATTTGCAAGACTCGCGGATGAAACAGCGTGAAAAGTGAGCGAAACATCGGGAATAGGGCAGCCCAGCCAAAGAACTCGATCCGGATTCTGATGCGGACGATGGGGATATAGATCTATCCATAGAGCCACCGCACCACAGTAGGTCGGTCAGGCGACGTCAAGTTGGAAAAGCAGGAACGGAGCAGAGATGTCGAAGCGGCTCCACTGAGTCAAGTGTTTTGTGGTGTTGTGAAATTTTCCGTCTCCAGGTCGTAATCTCCGCAATCGTAATCCCGCCGCGATTGATTCCCTCATCAAAATTTTCAATTGAACGCAACTCCGCCATAAACAAAAATCGAAAATTCGACCACTAGCCAAACAACAAAAAATCACGCAGTGAAGAAGAAGCAGCAGCCAAAAAAAAAAGAAAAGAAAACTTGTTTGAAAAAGGCCGAACCGAAGAAAAAGAGTCGGAGTTTCGAGAATTACAGCGTGCTAGGAACGAAGCACCGGCGACGTCACCAAATATACGCATCACCATGGATGAGGATGACAACCTGTCCAATGCCGACATCAGCATCGACGAAGAAGAGGCGGTGGAGCGTTCGCGCGAGGCCATGCAGCAGGATGACCAGGACCAGGATGAGGACGAATCCTCTGATGTGGATCTGTCCTCGGTGTATGTCCTGCCCGCCATAGTCTCGATAGGTGGTGGTGCACCTCCTCCAGTGCGAACTAGTGCAGGATCATCGGGAGGCGGAGTAGGTGGAGCAGGAGCCACAACTGCAGCCACCGACAACTCGCATTCCCCTTTCCACGACTGGGATTCCAGAGTGGCGGCTGCTGCTCCTCTGCCACCGCCGCCCCGTGGAACCACTGCAGCGGGATCTGGCGGCAATCCCTCCTCCTCATCTTCTGGCGATGCCGGCGCCAAGCCGAGCTTCTTCTTTGGCGCCTCGTCCTTTAGTTTGCGCAGCCGCAAGGAAGTGGCCGCCCTGATCAACACCGAATGCTGCCGCGGCAGCCCCACGCCCGATCTCGACTCTATAATGGACACCCTGTTTAATCCGGGCACGCCCATCGACAATCTGGACAACATCGAGTGGATACGATGGCTCATTGCCGGCGGACGCACGCCGCAGGAGTTTGTTAAAATTGGTACGTCTATCGATAAATGTGTTGCATTTCCTATCGCAAACAGCTGATCGCAAGTCCGTTGCCCCTGAAACTCTGCGTGTGTGTGTGAGAGATACCTGTGTGAGGTGTATGTGTGTGTAATGGTTGTAGGGCACGCAAGGAAAAGGGAGAGAGAGGGGCAGAGAGCATAACAGCAAGGTGCAAGGCGGCGTGAAGAGTGCGAGTGCACCACCATGGCAACAGCAATCAAGCGCTCTCGCTCGCACACACACACGAACTGATTAGGGGAGTCGACTTTAGCCCAATTTAATCTCAACTGCTCAACTATTTGCAATGCTGGATTTGTGAATATATTTTATGATTACTTATTTTTTGTGCCAGGCTGCGTAAGTCGCCAAAGTTGCTTTTGTCGTTTATGGTTGTTTGTCCCACTTGTCAGCTCTCACACACGCACACGCACAGTGGAATGCAACTTGCACCTTGTGGCTGTGTCAGCTGTTCGGTTCGCCTTGCGTAATAAATGTTTCCGCAGCATCCGTCCCAAAAACACACGCACACCAGCGCCTACGGGCTTGTTTATGTGCGCTGGCACCTTTTGTCACCGCCAAGTGTTCCTTTTTTTTTGTTTTTTCGCTACTCTGTTGCAACAAAGTGCAGAACAATTGCAAAATTGCACTCTTGCGGCAAAAGTTGATTGACCGTCATTGTTGTTGATTGACACAACAACACGCTACCGCTCACGCACAGTGGGGATTAGGGGGCCCTAAAGTGTGTGATATGGCCCACTGTAAGTTGTCATCGGCAATTGACCGACAGACCGTTATGTTATTGCGCTGGTGTGTGTGAGGGTGGGAGAGTGCACCTTCTTTCCGTTCCCATGTCACCTCTACCCCTCTCCCTTGCTCACCTAGCGAACCTTGTCCAAAAGTTCTCAATTAGAAAGAGATAGATGCATTGGTTGCCAAGCAGGCTATAAGAGAGAGAGAGTAGCCAACTTGTCTGTCGATCGATCGCCATTTAAATTGTCAATCAATTTTTCACTGCACTGCGTTTTAGCCATATTGTTGTTGTTATTGCCAAGTGATTTCCTTCCGCATGCGGCGGCCGACAACGTTGACCTTTTATGCTAACAAGGTCCGAACGAAAAACGCCCCAGAAGACAAAAAAGCAAAGAGTCACGCAACAAGCTAAATTAACTAAGCAATGAGTGCATCATTTTATTTTTGGAACTCAATCAAATCAATAGCAATATCAAGGCAGCCAGAAAATAAAATAAAGCAATACAAAATTGGCCAAAACAAAACAGCTGGCCTCGACAGGTTTTTCGATTTGTGCGATAACTTATCGTTTGGTGTTTGAGGTGGCAGGAAAATTTGCACTTGAGCGATTATTTCGATAATTTTTGGATGGAATGTTTTTAGTATTTAATTATTTTTAATGCCTTAAAGAATTGTTTAAAATCAACGATTAAATAAGATTAATGATTTGATTCCAGTTAAAGCCCTTTTTTTAGTTAGTTAACATTTTTTCCCCATGGAATTTAAACAGCAACTTAGTATATATACTCATTTTGATTGACTGAAAATTGTTATTGTTAAAAATTGTTATTAAATTAAAATTAAAATAGATAAAATAAATAATTTTTATCAAAATTTTATCCAAAACGGTTTATGCAAAGCTATAAATAGTTACTTTTTGGAAATTATTACATATTCAAACAGAAGATACTTTAAATATTTGATAAACTTTTTACCATATTATTAAAATTGTAAATAATGAGTGTGGAAGTTAATAAACAAATAAAAACAGAAACAATGGGGGTTTGTTCTACATATTATTCAATATTTAAATTTTAAACGTTATTTGAAAACAATGTTTTAATCAATGCATAATTTCCATAATTTTTATTAGATTAAATTATTTAAAAATTATAATATTTAAATTAATATGAATTAGTAGTGCTTGAAGTCCTTGAAGTACAAAGTTACTAAAACAGAAATGACGTGCATCACTTTTAAAAATCGTTTAAATAAATTGCACTGAATAGCATATCTAGATATATGTATGTAGATATCTAATGACACATCATATTTAAGGAATCAATAGTTGGCCAAGTGTTTTCTCCTGAAAGATAAATACAAAGAAAATTTATAACTTTTTAAGTGTCTGTGAATGTATCAGTTGGTTAAATATGGTAATTTTCTAGACTGCGGTCAATGTGAAGTCCGTCCTTGCCGCTTACTTACAATTTGTGTGTGTGTTTAGGTTATATTATATAGAGGTTATTGATATCCCTTAGTAAACATTATTTTAATTTTTCAATTTTATTTTGTAGTGCGCAGTTATGACAACCACGCGAAGTGCGGACTGGTGTGGGTACCCCATGTGGTGGCGTACAGGTGTCGTACTTGCGGCATCTCGCCCTGCATGTCCATTTGCCGCGACTGCTTCAAGAAGGGCAACCACACGAACCACGACTTCAACATGTTCCTATCGCAGGCGGGCGGTGCCTGCGATTGTGGCGATACCTCGGTGATGAAGGCGGAGGGCTTCTGCAGCGATCACGGCATCAATAATCGGGTCAATCGCGACCCGGTGCCCAACAATCTGTTGGCGGTAGCCGAGGCCATAATGCCTAAGTTGCTGTTCCGCCTGCTGCAGCACTTCCGCGAGCACAGCGACACCTCTCTCCAGGTGCACGCAACGACGTCGTACTCGTGTGAGGAGTTCGCCAACATGCTGATCGATCTGAACAACATGGGTGAGATAATGCGCAAAGTGATGACGCGTACGCTGATCAATCCGGAGGTATATGCCTACTTTATGGAGGCACCATGCCAGGACACACGGAATGGACGTTTCTTGAAAGCGAACCGGGAGAAGTATGAGGATGCTGTGAACAGATTCCCAAACCCAGAGCCACCCGATGAGTACAGGGATTTGCCGGCGCTTGGCGACAAACTGGTACACACCACGTTGCTCGAGGAGTTTATCTTCTGGACATTCAAGTTCGAGTTTCCACAGACGCTAGTTTGTTTCCTGCTCAACATGCTCCCAGATCAGGATTACAAGGTGAGTGCTGATAGAATATTGTAATGAAATTTTCGACAATGCTCATTCGTTTTCCCCCAAAAGGAACACCTGACCCGCACATTTGTGATGCACTACAGCCGCATACCGTCCGTGCTTGAGATGTCCCGCGATCCTGATACCCTCAGCAACCGGGTGGTCCACATGAGCGTCCAGCTCTTCTCCAACGAAAGTCTGGCCCTCAAGATGGTCAATGAGCTGTCACTGTTGCACGTGATGATCATCAGTCTGAAGTTGATGATGTCCAAGATACTCATACAAAATACGCTACATGGTGAGATTTAGTTTTATGCCACTTTCTTTTTAAAATTAATTGTGGTTTTCCCTGTAGATCCCAGCAAGAATTTTCACTTTGTCATCGACTGTACGCGACAGGTGATGAAGGACCATTGCTATTGGCCGCTAGTCTCTGACTTTAACAACGTTTTGTCACACGAATCGGTGGCCCTGGTCTTTTTGAGAGACGACAACCTCATTGACATGTGGTTCCAGTTCCTCCAGATGCTTCAGGGCATGAATGTCAACGTGCGGGAGACGGCTTCTCACGTGGAATTCGAGCCAAACAGCTACTATGCAGCTTTCTCCTGCGAACTGGAGGCCAGTGCCTATCCCATGTGGTCGATTATTTCGCATTTGCAGGATGGCACACACGCCCACCTGGCCAAAAAGATCATCAACTACTGCGTGACGACGCTTCACGAGTGGCTGGACTCTATTTACTTCATGGAGGCGCGTCTATCGATGGTGGGTGTTATCAAAGGTTTTTTCACTTGAAAACTAAAGTTCGAAGTGTTTTAACACTTAACAGAAAACTCAATATTATTTTAAATTTGTTGATTTATCCTTGCAGGAGGAGATGATGCAGGCTTCCTTCCACTTTCCACTGCACCGATATTTGGCCGCCTTTGTGTGCCAGGCGGTCACCAAAATGGGAATTAGTTTGAACGACGTGCTTCCCTCACGTCCTTATCTCCTCCCCTTGCTGATGATCCATCCGCTGCGCGTCCAGGTGAGTTTCCGTCCCTCCTTTTATATTGAATTAAATAGACTAGATTTTCTCGGTTCTCTGCGTTTTCAGATTCAGATTCAGATTCTTTTTATTTGTTTTTTTTAAGGCTAAATTCCAATATAATTTGAGTTATATTCTTGTCTTGCCCGATTCTGGGACTCTTGCGTATCGTTCTCCTTTGATCTCACTTAACCTACGCGACAGTAATTGCAAGTGTGTATTGATAGGTAGTGTACAACTAAAAAAGCTATGACATAGGTGCGGGATGGAACAGCACCGCCTCTCCGACTTCATCCGCTTTAGAACTTATTCTTTGGCACCTGAACGTGGGGCGTATAGTCGTAGGTTATAAGCTTGGGGCCCAGGAAGCCGCCGTAGCCGTTGCGTCCTTTGTAGTAAATACCAATGCCGGATAACGGTACAGGTGGATTCGAGACCACGTCCTGGATGTCAATGAAGGGCACAGTGCTCTGGGCGGCGTCCTTGTCCAGTCCCGTGTTGGTGAAGTCGATGTACTGATTGTGTCGCGACAAAGGTATTGAGTACGTGATTGTCCGCGTGGACACGTCGGCGTTCTCCAAGCGCAGTTTCTCTCTGAAACGAAAATATGAGAAAGTCAATTTTAATGGTTTTCGAAATAGATCACCCAGATATAAGAGCTTACCTGCGTGCTCCGCTGACATCGGTATTATCGTTAGACTTCCAATAGCTATTACTCTCCGGCTGGATTAGCTGGCCCGTTTTGAAGTCGAACTCGCTGTAGTAAGCCTCTAGATTCAGATGGGCACCCACCACACGGAATCGCACGCCGGTTATCACAAAGCTATTGTCATCCGTGTTCACATCGTCCAGATCGATGGAGCGGCTTTCATAGCTCAACATGTGATAGTCAGCGCCCTTCTTTACATCACGATCAAAGAAGTTGTAATTCTCCACAGGCTTCCACTCCAAGGTGCTCTGATTAACAGCGCCACGCGGCAGGAGTTCGCCCTCCTGGATTTGCAGGTGGAAAATTCGATTTTTCTTCACAAAACGCAAGCCAGTCACAATTCTAAAAGAATAAATATAGATTATTTTTTTGACATTTCAAGAAAATAGGTTCCAGAAGCTTCCATAAATGAGTTTTAAAAATATTTAATCAAAATCAATACTCACCGGTTGCGCTTTACATCGGCGATCGTATCCCGCAGGTTGAAGAATCGATCCGACTTGAGTCCCTGCTCATCGCACAGGCAGAAGCAGTAGCTGCAGTGCCAGAGAAGGTAACGCCACCAGCTGTCCACCTTGGTGGTGCCCCTGGTGCATTTACCTCGCTGTCCGAGGACTCGTCCGTTCTCGTACTCGATAAACTCGTAACGCCTGGTGCTGTTCTGTGGCGACGGACACACCCACATGTCGGAGTCGACAAACTGACAGTTGTACAGACGACCCATACATCTTGGCTGGCGGGCACAGTAAAGTTCCTTAAAGCAGCCCTCACTGCGGGTGGACTGGTAGAAGGAGCACGTCTCTCGGCAGGTTTCCTCATTATTCAGATCCACCTCGTTTTCAATATATCCCTGTAGAAGCCGGGTGACCTGGTCGTAGGTGACGCCTTGTACATGTTTCCCTGGGTCGCAGCGATAAACGATACGATCCGCCCGAAGCATCACGTCCTTGAGCAATTTCAGTGTGCGTTCCGTCCTCTTCTCGTAGTCTGATCGCATCAGTTCCGCCTCCTGTGTGTAGTTGCCCTTGCCATAAACCCGCAGCATCATCCACGAGAACTCCATCATAGTGTAGGCTTTCAGTTCGGTCAGGGCTATGTCTGCATAGAGGGAGTACACAAACTGTTGGGCCGATTGCATTGTATTGCAAATCTGATTGTTCGACACCTGTAAGCAAGAAATTTGTCGCATTATTTGGAATTTCATTAATATGGTTAATACCCAGCTGTTTTTAGGTTTACCCTCCTGGCATTCATTACTGTTTACACTTGAAATGTAAACCGCGAAGTTTTTGTTTTTTTTGTAACTCTTGTTTTTAGCTGCAATTAGCCGTTACATCTGGCTGTAAAAATCGCTGGCATACCCTTAGTATTATATATAATTACGGATCGCGTGGGGGTGTAAGATTAGCATTTGCCTGGGTGTTGTACAACAAAAATTGGACTATTTGTGTTCGATGCAATAGGAAGTTGATGTTAAAAAGATTATTTTAATTATGAATTAATAATCGTGAATGTGAATCACTGTTTCTAAGTTTTTGTTTGACTGGTTTGGTATTAGTTTTTAACAAAGGAGAATGGATTTCCTTTCCTTTTCTTTAAAAACGTTTGTATAAAAAATAGATATTTGTTACCCCTCGCATTATGATTCGATATATCTTCGGATCTTCTAATATCACTACCACACTAATCTATTATTATATTTGATTGGTTGACTAACTATCATGGCCCGGTAGTAGAGGGTCTGTTGGACCATCACTCGTTCAATTTCCTGCACGATGCGTGGCATCGAGATGGTATTATCGTTGCGCAGGATTTCCCGGGAGAGGGTTAGAATGGCCAGTTCATCCAGTTGTGCACTGTTCTGCTTGACAAAGGTGTTCTATATAGAGAGGAGTTAGTGGTTATAATCTCTCCAGAATATTATCCTCAGTGTATGGCAGAATACCTTGTAGGCATCGTATAGCTTGCTGATATAGATGAGATCCCTTTCCAGCAGAGACCATTCGTAGTGATTGAGGACCTCGTAGCGATGCTCCTCGAAGGTGCGACCCATTAGGGGTTTCGCATCGAAATCCCGATGCGAATCGTATACTTTCCTTATTTGCGTTTCCTTGTTGTTCTGGCTGTCGGCCGTTTTAGCCAGATAATCCCATAAGGCACGTTCCAGGGCAATATACTCCGTACGCATGGCGTCCACTTCCAGTTGAGGGATGCGTGGGTGCATCCACCCCTCGCCCGTCGCCGATTTCGTTCCACAAATCACAATTGTAACAAAAACAATAGCAGCTAACGTTGCGATAGGCGGCGCCATATTGACTCGCCCGATAAGTTATATCCGCCCAGCGAATATAAAAAGGGGTTTCCTGGGATATATTTCCAAATCTTTTAGCCTTGAGCTTTTCTGATTTCCCTTCTTTTTAGTTTCTAGTTGGAAGGGCAACAACAGCATGTACTCTTGCTGTTACACTACTTCCTTCAACTGCTTTGCAATACTGGAACAAAGAATCCCGTTTTAGGATTGTCGATTAACTGATTTCACGATGTTTTATTATTTGCGATTTACTTTAATTCGCGCTTGCCCCTTGCCATATAATTTTAGCTGGGTGTTATTGTTCTGAGTGCTGTTCGGCTACTGTCATTTTTTCGTTTCTGTTTTAAAGCGCTCCTCGCTCAGCGGCTGTTTCTGTATTAGTGTGTGCTCGTTGGAAGTAAAAAAATCGCTGACTGAAGCTCTTTTTCCGTGCATTGTTGTTGTTCTTTCAACGAATGCGAGAAGCGTAAATACACACGCACACAGGCAACTTTTTAGGTATATGTGAAGCAGCACAATCACGAATTGAGCAAATTTTGTTTGATTCTTTGGTTGCATAGACTGAAATAATACACTGCACTTAACACAAAGGGTGCAAGCTTAATTATACAATCGATGGCGATCATTTTGGCTCATGCAAAGCAATCGATAAATAGAAAGTTGTAATAGCAATGTTTTTGTTGTCTAATTGGTATGGCAAACAGCTGAGTGAGTGCGTAGCTCTTTCCTGCTCCCCCATTCTCTCTCTTTGACGCAATGCACTAACAAAACAAAGATATGCGCTCTCAGCTCTCCTTACTCACTGTCCACAGCATGGGGGCATGCTGCATTGCCCCCAGACGTTTGTTTGTGGATTTTTATTTTTGTTTAACTTGTTTCGCAGTCTTTTGTTGACACAAGACCTTTGACCTCACGCAAACACAACACACCCGCGCTAAAAAAAAAGGGGAGCATTTTGAGAGAGCGCGTGTGAAGGCTTAACCGTTATTTGGCGACAAAAGAAACGGTGACTAATACACTACAAGACTTTCTTTTGCCGAAAACCAAAAAGATTTTAGTGACGCGTCAACCGGAAAGTCGAGTTTACAATGCTTAAAATCATGTGTCTAGACCTACGTATATCAAATCCACCGGAGAACATCATTCGTGAATCATCCGGATAGCAGGCATTCAGGAAGCAATTCGCAAATTGACACCCCATTCACGATCCAAATTATTACAAAGAAACGTGTTTGTACTTAAACCACCCTAGAAAAGAATATCAAAAAATTGTTTTTTCAAAGTTTTTGTTGACATTCTACTAGGTTTTTAAGTTTCTTGTCTCAAAAAATACCGGTTTTGGTTTTAAAACTAAGTGCAGAAAATATAGCTTTAAAAATATCACCTTAAAAAAATGCGAATTTGTTAAGTTCGAAGCCCCCAAAAATTCAAGCCACATACAAGTTAGTCTATATTACCTCATAGGCGGTGGTCAGTTGTTGAAGCAGGTTGCTGGACGTTGCGTTGGAAGACCTATCCTCGCTGCCGAGAAGTGTGAGATGCAGTCGATCCATCAGATGGTGCACCGAATGGGCATTCGGTGAAACTGTCCATTCGGCAAATGTTATAAGCGTAGACATTTCCAACTTATCCTTATACGCCTCGTACTTTTGCATCTGCTGATAACGGGATGAGATCCTATAGATCGTATCCGAGATATCGTTCATCTTGGCCATTATTGGAGCATTGTTGTGCATGAAACTTGTCACCGATTCGATGGCCAAGGCAACATATTGAGCGTGCTGAAAGGGGTTTTTTTTTTGGAAATTAATCATGAAATTAGAAACGAAGAAGTTGTTATACCCTTGAAGTTACAAAAATGATCAAATTTGTATATTGAACTTAATAGCAAGATTTGTGTTGTTATCGTCCAATATCACCAATAACACTTTTACTATGTTCCAAAAACCTGACCAACATTGTAATACCCACTGCAAGGGTATAAAGAGAGTTAAAGAGCTGGTTTTAACCGACTTACTCACCTGATCTTCGGTTTGATCTATTTGCTTGCTAACTTCTTTCAGACGCTGTAAGACCTTCTTCTGTTTTTCCCGCATGAGGGGGAAATCAATGTTGGCCGCCAGTGGTGAGGATTGGATAATGTCCCAGGCTTTGAGAACCCCTGAGGTGACTTCCTTCACCACATGAATGATATCCAGGACATCCTCGATCAGTCCCTCCGTTTGTGTGGGTTGCTGAAAGGCCACCAAAGTGGCCAGCAGCAGGGGAAGTCCCCATTTCATAAATTCCATTCTGCAGATGCGGCAGTGCGTGTGTGTTAAGTGTTTGTATATTTGTTTTGGAATTTGTTTGTTGAATTTGATCGGTGGGGCTGATATGATGATTGGGGTGCCTTCTATTTATTATGGCTGAATTTCGCTTATACAAAAATTGTTTATACACACACACACACGCCGAATGACACGCAACTGCGCCAGCTGAAAATCAAAACGCGAATGCGACCGCCATAAAAACAGAGAGTTAAGTTTTGTCTCGAGCGTCGAGTTTCTGGGATTGGATTTAATCGGCTTCGTTGCTCTCGCTGCCGCCGAGATTGATTAACAAACGTACAGATGTGGGTTCTACTTGTCTTTTTCTCTTTTCACCGCGTGCAGACACCCTGCCTCGCACACACACACACACACACGGAGAGAGGCTCTTTTTCTTTGTTTTTTACGGTTCATTTTTGGATGATGGGAGAGTAGGAGGAAGGAAGAGAGCGGCAGCTTACATAGGTCAAAGCATAAGTGGGAGCGAGCTGGCAGGCTCAGAGTTGACTTTTCGAAACGAGTTTCGATAACTCCGATTATGTGTCATCGATGTGCCATTGTTATCTGGTTATCTCACTTTATTTAATTCATTATTGTAATATTAACTACTAATTTAAAAAATGTTTGATTTCTATTTTTAATTAGATTTAGATTTTAGCACCGATAAAACAAGTTTTTAAATAATTTGAATCAGAAGATCTTAGGTTGTCTTAGATTAATTTAATTTAAAAATAAAATAAATATTTTTTTTAGATTAAAAGGTTGTAGCCTTAAGCCAGGCTGGTAAAAGCTAAAATAGTTTAAAGTTTAAACTAACAAATCGTTTACTAAGTTTTGCGTTTAATTTTTTAAGTTGGTTAAATTATAATGTTATTAAGCAGCTTTTTTATATACTGCTTTGTACAAAATTTTAGCAAGGAACACCTTGATTAAGGATTTAAAAACTGTCTTTATGTTTAAAACTTAGCTCGCTTTACTAACATACTTTGATTAAGTATTCTTAAATAAACCCGACTAAAACAATTGTATTCCTTTTTGCAGAGTTTCTTCTACGAGATCCTCGCCGGAAAATGGGTGCGCAACGGGCTGCAGATCAAGGGCCAGGCGATGACCTACATCCAGGCGAACTTCTGCAACTCGATGGCAGACATGGACCTGTTCTTCCTGCAGATCTGTGCCACCAACCTGCCGCAGTACTTCTTCCTGCAGAACACCATCGAGCTGTTCGACGTGGGCCTGTGGCTGGAGACGGCTCCGCTGAAGCAGCCGCAAAAGGCGGAGCAATCCTCGATGTTGGAGGGATTCCTCACCTTCCTGGCCACTCTAGTGACGAGTCGCACGAATCTGGGCAACGACGAGGCCACTCAGTGCATCATCGAGATCAGTGCCCTGTTGGCTACCGAAAACAAGACGCATTCGCAGCTCCTCGAACTGATGCCGGAGAGATCGGGGAATGTGCACACCAAGAACTTTGAGACCTTCCTGAAGAAGCTCTCCGTTTACAAGGCTCCGTCCAGTGGGAGCGAGAATCTGGAGCAGGGTCTCTTCACGCCCATCGACGAGGTGTGGGAGAAGCACTACGATCCGCTGCACGTCCTTTTGCGAGCAGTTCATCGCCGGGACTTCCAGTCCTCGCTCGACCGTTTTACGAACTATGTGAAGAGTAAGGAGAAGATGCCGGCGAGCGGGAATCTGTGGCCACCGTTCCGACTGCCGCAGGCTCTGCCCGCAACTAGCTCCTTTAGCGATCCGTGCAAGATTCTCAACTCTCGCGTCTTTCACTCCACCATCCTATCGATATTTTTCCGGGCAGTGCACACCCGTGATGTTTCCGAGCACCTGCTGGCCCTGGCCGTGTTTCTCTTGGAGATTGCGGTGGAAACGAGTGATGATGTTGGCAATTGTCCCGGAGATCGTGCTCCTCCTGCGCTGGCTGCCATGGTGGAGTCCTCGGGCGGTCCGGGTTATCATGGCTACGGTTCGGGCCGGCAGGAACCGCCCAAGCTGTTTCAGTGCTACCCCACGGACAATCTAAGCTGCAATCTGCGCCATGTGGTTAAGAAGGTGTCTCTGAAGTCGCGCGATCCGCAAGTGATAACCTCCAGCTATCGCTCGAATCCGTTTTACTCGGATCTGGACTTTGACGTTGAGGCGGATCCGGAGCAATCGTTGCGAATGATTGGTCATGTGGATTCCGAAGGCGATGAGGCAACAGGAGGCGCTGGCCTGGGATCGGTTGGTCTGGGCCCAGGAGCCCTCAGCAGGAGGAATATCTCGCAGGCGCTGGTCCCGATGCGAGTGCCCGGCATGGAGGTTGCCCTGCCCCCGGATCTCTCGGTGGTCGCCGAAACGGGTGTGGTCATCCGGCAGGACAGCAACGACGATGAGCTACTGAGGGAGGGCGATCACGTCATGGATATGAGTCCAGCGGCCGCCCTGGATTTCCATTTCCCGCTGCAGCAGATCACGTTGCCGGAGAGTGGGATGGAGGTGGCCATCCGGCGGGATCTCCTGCTGGCCGAGACAATTAACATGGGGGCAATGGGCGGAGGAGGAGGAGAAGGAGGACCTGGTGGAGGCGCCAATCCATCGGCCACACCCCCGCGGTGGCCTCCAACGAGATGTTCTCGCCCACCACGCCCACGAGCAGTGGCATGCTGCTGCCTTTCCAAAGGGTCCAGCCCGTGGCCGTTCCCAGCAGCGTCAACATGGACATTGTCCCATCCAATGCTCTGGGTGCCGGCGGAAGCTTCACCTCCGGCGTGGGTGGTGGCGGCACTGGACGTAGGATGAACTACGAGACCGGTGGAGCACGAAAACGATCAGTGGACATTGCCATCGGTGGCAGCAACAAGGACGAGCTGCACTTGGAAGAGAGTATATTGTCGCTGCTGCTCAAGCTCCATTCCCAGCTCTCGGGCACGCTGGATAGCTTCTCGTTGAGCGACGGCGAAGAGCACTCATTTGGCGAGGATTCATCCATGGATGTGGACTGCAACGAAGCCAGCACCTCGATGGCAGCAGCCGAAAGCACCGCTCTGGCCGAAAGAGGACGCAGCAGGCGCAACTACAAGAACATTCATGTATCCTCCTCCCGCATCGGCGATGGACCATTCTTTATTGGCAATCTGCTGCGCAAGATCGCCAAGCAGGATGAGCAGTGCGCCCTATGCATCGACGACATCCGGGCCAAACTCTGGCCCAACCAGCGCGAGAAGCAGGCGGAAGCGAAAGCCCGCGAGACCAAGGAGAAGGAGGAGCGCCGCAAGAAGGCACGCGAGCGCCAGCAGAAGCTGATGCAACACTTTGCCAACAAGCAGAAGCAGTTCATGCAATCCGCTGCGGCAGCTGCCAGCAACATGGACTACGGACCAGAGGACGAGGACGACGAGGAGCTGTACGAGGAGCAGCCGCGCGAGAAGGAGTACGACTGCATAATCTGCAATTGTACCACGCCCAGCACGGAATCGAATCCTATAGGACTGGTGGTTCTGGTCGAATCCAGTGGCATTGTTGGCCATCGACGGCGCATCGCGGAGCGACTGCCGCTGCCCCTTAACGCGGAGGATGAGTCCCGACTGGAGCACACCACTAGACTGGCCGCCGAATTCAGCAGGCGTACAGAACTGCTAAGTCTCAAGTTTGGCGACGAGTCCTGGTATCTGTCCAACAACATGGCCTACGACAATGGTGTGCATGTCCAGTCGTGTGGCCACCACGTTCATCTCAGTTGCCTGGAGGCATACCTCAAGACACTGTACACCACCCAACGCCAGCCGGTTCAGGATCGCGGCGAGTTCTACTGTCCCGTGTGCCGGCAGCTCTCCAACTCGGTGTTGCCGCTAAGTCCACAGCTGGACAGGCCCTCGCACCTCGTCCGCTCAGGTAATCAACCGTTCGAGCGCCTCGTTGCCGACCTCACCGATCTGATCAAGGAGAACGAGACGATACCGGTAAGCATATTGACCTTTGAATAGGACAGCTTTGAGTGATTTGTCTAAAACGACCTTCTTCACTTTCAGCAGCCATCAAAACTAACAGAGGCCATGGGTCACGCTATGGAGGTAATGACAAACATTGCGCAACGCAAGGTCAAGTGCGCCTCGATCACGTTCCGCAAGCTGTTCATCTTCGTAACGTCAATAGCACGAACAAATCTGGAGGCGGAGATCATTCAGCGTGGCGGATCGCTCTGCTCGGCGAATTCCACGCGGTATAAGCCGAAGAGGGACTGCATCGTACCGCTGTTGCACGTCCTATCGGTTCATGTGCGTGTCCTGGTGAAGTGGCCGCTGTGGACCAGCTGGGCCTCGCTGGCCGGCCTGCCTGTGGGCGATACGGAACCGCTGCCGGCGCACTGCGTCGAGATGATACCCAGCCTGCTGGCGGATCCCATTGCGCTGTTGCTCAAGTTCATTCTGCTGGCGCCACTGCATCTGGACCAGGGTGAGTACTTTAGCTTGATAAATGCTACCCTTGCTTGCCCTACTTGATGCTAATGGCCTTTCCTGCTCTGCAGATTACTTCACCTGCATGGTGAAGGTGATGTACAACCTGCTGTACTACCAGATTGTGGTCCAGCTGTGCGTCACCCTCACGGATTTCGAGTGCAATCACATTCTCAAAGTTTACGGCAGCGGCTGCGCTGACAGTGGCACTTCCGCCGCGGGAACTCAGTCGGAGTCGTCGACCGCCGGATCCACGACCAGCTCGTATAATCGTCGCCGTGGTGGCCACCAGCAACAGAGCTCTTCGGAGCTGGGCAAGGCCATGGCCCTGGTGCTGAGTCAGACAAATGAGCTGGCTCACTTGCGGCGGGATTGCATACCCAGCACCAGCAGCTCGGCGGCAGCGGCTGCGGCGGCGGCTGGCTCCTCCTCCACAACCGCATCAGGTTCCGCCACAGCAACGGCATCAGCCTCCGCCTCAACCTCCTCGACCCCGCCGCATGAGGTCAATCTCAAATCCATGGAGCTCCAACTGCAGTCACTGTGTTTGCCCTTCCTGCGAGTGGCTGCCCTGCTCCGCCAGCATCTCTATCGCCACGAGATGCCCGAGATCTCGGCCCCGGGTCTGGAGTTTGTGCGTCTGGTCTACTACTTGGAACTGGTCACCGATTCGATGGACTGGGATTGTTTTAATGCCAGCAAGGGCCTGTGCTTTATTCCCGGCACTGAGCAAACGCTGCCACAGTTCTGGTGCCAGCAGCTAATGGAAGTGCGTCCGCCGGCGGATACGATCAGGGAATTGGTACTCATCAATCAGCACTCGTTGTGGCAGCAGCCGCGACTTCTCGAACTGCCGCGCGAGTACGAACGCTTGTTCACGGTGAGCTTTGCAAACCCTAATTGGATTTATGTATATAATCTAATATCTCTATCCCCTGGCAGTACTACCACGAGCGCCCGTGCCTCAACTGCTACAAAGTGCCCAAGGAGAGCTCCATTTGCCTGCTGTGCGGGAAGATCGTTTGCCTCAAGCAGAACTGCTGTGCGGAGAACGACTGCTGCGAGGCTGTTCGGGTGAGTAAGCTGTATAGTTTAAGGGTTCATTTAAGGAAATCCCTCATCACCACAATTCAATCTAATTCCTGCTATTATCTGTCCTTAAATAGCACACGCTATCCTGTGGTGGAGGCATTGGCATCTTTTTGGTGGTCACCTCCACGTACATCATCGTTATCCGCGGACGACGCGCCTGCCTTTGGGGCTCTCTGTATCTGGACGACTTCGACGAGGAGGATCGCGATCTCAAGTGAGTGCTTGCCGGCTGTATAAAGATTATAGAGATAATCAAAAATTTTCTTAAACCTTTTGCAGGCGCGGCAAACCTTTGTATTTGAGCCAAGATCGCTTCAACCTGCTGGAGTCGCAGTGGCTATCCCATAAGTTTGCTCACACAAAACACACCTGGGTGTTCCATCGGGATCTCTTGTGAAATATGGAAGATCTACTGCGCAGCATCCAGGAGCTGGTTGGCCAGATCTGAGATGGGATTGGAAGCGTCAGTCAGCTGCCCGGCCGCTCCTCGCCTAGTCGAACCAGTCAACCACCCGCCCCCAAAATCCCTTTCAATCACCAGCCCACACTAATCCAACCAAGCAACAAACCAACAACCCCACTTGTCCCCTAAGTTTAAGCGAGTTTCGTTGTTGTTTCGGCGCTTCATTCGCGGAGGAGGAGTAGGAGTAGGACACCAGGCCGCGTTCTGTCCGCTATCTGCATCCGTATTCGCTTACGGTCACCCCCAACCACTACGCCCCACGCACCTAGAAGCAACGTCGGCAATTTGCAATTAATTGATATTACACATTTTTATATATAACAATACTTATAAATATGGATGCAAAACAAAACGAAAAACTACAGCTATATGATTGTTTGTTGTCAACTGTTCAACTGAGAAACGCATAATACACTTAATATAAAAATCCGCCTAATCTCGCGAGCAAAAAAAATATTTATCAACAAATTTAGTGCGACCTAAAAATACATAAATACGCTAACCACCCAATTGCTGGGCGAAGACGAAGAAAATAAAACCCTGAAAGAAACCGAAATTTAAGCTCCGCGCGGGTCTCTCTAGTTGCGTTCTACCTAAACTAAGTCTTAAGTCCTTAACTCTATAGGTTTTTTTTTTTAGGGAAAACAAAGGCAAGAAAGCAAGTAACAAAAAATAACACGATACACAATATAACAATTGTCTACTTTGGCCTCATGAGTTTGTGCATGTAAAAAATGAAAAAAGATTATATAGTTAATATATATAAATACCATATTTACTAAAGTTAATGCAACAAAAGCAAAAAAAAAATACAAAACAAAAAAACAATAAACGAAAAGCGAATTGTGAATTGCGTAGAAATTAGTTTGCATATATCCCATTATACATAAATATTATGTAATTAAGAGTGGAAGCATAAAGAAAAAATGATTGACGAAGAGGGTAATCTGAATATGAAACACTAGGATCGGAAGTGAATTTGTTATTAGTTTTAACAAATTGTGTGTATTTATTTCTAGTTCTGCAATTCGATTTATTGAAATATTAGCTAGTCTTTGCAGTAGATCAATTTGATCGTTCAATTTGATATTGAATTCCCATTGCAGCTATGAACGGAAGTGAATTTGTTTTTAGTTTTTAAAAATTGTGTGTCATGTAGGAGCACACATTTTGTAAAAACGTGTAAATGACTCGAGTTGCAGAACTAGAATTGAGTATTTAAGGTTTTTCAAGAAATTCAAAAAAAAAAAATTGAAGGTATCTCCTTCATTAAACCTGGTTGTCTAGTAATTGGTATAAGATTCCATCGAGTTATAGAACAATTGCATGTGAGTTAAAAAGACATGGGAAAAATTGCTGCGCATTGTAAATACACTAAAAACGAAGCTGCATCTTGTATAATTATATATTAAAATATCACATTTTTCCCTTATATTTTTTTTTGCTAGTTATACAAATCTAGATGTTTCGGTTGGCCTCCTAGACTAACTAAATACTACTCTGCAAAAACAAAAAAACACACGATTTAAGAGATTAAATAGCACAGCACAGCAAGACACTCCGAATACACCGACACAGATACACACACACCCTAGTACTCTAGTACACCCAAAAAAGATAATGTAAACATGCATTCTGAGTGACAAACCGAAATCCCTGAATAAAATTTAAAAATCATTACAAAAGAACGTATGAACATATATAATTGCAAATGGACGAATGACATGACCACAGCTTTTAGTGCATCTTGCTGCACTCGGAGCAGGCGGAACAGGCGGGGCAGGAGGAGCAGTCGGGACGCTTCTTCTTGCGCAAAGCCTGCCGGCGGCTCCTTTCCATTCCCTCGACATGATCCTGCATCCGCTGGGCGGTCTCCTGGCGGATCTTGTCCCGGTCCTCGAGGATAATGCGCAGCTGCCCCAAGGCGCGATCGACGTCAACTTCGGGCAACGACATATTCCCGATTAGCAGCTCGATTTCCGCTTTTCCTATATCGCCCACAGCCTCGGCTATCAGATCGATGTCACTGTCCATTTTGAAATACTTGAGGTACTTCTCCTTGGATCCTTGGGGACCCTCCTCGGATGTTGACGTTTCCATATCCCCTTCCATATCCACATCCATACCCACTTCCAAATCCACTTCCATATCCACTTCCATTGCCGTTTCTGTGTCCGTTTCCGTTTCTATTTCGGCTTGCCATTCAGTTTGGCACACATCGCTACCGATATTTTCGAAAGCCACCGGGGGTTCTGGTTCTGGTTCTGTCAACATCAGGGTTTCAGAGGCTTCCTCTCGGGTTATTTTGATGCAGCATCCGAAATCATAGGCATCAATGTAGTCGTCCAACCTGAAAGCACCCCTTGGCGTCTTCCTGATCTCCGTCTCCAGCAAGATAAAGCCATTGGGTCTGTTGCAGTTCGTCGATGGCTTAAACTCCATAGCTGGGAGAGATCCCTCGTCCATGCTATCGCCAAAACACTCCAAGTTCATGGCCTCTATCTTCAGCTCCTCAAGCAAACAACTCGCCTCCTCCTCCCTCGAGAACTTGCCCACAAGCAGCGGTGGTGTGATGACGGAGCTATGTTGTGGTTGTGGCGTTCCGTGGCACAGACTCCCCTGGAACCAGGCATCCGGAAGGACTCCCGGCCTGAAGACGCAGCAAGCCTCGAATCCTTTGGGCAGGAAACGCATGGGTAGAAAGATGGGACGCTTCCGTGCCTCCATCTGGGGAAAGAGGTCCTCGGGAAGCTCAAATTCTGGACAGGGCTCGTCGCCCATGGTGGCGAAGGCGACCGCGGGAATATGCGGATGAATCACCGTGGAGAGAATGGCCACCGTTAGGCTGCACATGCGCGGCATGACCACCAGTACATTGGTCAGATTCGGGGTATATATGTTGTACTGCAGTGGCACAGGGCGAATCGGGTAGGGTGACCGTATCATCGGTGAAACCGGCGGGGTGATCACCAGGGCCACGGTCAAGTCATTCCGAGTCAGCCTTTTCTCCAGATTGATCACTTCCTTGCTGACCGGTGCCATCATTACCGGGGGAGGCATCTTCGGTACGCGGATGGGAGTGAGCGCTGAAGCTAGCGGAGAGGATGGAGCGGGTGGAGGGGGCAGAGCGGGTGGAGGGGGCAGAGCGGGGAGGGCGCTCCACACGGGCGGTGACGGCCAAGCGGGCGGCGGTGAGGGGAGAAGGGCAGAGCCTGCTTCGATGATTTTCTTCACCTCCGGCGAAAACTGGGGATTCAGACAGCGACGACCCACGAACAGAGGCGGCGTTTGACCCTTGTGATCCGCGGGCATCAGGCCAATGGGATAGAACCGCCGGGGGATGACACCTGGACCGAACACCCCGCCGGCTTCGAAGCCGGGCGGCAGCAACAGCGTGGGCATATAGACGATCTTGTCCAGGGGAGCGCGCAATGGAAACAGGGAGCGCGGCACTTGGAAGCAGGGCGCCTTGCAGCCGTCAAAGAAATCTGCAGCCTTTTGGTCGTGCTTCTGGATCTCTATGAACAGCCGGGCCACCACGATCCGGTCCTTGTGCTCGTAGACCATTTTCGGCATGATCAGGTTGCAGAGGTAGGGCAAGTACTTGGGTCGCTTGATGATCACAGCATCCGGAAGTTCCTTGCGCTTTACCTGGGTCACGGTCAGCATACCTATTACTGGGGGAACCGAGGGATAGGAATAAGTGTCGGTTGGGTTGGTGGCGAAGAAGGTCTTCGAATCATTTAAAAAAACATTTTGTTGGTTTGAGAAAATTAAAAATAAAAAAAAAAAAGTCGGACGCGATTTTATTATTTTTGTTTGATTAATACGGTCTAAACTCAGAAGCGAAAATGGATGTCAGTTTTATGATTCTTAAATTAAAACCAAACAAGCCAACATTTTTAGGCTTCAAACAAAAAAGTAGTTAACATTTTCGTTTTTTATACCCTTGCAGAGGGTATTAAAATTTCAGTCAAAAGTTTGCAACGCAGTAAAAGACATTTCGGCCCCAATAAAGTATATATATTCCTGATCAGCATCACTAGGAAAAATGGGTCAAAAATTGGACCAACGCTAAAATGAAAAATTTTGATGCAGATTTTTTGAGAATCGAATTAAGAGTCTTTAGAGGTATGCCACTTTAAAATCGGATCAAATTTGGTAAAGTTATGGGCTTTGGAAGTTATGGGCCACCTTTTAACAACACATCGGAAACTTGGAAATAAATTACATGAAAATGGGTCAAAAATTGGACCAACTCTAAAATGAAAAATTTTGGTGCAGATTTTTTGAGAATCAAATTAAGAGTCTTTAGAGGCATGCCACTTTAAAATCGGATAAAATTTGGTAAAGTTATGGGCTTTGGAAGTTTAGTTATGGGCCACCTTTTAACAACACATCGGAAACTTGAAAATAAATGACATGAAAATGGGTCAAAAATTGGACCAACTCTAAAATGAAAAATTTTGATGCAGATTTTTTGAGAATCGAAATAAGAGTCTTTAGAGGTATGCCACTTTAAAATCGGATACAATTTGGTAAAGTTATGGACTTCGGAAGTCCAGTTATGGGCCACCTTTTAATAACACATCGGAAACTTGGAAATAAATGACATGAAAATGGGTCAAAAATTGGACCAACTCTAAAATGAAAAACTTTGATGCAGATTTTTTGAGAATCGAATTAAGAGTCTTTAGAGGTATGCCACTTTAAAATCGGATACAATTTGGTAAAGTTATGGACTTCGGGAGTGCAGTTATGGGCCACCTTTTAACAACACATCGGAAACTTGGAAATAATATCAGAAAAAAAAATTCAAAACAATTATAACTCTGTTTTTAATTTTTTTTTCAGACAACAATAGCATATAGCTGATATAGAAACAATGGCAAAATGCACCGAAAATATGTCGATAGCTTTATTGTTTTTAGTAATATAGGATTAGAAATCGAAATGTAGTTGATTTGTAATAACTGCAAGGGTATATAAACTTCGAATTATATACTACCTGCAACAGAAAGAAAACTTTTTGCAATGTTACATCCAAATAGCTTTACAACTGAGCGATTAGTTTGCATAAAATTCGAAGGACGGGCGGAATCGAATCGCCTGGTGATACTGATCAAGAATATATATATACGTTATGGGGTCGAGAAAATTTGCCCTTAACTGCGTTGCAAACTTGTGGATTTCTTGGTCTTGAGTATTCTGTTTTCGTACCTTTGTTATTTCCACGCTTTTTCATTTCGATGAGGAACAGGAACAAGAGTGGCAATGCAAAATAAAATTGATTGTTGTAACGAAATATATAAGACCGATTTCTCGGTATTAACTTCAGTTGAAACAATTTTGAAGCCGATTGGGCAGGAGTAAACGGGTTTTGTAAATATAAGGTTTATAAATGTGAAAATCTGCCTGATTACTGAAATTCTGGCTCCGGGCTCAATCCAAATTAATTTCTGACAGTTGGCAGTAATAGGAAGGCCTACCAGCACACCAGTTTTTAAAGGCCAGCTAATGCTCCGTTTAGGCCTCATTTTTGTTACTTAAGGGCCTAGAGATGGGAAAAAAGTAAAGGTACTAATTTTGTAAGCCTAACCCATTTCTTTACTTTTTTTGCAATTATCTAAACTTAGACAACTAACTATCGTGTGCAGTGGATTTCAAAAAATCTATTTTCTAACGATTTTTGATTTTTTGCGAAAAGTTGTCTGAAATGAAATGTTTCAGCTGTAAATGCAAATCGATTGTAAGCTATAACAAATTCAGAGAGGTATGGCATTCCAAGATTTTATTATTATTTCCCAGAGTTTCAAAAACCGAAACTGGAGTGGATATTTTCCCGATTTTGGTCATCGACTTTTAAATTGCAAAATTGTATTTTCTTATCTGGCACAGGGCTTCGGATTTTTTTTTTTCCGGTCAACAACTATATTATTTAGCATTGGAAAAGAGTTTCCTATAGGCAGGTGAGGTTTTAAATATTAGGAAAACTATTTGTTTTCTATTTCTATTTTATGGCCCTAGTCATATATCTTTAAAGACTATGTTCAAAATCTGCCAAATCCATGTAACACATGCCTTAAGAATCAGTATGTATAGTTGCTGTTTATTGAAAATTCCCCAAATCAAAATAACTATCCACATCAGAGAAAACCATTAGTTCGCTCTTGGTAATACAATTTAACCACTTAAAGCTATGTTTGCTTTTGGCCCATGTATTCCCGAAATTAAGCCATTCAGAACCAGTCGAATCAATCAACATTAATACAAATTCTTATTGGTTTTGTACTTTCAATTGTTTAAATTTATTTGCTTGCTTTTACAAAAAAAATCCGACCATCAAACAAACGAATTGCTTACCTAAAATAATAGAGAGACTACACAAGTGTGCGGCAAACAGGGGGCGGGATTTTGTTGGGGGTTCATTGCAAAGGAGTCTCTGTTTCGTGGCTACAATATCGGTTGCTTCAGTAAAAATATATAACTATATGTATATACAAAGTTTGTGGACTTCTTGTGCCTCCATTACAATGTGTGTGGTGAATGAGGGTTGGATGAGGGATTGGTAATCGTTCCATATGCTAAGCTAAGCCTAAGTCTTGGTTGCTATAAAACCTAGAGGTTAACAAATTTCCTTGTCATTGCTATTTAGTTTTGTTTCGTTGGAGATTGGATGATTGAGTAGTTGCGGTTGGTTGGTGAAGTGGCGGGCCAACGATTGGCCATTGGGCATTGGGTGTCTGGCAAGCGGAAGGCACCTCGTCGTCCTCGGCTTGTGGCTGCTTTTTGTTGAGTAGATATCTCCGCCTCGATTGGTTTGTCTATATAGCTAGTTTTTGGTTTAGTTATTCGCGCTGCTCCTGTTCTCCTTGTCCTCATCCTTGTCTACCAGCTGCTCTGTCCTCGGCACGCGACCCTGCTGGTTCTGCTCGGTCAGAGTGTGTGTGGCTGCAGTGGCTCTGCCAGCAATCTCCTCCTTCGGCCTTGCACCCCAATGCCAATCGCGATCCTCCATCTGTCTAGCCTCTTCTCTGGTCGACCTGCTCGTCGTCGGCGGCGTCGACTGTGTGGCCTTATCCGTCTTGCGCTCCAGCTTCAGGTCAATCTCCACGTCCGAGTCCAATTCGGTCTCGGAGAAGGACAGCGAGTTGCCAGCACGCGGTACTTGGATGCGCCGACGATCCTGTGCGAAAATAGATTGATAGAAAATTATTATAATAAACTAATAATTAAAAAGCTTTATCAACTTCCTTTTTGGTTTTGATTGAATACCAATTTTGAAATTTTTTGTGTATTGTTTAAATATAATACTTATAGAACTTGTAGGTTATTTTGCAATGGGATCTTGAATGTCCCCAAGTGTTTTTAGATATCATGGTTAACAAAAAAATTAATTTATTCTGGCAATTTTTCTTCTTCGTACATAAGCTATAATATATACTTAATCGAACTGAGCCCGTTGCCGTTGAGATCCGGAATCGTGGGGCACCTACCGTGTTAAGCGTCGTTGGCTCCGAGATGTAGCCATCACAGTCTTCGTCCTCGCTAAAGAGTTCCGCCGTGTTCACCGCGTACGTCTCCGGCAGCCTGCACACGATCTGCGCCAGATCGATGAACGTGTACTCGCTGAGGGAGGCGTGGTTGCCCCGCTTGGGTGGCTCCTTGTTGAACCACTGGTTGAACCTGCCCAGCCGACCCGCCTTGGCCATGTTCTCGAAGTAGTTCTTCCCGAACACGTAGCCCACGTCACGGATCTCGTCGAAGCTGCCAAAGGCCAGGGTCTTATACTTGTCGATCGGCGGTCGGATGTACTCGCAGTAGTCGGAGTTCTTAACCTCCTGCGAAGGGAAGTGGATAACGAATTAGTCCTGATAAATATGGATGTTTAAATATTGAAATAATAATAATAACAAAGTTTGTATTAAACCAAGATCATGACGAAATATTTTCTTTATTTTGATTTATTTAAAACTTTTAAGAGCTTCGCATGACAAATAAAAAGAGGTCAGGGGATGGCCAAAAGGACTCTATAAAAAAGGGTATAGCGAAAACTTACCTCCAACTGGCGAACGCAGGACACGTAGGCGAGACGGGATTGGATGTCCGGCAGGTCGGGCACCTTCACGGGCGATGTGAAGGGATTCCACTTCTTGTAGAGCAGCCACCACCCGCTGAGGTCGTCGCCGTAGTTGGTTAGGTCGGTGTCATCCTGGGATCCGACATCGATGGCGATTATGTGAGCAGCTCCCAGATTGTGCATCACATCGGCTAAATGGTGACCAAGGAAATGGAGTGGCGAGCATGCGTGTGGTGTTTTTTGGGTGGTCAATGTGGATGCAATGCAAATGTTTGGTTAGCTGTTGTTATTGGTATTACTCCTTTGAAACACCATTTCATTATATATCGTTTATAGCTGCGAGTCTATTAATATATATTTTCCAAAATCAAACTTGGTACTATAACTTTTGAAAAAAATTGAGTTCAAAAAATTTCTGATTAGATAAAAAATATCTAATTTATATATCAAAAAGAGTCGCATTTATAAATGAGTTTCCTTTTTCCCGCAGTATCTCAGTCCGATTTTCAAATCAGCTTTTAGCTTTAAGGATAAAGGTATAAATTGTACCCGAAAATTATGTTCGCGAGTTCTTTAGCTCTCGAGTCCAAGAGAATTTAGTTCGAGAATTAAATAAACTTCTAGATAATCTGGAATTTGAGATAAATGAATTTGACAGATCGGGAAATGAGATTTTTAGATGGTTACTTAAGATACTGGGGGATTTAGGACTCTCGTGGAATTCAATTCCCAAAACTGGAGCGGACGCAGGGGCGGCGGCGCAGAGCGTTGGAACGGGAATTTCAGTTGTGGGTTGTTGAATCGTGGAACGTGGAAAGTCGGGGTGGATGCTGTTTTTACCTGGAACGTTGTTCGTGTAGCAGCCATCGAGCAGCAGGTGGCCGTCGCGATAATCACAAAATGGTGGGAAGACTCCCGCAATCGACATGCTGGCGCGGCAGTAACGCCACAGGTGACCTTTTTTTGTGATTTTTTTTGCACCGTTGGCAAATTGCAATTGGGACAGAACAACAACAGCACAACATTGTGGATTGTATTGTGTATGTGGGTGTAGATGGCACGGACACGGATACAGATACGGACACGTGAGTTTTTGTTGGTGTATTCAATTGTTGTGTGTGTGAGAGAGAGGTCATATGTTTTAAAGATAAAGAGAGAGAGAGAGAAAGAGACACACTTTTATCCACGAAATAACGGTTTACTTCAGTGCTACAACTACAAATTAAATTTGGTTTACTTATACGCATACAAAAAATTTCCAAAAACAACAACAGGGGAAACAACGAAATAAAAAGCAACTCAAAATACGATAAAAACTAAAATAAATAGAGGAAAACCCAAAGAAACTTTGTGCACTCAGTCGTAGGTGTAGTGTAAGTTTTAAAATGTGTGGGTAGTATGTGCGTGGTCATGTGGGTGGTAATGAGACAGATGATATAAACAAATGCGCTTTTTACCGTTAGGAATGCAGGCCACGCAAATTATCGATAGGCGGCAACAGCATTGCCAGCCCGAAAAAACTATCAAACTTTTATACATCTATAAAAGAATATATGAACAAGAACAACAAATATAACAGCATCTCAAGGATTTTTGGTAACGGAGTTAGGGTAAAAAAACGGAGCGGATCAAAATGGAACAGGATACGTGGAACTCGAAACGCAGGCAAGCATGATCGAACAAGAGGAATTTCCAACACTCTGCGCGCTCTGTGTGCCGAAAAAGTCAGCTCTAGATTGGAAATTGAAAGTGAGATTTTGGATTAACGCTCGGGGTTAAGTATTTTATATCTTTTTTTTTTTATTGGTATTCTATTTGCTATTTGCTAAGTGCTAATTGCTAATTACCTGGCAGATTATTCACATAGCCGCCATCCAGCAAGAGGTGCCCATCTTTGGGGTCGCACAACGGCGGCATGTAACCACTGAGCGACATGGAGGAGCGTACGTAACGCCACAGAGATCCTGGTATTATATATCAACGACAGACACATGCCAGCAATGATAAGTTGGTGGGAGTGTGTTATTGGTTGTGTTTTTGTGTGTGTGTTTGGGAAAGGAGAAGAGAAAAATAAGAGAGATTGAGAGAAAATAGCTTTGAGCAATCTTTTCTTTTTTTTTGGCGAGGATTGGGGGAATGGGATGGAGAATATTGGTATGAGGAGCACCAATGGAATGCGTTTTAATGGGAGCAGCAATTTGAAGGATAGCAACAAGTTAGCCTCTAGCAAAAAGCACAACGGCCTTTTTTCAACTTTTGGCACAAGCTATTCAAACAAAACATCAACAACAACAACAGCAACAACAATGAGATTGATTTTATTTCTTAAACTTCAAATTCAAACATAGCGGCGCATTCGATTGGTAGCGCATCGCCGATAACTAGTCAATTGAACGGCAGAGATAACAGTTAGAAATGTAAAAATGCCTCTAATAAATTGCGGGCCATGGAATGAGGCTGTGTGTGGGTGGGTGCGAGCTTGTGTGGGTGTCTCATTGTCTGGGGGTTTTGGGTACACTCAGTTCTAAGGCTACCAAAGAAAGAAAAGGTTCAGGAAGCACAGAACTGTACAAAAGCAAATCGAAAGAAAGAAGGAACTAAAGGAGGATTTATTTTGGATGCCCCAGAAACCGTTTACGATAAGCTTTTATTGACCGAAACCAAAAGTTATCGCAGAAAGCAAACTAAATTTTAAAGCGCAGTAGAGATAGTTATTAAAAAAAAGGGAGTTAAATGATATTGATCAGGCCATCCAAAAAAAGTTTTTTAAAAAAATATTTAGAATCAAGAAATGTTTTATTTTTAATAAAACTTATAGATTGAACTTATCTAATTCTCAAAAAAATTGTCATTTTGCCAATTTCACAAAGTTTCTGTTCAAAAATTATTTAAAAGACTTTCTAGGTACATCCCTTTTGTATTACTATTTAAAAACATAAATTTACTGACCTATTACATTTTAAGAGATTAGAAATTGAATGACAATAAATTAAATAAATGTAATGATCATTTTAGTGATCAACAAAAAGCAAAATAAATTACGTTTAAAATCCAAATTTTTAACAAAGGATACCATTAACCGAAACCCCAATTACCGATACCCACTGCACCAAATACTAAACAGAAAGAGACAGATAATGACAGAGACAGACACATATAAAGCAAGATAGAGGAAGAGAGGGAAAAAGCAAATGCGGGGCGGAATTGACTCACCATTTGTGTGAATGCGATGGCAACTGGCGGTAATATCTGTGGTGAGGGTGAAGTAGGGTATCCACAGATCCTCTATGCTCACGTCCCCGAAAGTATCATGGATCGTCTTGTTGAACTCCCGTCCGGAAAACATCGATGTAATCGGATAGGTGAGGTCCAGCAGTTGTAGGAACCATTTTGTCATTTTCTAACGAAATTAAGTAAATAAATTGTATTAATAATAGAATATAACAATAATGTATTTATTATAAATGTATAGCATTCAATGAATTATGAAAATAATTCCCTATTAATTTTTCATAGCAAGTAGGCTTTGGTGTTGATGTGCAAAAAAGTTTTTTCTCCTAAAATCTTCCAATTTTTCATGAACCAAACACATATGGCGCTTCAAACCCACCTTTGACCACTCGCGCGCCTTTTGCGTAACCGAGGTGATATTACGTTCCGAGCACCAGAGCGCTCCCATCAGGGCGCCGATGCTCACGCCGCCCACCATGTCGATGGGTATACCCGCCTCCTGGATGGCCTTCAGCATACCGATGTGGGCGGCTCCGCGCGCCCCTCCGCCGCCCAGCACAAGGCCAATCGAGTTGCCCGTAAGCCAGCGGGCCAAACGCGAGAAGTCGGAATGCATGTTCGGCTCGGACAGCAAGACGCGACTGTAGAGATCATTCTGCAAGGCAAGAGATCAATTAGAAATAATTTAAATATAACTAGAACTATATTATACATACATACATATGTACAAGCTTTGGGTTCTGCCTCGTAGTACTTATAGATAATCTACAGATAATGCATTAGGCATGATTACTATTTTTCGGCAATTGTGTCAGTCATAATAATTTGAGGATTGACAATAAATGCCTTATCTTCGTGACTATCACACTAACCTCTATGTCACATCCGTTCATTTTTTATGTTGTGAATTAGTTTGTCCAAGTATAGATATGGAATAATAACATTTTAGATGTTTATGAGTTCTGGTAAAACATTTGATAATAAGCTATTTGTCCACGAAATCAGGTTGCTTTATCTTTATTACGTGGTGCTACGGTAGTTTAATTGAACATGGGGCTATCGTTAAACGATAAACTTAGCAATCTTTAGACTTTGTGTTAAATTATCTTAACGAAGGGAGTTTATTAATGCAACACTCTACAAATTGAGTCTTAATGTACATTAGAGCTTAAGTGCTTAATGTACATGAGTGCTAGGAAACTATCTAAAAGTCAAAAAGTCAAAAAAAAAAACTCTCAATGATTCATCATTATATGACTTCTTAAAGTAAATCGTTAAAACTACATAGGTACATCTTTTTCAAATAAATTATATTTTTCCTGCTAATGTATAGTATTTTGCACCATGGGTCAGGGGGATAAACGAAAATACTCAACGCGTACGGACTTAAATGCTACACCATACTCACAATGCGGTATTGACTTTTGCGCGTAAAGATGCGCTTTACGCACAGCACATGGTGGTGCTTGGTCACCCAGGGCCGGGCATTTAGATAGCTGAGCGTGTTGGCCGGCTTGGCATTGGTGGTCTCCGGATAGAGCAGGACCAGCTCCTTCTGCGTTCGCATCGCCAGCCGATCGATCTCGCGCTCGAACTTCCCGACCAGGTGGCAGCGATCGCCGAGGCCCACGATCAGGATGACGTCCGCCTGCCGCATGCAGCGCTGTGTCCAGGCGCTCAGCGAACTGTCGCACTGGTAGAGCGTGATAATGTTGCGGTCCTCCTGCTGCGCCAGCCACGAGGTCAGCCGGTACTCGTTGGCCGCCTCGAAGATGTTCGGACCCAGCTGCTTGCGCACCACATCGGAGGTCAAACGGAGGACGGGTCCTAATCGAGAAACAGAAGAGCAACATTAGAGATTACTCATATTTTTCAGTTACAATGCAGCAATGTGAAACTTTACCGGACTTATCCATCGTGTTCTGAATAAATCTTAGCGGAAAAAATATAAAACGTTCTATAATCTGATATCTGACTGTATGTTGTACTCTCTTTACTTATTACCTTCTCCTATTCCCACCAACACATATAATATTAAATTCAAATCGAAATAATGCCTACGAGTTAATTGAACAGAATATTGAATATAAGACTTAACCGAATAAAATATATTTTTGAATTTTTGAAGAGATTATACAATAAGAAAGATGGAAAATAGATAAAATAAAGAATTAGTATACTAATTTATGAACTCGGGTTTGCAAGGCAGTATTATGTTTTCTTCATAGTTTTCAACCGAAAGATTGTATTGTGGATACCTAGCCCTGAAGTGTAACTAGCTACACACATATATTGTAGAATAAATGGTCATCTATCAAGAATAATTATTCGAAGAGCTCACTGCATTCATACGAACCTATGGCACAGAGCGAGTGGTAGAGCTCGTAGGTGAAGGGCGTCAGCGGCACCTCGTCGGTGATGGGCACCAGGGCCACCGTGGAGTACTTGTGCGTGACGGGATTGGCCTCGACGGGCGCGCCCGGCGCCCCGCTGCCCGAGCGCGTCTGCATCGAGCCGAGGAAGCGGTGGCTGAGGAAGCTGATCAGCTTGGTCACCACGATGGGGTAGCGCAGCTTGATGGCATTGAACAGGCCCTCGGGCAGCTTGGCCAGCTCCGAGTCGCGCACAGCCATCACCGTCGTGGTGCGCGACGTCTCCGTGATCATTTCGACGATGCCCACGAGATCCCCCTTGCCGTACTCGCCGACGATCTCCTTCTTGCCACCAGGATGCGTGATAACCGATCGCATCCGTCCGCTCAGCACGATGTATGTGCTGTCGCTGCTCTCGTCCTGGCGATAAACAGCTCTACCTGACTCCAGAAAGATCCAGTCCAAGGCGTAGTCGCACTGCCTCACCAGCGGAGAAAGGCGGCGCACTACTCCGTTGCCCAGATCCAAAACTATGCGGGGTCGCTGTCTCATGATCCTGCCAAGAAAGGAAGCCAAGGGTATGGTAAGGATATAATAATGGGGTGGCGCAAACTCACTGGTAGATGGCTGCCCGTCGGATAAGGGCTATCCGGCTGTTGTTCCTCGACCGAATGGTGTACGCACTGGCCTCCCCCGTCAGCATGGCCAGACCGCCAACGATCTCCCCGGGATGGACAAAGTGGATGAGCATGTCGCTCTTGTCCGGCTTGGCCCGCGTGGCATCCTGGTTGCTCTGGTAGACAGCCAAAGTGCCGGTCATCACGAACCACACGCAAACATCATCCGCATTGCCCTCGGTAATGAGGGTGACATTCGGCTCCAACTCCCGCACCTCCACAAAGGGTTCAATGATGTGGGCATCCTCCTCGGGCAGACCCAGTTCCTTTCGCAGGCTGTCCACCGCCGAAGATTGCACCAGGCGCATGTCAATCGAGGGAGCTGCGCCCGGAACATGGGGACTGGACTGCGCCCCATCGGTCGTCAGCTGGGTGATTGAACCGCGGCGTGTGGACAGATTGCCCACCGAGTGCTGCTGCTGGTGGAATAGATCCGCATTCGGGGCGTCGCCATGCACCTCGGTGAATAGATTGCTTCCCCCCTGGACACTGCCATCCGGATTGGGATTCGGATCGGAGAGCGTGTGCTCCTCGCGCGAGTGCCGCGATGGTGAAGCTGGCGGTCGGGTCACGGTCACTGCGACACCCGATCCAGATACCGATCCCAATCCCAATCCCGGCATCGAGGCGGCCGACTGCATCAGATTGAGCTGGGTGACTACCGAGGGGGGACCATTGGCCGCCTGGCGGGAGGATTGCGAGGACTGCGAGTTGATCGGCCCACCCATCGTAGAGACGCTCTTGTATCGCATGTGATTCTGCACCAACTCGGCATTCAGACCGAGATAATTGCGAAGTGCGGTGAAAAGGACACGCTGCAGACGGATCATGATCACCTGGATGACGCGAATCATCACGTCGGGATTGTCCTGGAACACCTCTTCGAAGGCCTGCAAACAACGTAATAGATTTTTGAAAAAAGTGGCTTAAATCAGGTCCCCTAAAAAGGTATTTGCAAATTAGTATAAATTTAGAATTATCTTTTTATGTTGCGTTTAAGAACAATTGCTACATATAACATTATTGGTTTTTAAAAACTATTGTGGAATCGACTTATATATGTATATAAAAAACCACATTATCTGTGCCAAAGTAGTAATTTGCAAGAAATTTATTTGGCAAACTTCAGACGCCAACAAAAAGGTAACAAGATATCTTGACAGAACAAACTAAAGAGTAAACTCACCTGCATGGGCAGCCGAATAACCACCGACTTCTCAATGGCCTTGGCGGTGACCGTCTTGTAGTAGCTGGGATTCCCCGACAGGACATCGATGAAGCTGAGCAGCGAGGTCACCGACTCGCCCTTGCGCACCGTCTTCAGGGACAGAGTACTGCCGTCGGCATTGGAGATGTACACATTGATCATGCCCGACTGCACGATATAGACACTGTCATCCGGATCGGTGATCTTGAAGAGATAGTCGCCGGCCATCAGTTCCAGCAATTGGGTGTGCTTGCAGAGACGCAGGAAGACGGGTTTCTCGAAGTGCCCAAAGATGCGGATGCTCTGGAGCATGTAGAGGGCATCGGGCGGCACTCTGTCGCTGCCCTCGCTGGTCTCCTCCAGATACTCCGCCGGCGGTTCCACGGTGCGCATCTCCAGCGGCATATTGTCGCGCCTCAGTTGGAGTATCCGCCTGGCGAATCTCATCACAGCCCGGCGCTTATAGCCCTTCCCACTGCTGTACATTTGGCCACTCACGTTCTTCATCTTGCGCAGCATGCGTCGTCCGTAGAAGAGCATCTTATCCCGCTTCCGGAATCGCAGGCCCCGGAGATCTCCGCCGGACGAGGAGGTTACGGCACTCAGGGAGCGGGCAATCTCGTCACGAAGCCGCAAACGCGCCAGTCGCTTAAAGTACATAAACCAGGCGAGGAACAGAACGGCCAGCACGCCCAAAGCGCAGTACATGTACATCTGCCAGGGAATTGGATAGAATAACACACAATTACTAATATATCACTTCCTAAAAGGTTAGTTTATTATCTTACGTTAAAACATACTTTAAGCTGGCCAAACTATTTAACAAGAGAAAATTATAACCCCTTAAACTAGTACTTTTCCTTTTGATGCCGATTTAAAGATGTAAAGCCCTTAAGATTTGGGTACTTCAGCAAAAACTAAGCTGTCCAACGCGACGTGAAAGAAAATACAAACTAATTCAGATGCAGAAGACATCAATTGCATATGGTTTACTTTGCTGTTTTCACTAAATCAATTATACAGCACAAACACTTGTGATTTCCCAAAAGCTAATTTTCAGCTAGACTTCACACCCCTTTAAATGTCATTACTCAGCGAAATTTAACTTTCCAAGGGAAAAGGAAGCTCTTGATGTAAAAAGGAGAGGTAATATTTTACGAGTTGTTTAGCTCTCTATTAATACTATCGGAAAAATTAGTTTTAAAAATAATTAATAATTTGAATAATTGAAGCCATACATAACGCTTCGATTTTAAATCCATTTTTATTTGCATACGGATTTTCTTTGATTTTTTCCTTGACTCCCGGGACACTTGATGAATTATTCAGCACGAAGACACTTGTAATTTCCCAAAAGTCTATTTCCAGCAAGTGTCACGCCCGCATAATCAAGCGAATCAGCTGTGTTTTTATTTGTTGCTTTTCCTTATTTATATTTGTTGGTCTTTTTGTTGCTTTAAAGCTTTTGTTGTTGTTATCGCAGTTGTTATTGCACTCAGGCACTTTGACATTGAAACGACGTCGCTGCACTTGTTTTTGTTATTATTGTTTGCGGTTCTACGAGTTGTTCTTGTTAAACGTTATTGTTGTTGCTGGGGCAGTAGTTTCTCTATTGGTTTGTTGTTGCTCGCCATTTGTTATTGTCTGCAGTTTCCGCATTGTACTCTCTCATTTGATACTACACGCGGAGAAAAAACCAGCTCGATATTTGCATACATATTTCCACAACATTTTGATAGGTTAATATTCCTTAATCCAAATTTATATATTTAGTTTGATTTGTTTTTTAGTATATATGTATAGTATTTGTATGTGTGTATGTATTTATATTTTAATACCAAATAGAATCGAATTGAAAGTCTTGCTTTTCCACCTCTTATATACAATCTATATTATCATGTTCATAATAATTTCCTTCTGTGTATCTACTGTTACTTTTTAAGCCCCTCGCAATTATTGTTTGTTTACAGTTTATTTTTACAACAGGTTTGCGAAATGTACAAGAAAAATGCAATAAATTCCAATTGACTCAGGCGGTCTAATTGAAATCCGAAGGCACGCACACGTATATGTATCCAATTGGATTTGCTGGGATCTGATCGGACAAATACACACATGGCACCATGATAACGATAAAATTCGCGTAGTCACAAGGCGGCTAAATTGCTTTGGCCCCATAGGGTTAATTGAATTATTGAAAACTGATTTGGGACGCACCCCCCGTCACACAACTGCACGTGCTTCTGATTAGCAATCGGTTATAGTTATCAGCATTTGCGGTTTAGTTCATTTTTTTTCGGGGTCGTCAAGCCTGTCACTATCAATATTATTGGCCGTGTGGCGTTATCATGTGGCTACTGTAGTCTGTGTTTTTGTGTTTGTTCTTGCTTTTCTTTCGTTTTATGTAAGGCAACAAAACAATTCCGATTTGAAGGCGACACATCAAAACAAGGAAGTTCCCCAAAAAACGAAAGAGGTTAAACTTATCGCATTTTCTTTTCCTGGCTCTTATCATTTATTTGGGACCTGAACCCAGTGCAGCTTATTGGATTCCTGCAATCCCCATATACTAATAAACAACTACGAACTCCACAACTGGTTTCATCTTTTTCCTAAAAAATTCAGATATAAATATGTAAATTAGGCCCCTAAATAATTAAGTATACTTGTTTAACAGTTACAAAAATGTTAAATGTCAACAAAAATATGAAATTATCTGTTGTTAAAAGTTTAACATCACCTTACCTACTTATAGTCGACAAAGTAATCCGTGACATAAAATGTTGTACTATATTATTATTTAAAAATTTCCATAAAGATTAGGCTATACACAAACACATAAACAAATTACAGTCCAGATTCAATTGAATATTCCACCTGGTGTGGGTTTTAAGATTGTTTACCTTATTTTAGCCGTTTAGACTTGCTTTATCTTTCGTTCAGTGATTTTAATCAGGGTCCCTAATCTTTATAGATGTTATCACAAAAAAACCTGTTTTCATTATAAAAATGTTAAATAATACATATAAAGAAGTATAAAGATTTAAAGGGATATTCTGGAAAAATGTATATTTGTGTGGTGGTGGTTTCCAGGCGACGACTAAATGTGGAATGGCGAATTTAAATTATATTTAGCTTGGACATGAACCTCTTACAGCTGTTATCCTGCATAAAATCCACTTTCCACTTCACTGTATGATCCACTTTCCAGTTGGCTTTCCTCTTTCCCGCTCTTTCAGACTGAACCCTAGCCACCAACAGCTGTAATTCAGGCCCTTAACAGCTGTAACCCTCCCTCACATTTAGTATTCCAAGCTTTCCAGCTGCCATCCTTTGCACCCTCTCGCTCTGGCACACACTCTCCAAGCCTAACCGACTCACTCGCACCTTCGAACCAAACCGAAAGACAAAGAAAGGGTGAAGTGCACTTACCGTTGCTGTGATCTGCTGGGAAACGTACTGGCACCACGCATCCGAGAAGAGAGTATTGTAGCCGCCGTTGGCGCTGGCGCGCAGCATTTCCAGGACATCCATTACGATTTTTCTTAAGTTGCCAGTTTTCCAACGACTCTTCTTCTCCCTCTTTCACCTTTTCTATTTGTTTTTACAGACTGTTAAATTTGTTGTTCTAGCTTATGCCCCGTTTATTTGGTAAATACGCAAGTGCTGAAGAGGGGGCGGGGCGGGGGGAAAAAAAAATCACAGCCTTTGTTGTTGCCGTGTCGTGTTGCCTCCGTCTCTCTTTCTAAATGTCGCGCTCGCTCGCACTCACGCTTACAAACACCCCCGCCCCACGTTTGTCTTGGTTTTTGTGCAATTATTGTGATGCACGCACCGCACACTCACAAACACACACCTTACACACGCAGAGAGCACAATTTTTATTTGGATTTATTCTATTGTTGTTTTTGCAGTTACTCGTAACCAAAGCAATTTGTTGTTTTTATTGGTGGTTCCTTGCGGAAATCTTTAGTTTTCTTTATGTGTTGTTGTTGCTTTGTATCCCTCTCTCTCTCTCTCTCTCTTAGTTGTGGGCAGAGGCGGGGGAGGTGGCTGTTTTGGGTGGGGGCGTGACAACGTGCAACGGCAGCTTCCTTAATTTAGCGATCCAAAATAGACGAGCATTTTGCTATGTAACTTAACTACAAACTAATAAAATCAAATGCACTCTAGAATTTTTGTTATTGGTTCTAATAACTAAGGATGTGAAAACGTCGATGTTAATATCGATTCTGGTTATAGAAAGATCGGAAAGCATCGATAAGCCGAATATCGATTGTTTTACAGCTGTAGTACAAAGCCCACCAGTGTGACCAGCTGGAGTTGGCGGATAAGTGCGCGGTTCAGTTAATTTCAAAACGTAAGTAAATAAATTGACAATATTTAATGTTTTCCATGCCACCATACCGAGAAAGGCATGTTTTCGATCAAACTTCTGAAAAACTATAAAAAACTATTCCAAAATTTAAGCTTAAAGAACCTTGAGTTAAATATATTCATGCAATTAATTATATAAACGCTACCCTTTCTTTTAATTCAGTAAGGAACAAACATAATGAAAATTGTCTTATAAGGTCGAGAATCTTAGATATTCAGAAACAGAATAACAGAGCTGATCTGCGAAAGAATACACATGTACACGACTTTAAAATTTAGTTAATCTTAAAAGTGATGTATTTTTTATTAAAAATATATGCTGCTGAACGCTAAATGAAATAAACAATTTAAAGTCTTTTAATTCTGGTCTGATGAAAATATAAGATGTATGTAATAAATTTTGTCTAAATTTTGTATCAAAATAACTGTGTTTTCCGTGACAATTCTCTGTTAAATGCGACATTCAGTTGACAGTTGCTAACATATGTAGATGCTGCGGGGGCGACAAACTGTGTACACCGCGCGCGCTGTAAAAGTTTAAATAAAAAAAAGCACAGGTGAATCAAAAATGACTTGGCATGCAGTCGAACATTAATTTGCTGGGCATAATTAACTCCTCTTAAGATAGCTGGTAGCCAGGCAGCCGTGAAGAGCGGAGACGGCCGACGGTAATATTCAGTGATTAACAACTGTAAAATCTAAAATCGGTATAAATATTCATGTGTGTTGATTTAAAGGATTTTGGTGAAATCCGGACCCGAATCGGAGGTCCGAAACTAACGTGCAACATCCAATAAAAGCAAGTGCAGCGCGGGTTATTAGAGCATAAAGCACCTGGGGCTCAGTCTCAGTCTCAATCTCAATCTGAATCCGAATCTCATCTCGAATCTCAAATAAAGTCTCGGTCGCCACCCAAGCATAACGGCCGAGACGCGTCTTTCGGGTGGCCAGCTGCAGTTTCGGATGCAGTTTCGGCTTTAACTGCAATTAAATATGCAATGCACGTAAGTTATGCACATTTCCTTTGCCCAGGCACCGTTACGATTTCGGATTTTAAATCCCGCGCGAAAGCTAACAGCGCTGTTAGCTAGCAGACGTTGGCCTCTGTATCTGTAAGCCAACAGTGACTGCTTTCTGGCTTTCTTTTCGCCAGTGCTGAAATCTTTAGCGTTTTCCCACTAAATCTTTGTTTTTAAAATTTTCAATTAAAATTAATATGATATTACAATTAATGTAATCATTTTTTAAAATGATTGTATGACGAGGCTGGCTCCTATAAGCATTACATAGTGTTCCAAATAAATACGGCTACTAAATATATGACATTTATTTAGCTATAAGAAATAGCCAGATACCAGTGCCGACCAGCTGTTCTGGCGGGAAACCGCCGGTGCGGCAACAGCAGCATCTCCGGCGGGCGATACAAATAGCCCGGACTCGCTCGCAACGGGTTTCATTCCCACTCGAGTGCAATTCGTGAGCGGTCGTTCTCTCCTCTCTCTCGCAGCAAGCAAAAGTAGAAACCAAAACTTAACATCAAACTGTTGTGCGCGCATGCGTCCGTCTCAGAAACAGAAGAAGAAAAACCTGCAATCAGAACTCTCAAATCGAATCGTGAAAATCCTTTTCTGCCATACCCAAAAATAAGCCGGACAAAGCTCAATTGCCTTCTGCCAACTGAGCAGGAAAAACATCAAGGAAAATACAAATTAATTACCGCCCGACCGTAATTTGTTTACGTTTTTTTTCATCATTTTTTTTTGCATTGTATTGTGTGAGTGTGAGAAGTTAAATCGCGCTGGCCAAAATTCCAGATTCAAAATTCGAATTGGCGAAGAAGTGAAGGGTGTGACGACACGACAGACGCACACACGCACACGAACGCACTGAAAAAAGACCGGCTAAAAGGCAGACGAAAAAAAGGAGACGAGAGAGCGAGTGCTAAATAGAAAACGCAAAAACAGGATAATAACTACCAAACTAATACTATAAAACAAGCGACTAAGTGACATTTCGCGAAGTCTAACAACAACAACAACAGCAATAACAACAGCAATAACAACAGTGACACCAACAACAACAGCAGCAAAGAGCGAAAGAGCCAAAAAGCAGGAGCAAAGAAAGTAAGTGGAATTCCTTGCCCAAAGATGGCTCTCCTTCGCTCTCTCATCCCGAGACTAGGGATGACCAAGGGTTGTGCTCGAAGTCGTGTCACGATAATAAATTTTTTTGTTTAAAACAAATGCCCAAAATATGATTCAAAAATACATACTATACATTACTTACTTTACTTACTTTTGTTGAAAGAAAACAGCCATGAAGTTGAAGGGAAAAATTAAATCTTAAATTTAAAAGAATAAAAGTTCTATACAAAATTTGGGAATTCTGTAATATTATTTTTAATCGGCATAAAAAAAGCTTTTAAACATCAAACATGTTCACTTTTTAGTTGCCGTTTCCTAAAATTCCTTCTTATATATTTACTTTCCGTAATGAAATTGGCAAATAAATATTCAAGACTTTCTTAGTCTGTGAACCACCGATTAAGCGAATCAAGGCGCTTTATAATTAAAAAGGATAAAAACAACTTAAAATATTTCATATATTTACAACCCAGATTGTTTTCTGTGGTCTCGAATTTTGAAAAATACAACAGGAAAATAATTTTAAAAATTCCTATCTGTCCTGTGTCGTCTAGGCCTTAAAGTTCAAATTGGAAAAATGTGAAGCCATCGGGACTGTCGTGTCACACGGCCATCCCTACTCCCAGACAGCCTGTGCAAATTAGACAGAGCCGGCTTCTCTGCTGCTCCATTTCCAGGTGTAAAGCCAATGGCCACGGGTTTTTACTCTGGGCCTCTTGCAAGTCATAAAATCTATGGCAGTTGTCAGTTCGCTTCGCTGCCTGTTTTTCTCGGTCTGTGTCTCTCCAGTTTTTTTTCTTTTTCACTTTAGCATTTCATTTTGAGCTCTCCTTCGGCTGCTCCACCTTGTGGCATTGTTTTTCAGCCTCCGTGCTGCTGATTTTTCCAACCGGCTTTCGGCTGGCTAATTGCCTTGACATTGGCATTCAATGCTCTCTCTTCTCTTTTGCACTCCTCTCTTTTTTTCGCCGACTTGTTTCAATCATTCAAGTTCAACTATAAACAGACATAAACACGCAGTCAAGGTGCCACCGCCCCCTTTTCGGGGGACCCCGCCCCCTTTCTAACTGTTATTTCTCTCTGTTCGGCTTAGTTTCGCTTGTTTTGTTATCCGCTCTTGTTTACGTTTTCTCCTGCTCCTTTCGGCGGCACGGAGTTTCCTTTTTGCTCCTTTGTTGCCACGCTCAAAAAACGCATCCAATCCAATTCGTGTGTATGTATCCGTTTCTGTGTCTGTGTCTGCTCTTCCGCTCCTGTCCGTCCGGAAGTTCCGTTTGTTCTGACGTCCGTCTACACCGAAAATAAAAATGGTAGTAGTATCAGAACAAAACGCGCAGGTGTAAAATATCTATTTAAAAGGATATGAATCCTTTCAAATTATTTGTATATGCAAATAGTGAACTTAAACCGAAATATATCCTTTATTATTTTCAGCATACCTAATAACAAAAACCCAAGTTAAAATTCCACCGATGTTTAAAACATTTTGATATTTTTCACTTTAATAATTATAATTTTGGTATTTTAATATCAAAAATTTGCTTAAATATCATAGGAGTTTCTGAGTCTAAGATGAAATCAAAAGTCTACAAATGTATTATTATATTAGAGCATATTTTCCTTCTGTGCATCCGTCCTTTGAATGGATGCGCACAGGGCGTGTACTTTATTGGCAGAGGACATTGACTGAGGCGGAGGCAGCGCAGCACTGTGGTCCATAAAATGCTGATACCACTCAAGAATTTTTTAAATTGAGAAGAATCTAAAACTGTTTTTGAAATTATAGTGTCAGCTGCACAGTAACCATATTTTTAAAACTTATTTTATAAAAGTGTTTCGATAAAGATTAAATTGTGATGTAAAGAAAGTTTTTTCCTTTCTTTACTCCAAGCTTATTAAAAGCATAGTTTGATTTTTTTTCAGTTCAAAAACTATAATAATATTATTTTTTCCGTTTACAAAATGAAACCACCACTGTGCCAAGTATTGTTTTTCGTCGAGAAATCGCATTCAATTGGAAAATTGCAATTTGGCTTTGACAAACATTTTTGGACCCATGGTGGGCGACGGTCGACGACACGTCATGGATATTTCTTTTGTTTTTGCAGTGCGTTTCTGCCTCATTTTGCACAATCACCCCCTGGCACCCGAGCACTCCCCCTTTTGTATCCTGCCCTACCCCAGTAAAATGGCAAATCAATAATTTTCAATGAGGATTTTGCATTTTAGTCGGGTTATCGTTTGGGTTCTCGGGATCAATTAGTATGCCAGGAGCGAAATTCCCCTATAAATGTGTACATAAAACCCCTCACACTGAGTCACGTTTTGTTTGTGTGATTTTGCCTGTGCTAATGGCAACGTCTCCCATATCTTATATATCGTCCCTCCCCTTGCACCCTCTACTTTTTCGGCTGCTTATGTGGAATGGCAATCGAATGCTTCCGCTGTGCGCCGGAAATCAGGTACACCGACAATGACACCCCCACCCACACCACCTTTATTCAATTCGGTGTCCCATCTCCCCCGATTGCCCACCCATTGCGCTGCTTCTCCACTTTATCGTTTCTTGGAGTTCTCGTCCGCAGAAGCCATTGTCGCAACAGTCTGCCCAAGACAAAGTATATACATAACAAACAGCCGAGTTCAAAATACACACTATCAGTTTAAATAAAAAAAGATATTTTTTAAAACAGATATTTAATTATTTTTTTGCTCTAAATTTGACCCCAAAGTTAAAGTACATTAAACTCTTTAAAAAAAAATATATATATATATATGCATATCTAAAACTAAGTATGTAATAAGTTACCGAAATCCAGAAAAAACGTTCAATACCAATCAACTTGTGAGAAATCTTAAGAAACTTCGACTATTAACAAAAATTTTCAAAAATAAATTTGTAAATACTGGCACTGTAAAAAGTTTATTGTTGTTTTATAGTACAAAGTTCCTAAGTTTAAAGTTCAAGAGTGTGCTGGCAACAAGATTTTATTTAGGTTTTGAAAAAGATATATCTGTCACATAATCAATATTTTTTTTTAATGATTTTGAACATTTATCTGAACAATAAATATAAGGGTTCCTTGTAAAATATTTAGGATTTCACCCTAAAATTGTAATTTATATTATTTTGTAAGTAAAAAAACATTGCTTTAATTGTGACCCCAGCTGTATTTGTGCGCTTATTTATGGGAGTGTGCCTATGTACTTGTCTGTGGATTTCGGCTGCATATGCTCGCATTACACCCCCGTCCTGTGTCGCCTCCCCACCCCATTTCCTGCACCCCAACCCCCATCGTATCTGTCATCAATTGCAGCTGTCGCCCGTCCTTGAACGCACTTTACGCACTCATTGTCGCGGAGGTGGGGAATAGGTTTTCTTTGGGATGTGAGAGGGTGTGTCTAGGGTTGAACGGAATGCCAACCAGTGGATAAGCTATTTATATCCCCAGTAGAATTATTTCCAACAGAACACGTCTTCCATACAATCCACATTTCCTTTGTTCGATTTTAAAAGCATTTCATCGATATCTTATTTAAATTTGGCATATTTCCACATAACTATATGCATTTTTATTTCGATTTTAATGATGGCTTAGTAATACTTTCCAAATGAGCATTATTAACATAACAATCTTTAATGTGGTTTTATCTATTACTTAAGTTTTACGATAACACTTTTTTTTTTTAAATATCAGCCATTTCATATCAGCCATTCTAGTATTTCATATTAATTAATTACTTGAATCAGTTGCCGAAAACTGGAACTTCTTTGTTTGATCTTAGCAACTGTACCGCCTTCAAAATATCGGTCCAACCATTTGGATCCCCCGCAAGTACATTTCCTTTTCATTATCGCCTTTCATTTACTTGTTTTCCATTTAGTTACCATTTCTTTGTGCGTTTTCTGGCCAATAATCGTAATCCCTGCGGGGCACAAAAGGGTTTCTGTTCTGTCTGATTCCGATTTTCTCTTTGTTTGTTTCTTAGGCTGCACAGCAACTCCCCCAAGTTTTCTCTGGTTTTATTTTCTGTACTCCCGTATATCTGTTGCTGCTGCTGAGTCATGTCCCCTTGTATTGTTATTCCTGTTCTTTACTCCTTTTTTCCTGTTGACTGGTTTCGCTTTCAACGGCACGCCCTTACCCTCCCGACGTATCGACTACCCGACTTCCCGACTACTACTTGTGATTCAGGCTGCCTCTTGTGTTTTGCCTTTCCTGCCAACTTAAAAAACTCACTTAAGGCCCATATATCAATGGCCCGCGTTGACTCCTCGACTTGTGGCATTATCAATGCAAATGGGCATGGTATTTTGAAATCTTGGACGGGGGTTACGAAGGCGCCCGCCTGTCGTCGTCGTCGTCGTGGTCTTGATGCACTTCGTCTCCCCCTCTCAATTCCTCTCCATTCCTTTCCTTTCCGCGATTGCAGTACAAATAATTGATATGCTCTCGGGTCTTTGCCGCCAGCCTTTTCTGATTTTTCTGCCGACGATATTTTTGGGTTCATCGGCCTTTCAGCATCGCAGGCCGAAACATACATATCAGCGCTTCCGTTCGATAAAGCGAAATGCATAAATATAAAACGGAATTATCAACAAAAAACGGTTTTCGTAGCCCGATAATTACTATTATAGGGGGCAAACAATTTGGTGTCTAAAATGTTATTTCTATTTGGAATCCATGAACCGATATCAGTATGCATTTCATTTTCATTTCATATTTATTTTGTGGTTTAATAAATCTCATAATTCAAGTAATGTAGATAAAGTTTTAATCGACAAAAAACATGCATGTCAAACTTAACTTTAAAGTAACTATAATAAATCTGTGAATATTTAACACCAATTTGATTTCTTTATGTGGCATTTAAACTAAATTTTTACATTTACTTACGGTCCCAACCCCCCAATGTTTTGAATAGCTTTGAGTTTTAGCATTTTTGAGGGATCTATGTTAATTTTGTCGGCGACGGGT